TCAATGTCGGAGCAAGCAGCACGTGTCGTTCTCTCGAAGCTAAGAAAGCCCAAAGTGTCTAGCAGGAGTAAAAATTGCGCGTTCTAAGCACCTGAGCGTGCTCTCTTCCGCTTTTTATGTAGTGCAGGACACGCGACAAGCTCTTCGCGCTACTCCTCGCAGTGACGTGCCAGCGGTAGTCGCGAATAATGCTCCGTATCCGACGAACAAAAACGGGGTCTGCGCGCGCGAACCAGAGTGTCTTTTTCGATCGTTTTTGTTTTCGGAAAAAGAATCAGTTCGCAAACGTGGGCACTTGGTGCATTCGAACCATACCCCGCGATTCGGGTTCAGTTTCTCGATAGCAGAAAATTATCGTCGGGAAATTGGAGAAATTAAGACGCCAAAGAGCGACGTTCATTCTGGATGCCGCGACGGTATTTCCGTAAAGTTTTCATTGAGTTATCGCGGCGAGTACGTACTTTCGCAAATTTTTAGCCCGTCAAAGGATTCAAAGCGTAATCATGAAGATATTTCATATTAAAGATTAAATTTAGTTTGTTAGTTATAAGTTAAATTTTTTTTAATTTTCCAATTTGCAAAAACTATATCGTATCTATATTACACGAGTGAATAATTTCTAGAAAGATTACTTCAAATTTACTAAAAAAAAAAGCGAAATAATCTGTACCGTTCTGATCACAAGATACGAGGCAAATAAGGGTGCTACATCAATTTCCGAAACACTTTGTACTTTCGACTTCAATAAAATCGTGCACTTTTGCATTCGATCTGTCACATCGAATTTAGCGACAGCCGCAGAGAGATAAGCGGAATTGTCGCGCATGGTATTGGCAATTAAATTAAAAGTACGAAACGTCAAAGAAGCTTTCGAAAGTGCGTTTGAATATCACGTTTCTCTCTCAGCACAATTCCAGAGAAATTAATCGGAATCGGATCGATTGTGGTCAAAAATTTTTAACCGTCCGTGTGGAAACCACTAATACGCGGTTGTGCGATAATCGATTAAGCGAAATTAATCCGACTTCGTGTGTAGATGTATATTATTAAACAAACCGTAAACCGCCCGTGATGCGTGAATTAATATAAAAAAAAATTGCGGTCGAGTGAAAATCTGCGAGGATATCACGAAATATTTATCTATACGTACACGATTAATTAATAGTTCATTCTTTTATTTAATTGAAATATCAACCAGAGTCTAGACTTTGCATTTTTTAAAAAGATGTCTTTTATAAAATGTATCTATTTTTTAAGACTTTTTAATTCAAAATTATCAATTTATTGTTTTCAAGAAAATAAGTTGATTTTATGAATTAATTCTTTAATTTTGAAACTAATCATTTATTTATAATGCGTCGATATCGTTTATCAAACTATGATTATGAGACAGTCATGTATTATTGATTAGAATTAAAAATAGCTATAATTTTAATCACCAACTTTCCTAATCGCCTACTTTTTGTCTCTAATCCGTGCATTCGTTTAACGGTTTACATTATTCTGATGAATTTATTCCGAACGGTACGCGAATTCGCGCGTCCGATATATATATATTAATAACAGTACTCGCTACTAATTATATATCTTATAATAATCTTCGCGTGCGCGTTACGTCGTATCTACATATTTTACAGTTCATCATTTACACCCTCGATCGTCGGCCCGATCTGTCACGAATACTTATCTCCGTTACAAGATCGGATTATCCCAAACTATCTTCAGATTGGCATTTTCCGATAAGAAAAAAAGAATAAAAAATCTCGAATTGTTAAATAAGTGATTCTCATTGGGAGGAGACCGGATTATCACGGATTCTCGCTCGACTGACACATCAGTATCGTCGACCGGTCGCGAACTTTTCCGACATCTCCGGGAAAGTTACTTTCCTCGTTAGCCACCATCGACGAGCGCAGACGATCGAGAAGAGATACGAAGAGAGCTTCTTCTTTCCTCCTCCATCTTCGCCAAGTTCTGCTCTATACCTCTCTACGTCCCTTCACGGTGAGCTAAGCGCGTCCGTTAGCTGGGAACGTCGTTTCGTCTCGTTTCCTTCTCGTTTTCACGCCATCGCCGTGTCGACCAGCCGATATAGACCGCCCGGCGAGATTTTCTTCACCTACCCTTTTCGCTCTTCCTTATCTCTAGTCTCCGGTTCTCCTCGTCAAGGAGAGTTCCAAGAGTTCCGGATCGAATGAAAAACTCGAGGACGGTCGAATGAATTCGAGTCGCGATCGGAAAGTAGAATCAGGCCGAGTTCCGATGGGAAATTATTCGTCGGGAAATTGATGAAATCGAGATAAAAAAGTGGAATTTTCATTCTAAGAAGCCGCGCGCGCATACGTAACATTCGAATAAATTTTATTATTTCGATTCTCGAGACCGATTTTTATTTTTTTTTTTATTTTTCTTTCTTTATCGGAAAATGCCGAACGTTGAAAAAACAATTGACTCCGAGAGGTTACGAAAATAATGCGTATAAGACTATATATATCGAATCTGCAGGATGTAAAAGCACTTTTCTGAATCTGATGCATCGCGCGACCGGAAATTAACGCGGTTGTCATGATGAGACGATCGTGTTCGCTCACTCGCGACTCGAGACTTTCCCGCGATATTGACGGTATCTTGTACGTTTTTCCTCGTATAATCCTATTTTCCTCTTCATCTACGGTGCTACTTTCCCTAATGGCGTCCCGAAGAAAAGGTTCGCGATTATCACGGCAAACTGCATTATCATCAAACAAAGAGTTCTCATTTTCTGATGCGAATCTCAGCGCTAAGAAGCTGTCAAACTTCAAAGATTGGTCATATTAAGGATAATAGTTAATAATTCGAGAATATGGTTCAAAAATCATAACTCATTCTTTAAAAAAAAATACAAAAGCTCAAAAAGCTTATAAAATAAAATTTTTCGCTCGTTCACCTTATTTTCAATGAAGAATAAAAATATGATAAAAATTTAAATGAGGTTTAGACAAAAATTCCGGAAAAATTGAAAGTCACTTTCATTTTTCGTGACGAAAGTTGAGGAAAGTCGGGGAAACTTTTTTAATGATAGTGTTTCGCACATATCCATAAATGTGTAAATGAAAACACTTTTGATAGAATCATTGACTGCGATAAAATAATACACGAGGCTATCTGTATTTTCATTTTCCATTATAATTTGATTTGACGCACGCGTTCTGCTTTCTAACGATACTTCCGCAGCGGAGATTTTTCCGTCGTATTGTTTTCGGGAGCTTGGCACGCGCGATCGCGCGGACGAAATCTAACGTCGATAAGAAAGCTCTGACTGACGTCTTCATTGTTTGGCTGAAAGTTCACCGTCCGGACAATGAGGCTATTCGTAGCCGGCGCAACAAGCAGAACAATACTTGTCGGCACAAATATTGCTCGTGCACCGTCGCTACTTTACGCCGGTTTCTTACAATGAAGTTCAATGCGGCTGAATGTATTATGAATCTTTAATCTTTGACTCGCCCGACGATAAAACGCACGGTGCAACTTAAGGTTTTCTCAGAAAGATACAGCGTGTAAAGAATGAAACGCAGATTGCATTTTTACTCGGCACGTATATCGAGAATAAACGGACGCGAAATAATCCATTCGACGCGATTTAAATTATTTTTGAAGATAAACCTTGTTCAATTCCATTGCTCGTTTACATTTAAATGAAATTTTTAAATTTTGTAAAGGATAATATTTGATCGTTTGTCGTATTTTTATCGCGATGTTATATAATCCCAACTGAATTTTATATTCATTAACAAATGATTAATTTAAATTTTATCGGTTTTAAATTTATTACAGATTTCTGACCAAAGCAGAGTTTGTTGTGTGGCATATAATTTATATTTCCATATATATAAAAAAAGCTTATAAAATATACACTATAAAAATACATAATTTTACATAAATCTTTTTATTTGACTATGCGCTACATCGCTCTACTTTAGATTTGCGAGCAGTCCGCGTTTAACTTGTACGCATTCCGATAATTGCGCCACATTGATTGGCCATTTTATAATTTCGAATACGCAGGAGAGGACAAATCGTAACAACGTGACATGAAATTATAACGTTAAAATTTATTTGAATGTTTGTTTCGGCGAGTGCAGACCCTTCACGTTTGATTAATCATCGTGCCGTGAACGCTATTGTTGAATTATTGATTCGTTATTAAGCGAGATCCTTCTCTCGTCTCTACGCTAACGAACGGATTGAGAGCAACTATTGCGCTTGTAATATACAAAGAATTGCAAGGGAACAAGAACGTCATTTATATCGCAAAATCGGCATTAATTAAAATAATGCGATTTACATTTTAAAGGATCGAGAGTTTCACGAGAGACGATATAAAATTACATGAAATTAAATGCGAGAAACCAAAGTGAGCATTTTTATAAGCAAATTTTGATGAATGGAACTCTTACGTTTTGTAGAACGAAATTATGTGGTTCATATTGCGAAGGACAATTGCATCGAGATGCACCGAGTATGTTTACGTTAAACAATTAATTGTGCACTCAATGAGAAAACGCGCGTGTTCGCGTAAAAATAAGTGGCTGTGCAGAAGATGCAGAAGGTGCGTATCAGCAATTTGATCGCTTGATCATGAACGACTGTGACAGGGACACCATAGACACGGACTCCTTGGAGTTCGAGGTAAATAACATGCGTCGGTTCATACAAATATTGCAGCTATAATACATATGTATATCTTGGCTAGCAATAATATAATCCAGCTAACGATAATATAAGCTAGCATAATTACATCTCTCTATTTACGTAAGACAAATATTTTATTTGAAATGGTTAATATTGTGTGATATAATATTACATATGTATAATAATTATATATGTTTCAATATATTAACATAGTATTTTCCAATTAATTATTCGCTCGATAATTTGTAGCATAATAGAAACCCGAGAAATGTTTTAGATCAATTTACTCAAGACATTGTAAGACTTTTTTATACTTTTACTTTTAGGCTACGCAGTCGTCGCCATGTCCGAAACGATTAGATTTGAGCAAGGGGGGCCTGTCAAGAGTACCTGAAAGTACGATTGCTTTTCCAGCGATAGAAGAGCTCGCGTTAGGGTGGAACCAATTCCGTAATGTCGACAACAATCTAAAGCTTCTACACAGGTATATATACTATACACATCTATACGTTCTCATATACAACTTTTTCTGATATATCGATTAGCAGCGAGAAAGCCATTTGGTTCTTTTTGAAATTAGTTTCTTTCCGAAATTAAATCAACTGTTGCGAAATACATTCTGAGATAATTAGAGATTAATCCAGCCCCGATAAGAGCAAGGAAAAGCGCGAGCGCACGTGCGATAGTGAAACAAAATGCGGCGAGGAACTACGGACTAGAAACTTTAATTGGCACTTAATTCATACGTAACTCTCTTTCTCCTAATTCCCGCACATAGGTTTCCAAAACTTCACGCCGTCCATTTGGAGTGCAATGATCTCCGCGGAATCCCGAGGGAGCTTCTGGAGTTGCCGGCGCTGACCTATCTTAATCTCTCGGACAACAAGATCGAGATAATTCCAGCTGACATCTGCCAACTAATCAAGTACGTACATCATTTCTCACATGTGTGTTTATTTCTTCGTGTCGCTCATTTATTTAGATTAGCTAACATTTCCTTCTTTATTCTTCGTTATCAGAAAACAATTTTTATATATATTATAATTATATATAAATAGTTGTATAATTATACATATAATCGTAAAATTATATGTGAAATATCATGTTTTCTATACAGAATTATTATAATTCTCTACAGATTATATTTCTATACAGAATTAGTATAAATTTATATAATTTTATATAAAAAACACTTTTATCTAATTATGTATGGACATATTTTATATATAATTTTGCGATTATATCTATAATTTTATATATTTTTATATAATTTTATACTGTCATATATATAAAAAATTTTTTCCGGGAAGCTCAATGGTATATTACTTGTTTCTCACTTCGGTAAATTTTGATTAAAAATTTATTTCGTTTTTTTATTTTTGCGTGCATGAAAGAAAAATATTCTTGTAACAAATTCAAAAAATTTAATTTTTTTTCTAGAGAGGTTTTCTCACAAATTGTGCGATATTAATATTACTACAATAATACGTCGTACTCGACGCCTCGATGACACATTTTATTTTATTCCGCGTTACATTTAAAATTAATTGATATTAAACACTGATATATTGCATATTTACATTCACGAGATTTATTTTATCAGTCGGTTATTGGCGATTCGTACATATTGCATTAATGTGCATACGGCTAAATTTTCTCTCCACGCCGCCTGATTTATGCGCGTCAATCTAGGAGCACAATTAATTACCAACGCATTAATCACATGCTATTGTCGATCAGCTCTGATAACGGGCTCGTGTAGAAAATCAGCGCGCACGATAATGATCGAATAACACTGTTAATTCTCCGGTTTAATGAAAAACATGTGACAACTATCGACTATTGAATAAACTCGAGAGAAACGTGTCAATGAAAAAATATGTAAATTTGAAAATATACGTATATTACAAATAAAATAATTATTTCGGTCTTTCCATTCGGCTACATGGAAAAAATTCAAACTAAACCGGCAACGAATAAATTTTCTCTTTTTTCAATCTGATAAATAATATTTGAATAATTTATATATATATATAGTTATATATGGTTTATTTTTAATCTTGAAATAGAAAAATTTTTAATCTTGAAAAAGAGAAATGTAATAATTTTTAATGAAAAAAATTAATGACATCCCTCATCGATCAAATTACATTTTTTCTACAAAAATAAATTATAAATATAGCCATTGCTTTTTCTCAATTTATTAAATAAATAGTTAATAATCAAACATAAAATAACAAAAATATTGAATTACGTTAACGATTAAATATTTTATTTCATCGTGTTTGATCTTGCAAAGATATCTACTCATCGTCTTCTGTACTTTAAGCTATCTTACACCGCTGAGCTATTTATCCAAAGTACCATAAAAAGAAGGAGAAAAAGAGAGAGAGAGAATTGCAACGAGACATGATACCCAGTCGTACGACAAGACAAAAATCTCCCCGATCTCATGTAGATACGGGAGCGCACAATTGAAACGGAGATTACGTAAAATTTCTCGAAAACCGCTTTCCACCGGCCGGAAATGAGGATGCCGGCACTCTGCGAGAAGAAGAGAGAAAAGGAGGGAGAGAGAGGAACTACGGGGTGTGAACACGACGACGACGACGCTGCACGTGTGCGCACCTACGCACAAAGATAAAAGTACTTCGTACGTCGTTCACCATCGGTGAATCTAAAGACGAATCTATACAAATCTTGACAATCGTCGGAGACAAATCATTCCCTTTTCCCTCTCTCTTCATCAAGATATATAAATTAATTTCAGGATTAGATAAGTTAATGATTTTTTTTAAACTAAGTTAAGTCAAGAATTAATTTAGTTAAGTTAAAAGTTGCATGAGCAAAAAATTAACTCAATTAAAGTTAAGATTAAATTAACTAAAGTTAAATCAAAAGCTAATTTTTAAAAATGTTATTTATATTAAATTCAAATTTCGTTTGTTAATTCCTTTAAAATTTATAATAACAAATAACAAAGAAAATTTGATTTTTATATAGAAATATATTTTTTGGTAATTACAAGTGATGCGACAAATGAACATGAAAATGAATAATACTTTAATTTAAAAATAATATACGTTTATAACTTATAAAAAAACAATACTGGTATTCAGAGATAAAAAATGTTAACTTAGGAAAAAAATTAATAAGTTTAAGATCAAAAATAATTAGTTGAAGTTAAAAATTAATACATTTTAAATTAACTAAGCTAATTGTAAGTTAAAAGTTATTTTTTAATTTTTTTAACTTTTAACTAATTAACTAATTATTTTACCCAATTGTTGATCTATTTATTATCTGAATTACAACCGAAAATCTCAAATTATTGTTTTATATAGAAAACTTGTGCTCCAAAAAATGTTATCAATGAATAAATCCCAACTCTTTAAAAGTCTTTTCTGAAATCTCTTGCACAGAAAGAATTTACTTCAGGATACTGAAAATCATGGTAATCTAAGACAATATAATATTGAAATAATTTTAGAAGAGTTTCTCTAAATTTAATATTTACCATAATAAAAATATTAATATCTATCACAATAAGATATAAAACATGTTCGATTAATTTTACTATGTAGGTGCATATTAATATTTTTTATCGTGGTAAATATATTAATTATCAGAGAAACTCATAAGATTCTACCCATACCATATTGTCCCACAATTACCATGATTTTCCCAACTCTTTAAAAGTCTTTTCTGAAATCTCTTGCACAGAGAGAATTTACTTCAGGATACTGAAAATCATGGTAATCTAAGACAATATAATATTGAAATAATTTTAGAAGAGTTTCTCTAATTTTAATATTTACCATAATAAAAATATTAATATCTATCACAATAAGATATAAAACATGTTCGATTAATTTTACTATGTAGGTGCATATTAATATTTTTTATCGTGGTAAATATATTAATCAGAGAAACTCATAAGATTCTACCCATACCATATTGTCCCACAATTACCATGATTTTCCCAACTCTTTAAAAGTCTTTTCTGAAATCTCTTGCACAGAGAGAATTTACTTCAGGATACTGAAAATCATGGTAATCTAAGACAATATAATATTGAAATAATTTTAGAAGAGTTTCTCTAATTTTAATATTTACCATAATAAAAATATTAATATCTATCACAATAAGATATAAAACATGTTCGATTAATTTTACTATGTAGGTGCATATTAATATTTTTTATCGTGGTAAATATATTAATCAGAGAAACTCATAAGATTCTACCCATACCATATTGTCCCACAATTACCATGATTTTCCCAACTCTTTAAAAGTCTTTTCTGAAATCTCTTGCACAGAGAGAATTTACTTCAGGATACTGAAAATCATGGTAATCTAAGACAATATAATATTGAAATAATTTTAGAAGAGTTTCTCTAATTTTAATATTTACCATAATAAAAATATTAATATCTATCACAATAAGATATAAAACATGTTCGATTAATTTTACTATGTAGGTGCATATTAATATTTTTTATCGTGGTAAATATATTAATCAGAGAAACTCATAAGATTCTACCCATACCATATTGTCCCACGATTACCATGATTTTCCCAACTCTTTAAAAGTCTTTTCTGAAATCTCTTGCACAGAGAGAATTTACTTCAGGATACTGAAAATCATGGTAATCTAAGACAATATAATATTGAAATAATTTTAGAAGAGTTTCTCTAATTTTAATATTTACCATAATAAAAATATTAATATCTATCACAATAAGATATAAAACATGTTCGATTAATTTTACTATGTAGGTGCATATTAATATTTTTTATCGTGGTAAATATATTAATCAGAGAAACTCATAAGATTCTACCCATACCATATTGTCCCACAATTACCATGATTTTCCCAACTCTTTAAAAGTCCTCCGCGGAGGAGAAAATATGGTCTAAGCATATGATCTGAAATCTCTTGCACAGAGAGAATTTACTTCAGGATACTGAAAATCATGGTAATCTAAGACAATATAATATTGAAATAATTTTAGAAGAGTTTCTCTAATAATATTTACCATAATAAAAATATTAATATCTATCACAATAAGATATAATACATGTTCGATTAATTTTACTATGTAGGTGCATATTAATATTTTTTATCGTGGTAAATATATTAAATCAGAGAAACTCATAAGATTCTACCCATACCATATTGTCCCACGATTACCATGATTTTCCCAACTCTTTAAAAGTCTTTTCTGAAATCTCTTGCACAGAGAGAATTTACTTCAGGATACTGAAAATCATGGTAATCTAAGACAATATAATATTGAAATAATTTTAGAAGAGTTTCTCTAATTTTAATATTTACCATAATAAAAATATTAATATCTATCACAATAAGATATAAAACATGTTCGATTAATTTTACTATGTAGGTGCATATTAATATTTTTTATCGTGGTAAATATATTAATCAGAGAAACTCATAAGATTCTACCCATACCATATTGTCCCACAATTACCATGATTTTCCCAACTCTTTAAAAGTCTTTTCTGAAATCTCTTGCACAGAGAGAATTTACTTCAGGATACTGAAAATCATGGTAATCTAAGACAATATAATATTGAAATAATTTTAGAAGAGTTTCTCTAATTTTAATATTTACCATAATAAAAATATTAATATCTATCACAATAAGATATAAAATATGTTCGATTAATTTTACTATGTAGGTGCATATTAATATTTTTTATCGTGATAAATATATTAATCAGAGAAACTCATAAGATTCTACCAATACCATATTGTCCCACGATTACCATGATTTTCAAGGTAAATTAAGAGAAAATTCTCTCCGTGTGTCCCCTAAGAGACAAATCACTCTTCGGCGAAGAATGAATACGATTCCGCCAGTCTGAACTCGCACGGCGATTTCCACCTGAGTCGTCTCGCACCAGTGCATCGACGTATACGAAGGCGACTGCTGGTATTACCCAACCCGGTTCTACCGCAGGAAGAGTCGGCAATTTTCAAACAATTTTGCACGATTCACTTTCGACCATCGCATCGCCCGAAATCGAACGAAATGTCCGAAAGAACGAGGGAAAACCGCGAGAGGTCATCTGAATTGAAGATTATATACACGAAGATAATACAGGGATGAAGCAGGGGAAAGCTTTTCCTCGTCCCAGGTATACACGGTTGACCTAGATACCTAGTAAGAACAAAGGATTTCCAAAGACAAAGGATCTTAAGACGAGAATCTTGAAGAAACTTAAATCTTATTTATATGTCCCTGGTATAATTAAATTTGCTTTTTTTATTAATTCGCTCTGATAACGCAATATTCATTTCCTCGAGCGAGGATCCCGCTATTTTCCGCGATAATAATAATAATAATACCGATGACATCGTCGGCTGTCTGAGCAACTCGAATATCCAAAGTGATTTCTCGTAATCTCGCCGATGTAAAGCGCGAATAATCCTAAATTATGATCTCTCGGAGATTCGGGCAGAATATTTGGACAGAAACGTCCTGAATACATCACGCATTATTCCACGAGCGCGGTATAACTTGTTATACGTTATTCATCCGGGGATTTAAGGTATTACATGAAACAAGGATTTCGCGCCGAAACGACTGCCGTCACTGATGTCGGTGCACGTTCGCATCGAGCCATGGCACATTATCGCTTCGTATATACACCGACAGACAACAATTTCTGTTCTGTTACGTCAGAGTGGTCAGCCGTTCGTGCCGTCTCCCTCTCTACTCCGTTTCTTTCCTTCGCTAGCTCGAAAAGACGGTATCCTCGGGAGGAGAATAAGTTTGCCTTTCAACCGACCTCTTTAGTCCTCGAAAGAGCGGTCGCGAGCGTGCATCTTTGCGAACCACCGGAAATCCCGCGGTTGCCAGAACCGAACTTCTTCAGTCGATAATCGAGACGACGCGACGCGTTCGACAATTTTGAAAATCCGCGCGAGTTTAGGAAATCGATGTGAATCGAGAAGATATCATCGCGCAGGTGTCATAAGAATTTTGATATATATATATATATATATATATATCGCGTACAAATTGAAATAATATATAATTTTGTATGAAACCATGTTGAAAATTTTACACGTAAGAAAAGTGTACGATTTGTGATCGGTCAAGTTACAATGTAACTTGCAGCGAGAACATAATGTTGATTGCGATGAACTTGAATACTCCAGGACTTTGTAGTATTCGGAAAAAATGGAACATCGAGAGATATAATCGAGGAGATAAATCATTAATGTTAAAAGAGCCTTAATATACATGCGAGTATTATACATTCGTATAACTCATATGCGTTCATTAAAATAAATCTATAATAAAACAATGATATATCAGCAAGATACTGATATAATAAAATAACAAGTGACTAATAAATATGTATGGGCAGAAATTTCAAAAATGTTCAATATTTCTTTACGTGTTACATGTGTGCTAAATTATTAAAGCATCGATCAAAATTATTAAAAAAAAGAAATATATGGTGCAAGAATCGGATCTCGAAAATATATATAAAATGAGTGTTTCCTATACGGTATCATCTCATGATAACAATCATCTAAGAAAATACTTGAAATATATATAAACACACTCTACTTTACTCTCATAAACGAAGGTGTATGCAGCAACGAAACAGCGAAACGTAACAAGGCAGGTGAGAGAAGTAACAAGCGTTCTAAAATAAACGCGACTTGGTAAAATAACACTGTTAACGCTTTTAATTTTAAATACATTTACTTACGATCCGTTATAATTCATATACGTTTATATCTTTTTCTCGGAAATATTTTATAATTATAAATTTCTTTTATAAAAGTCTGTTCTACAATATTTAATATTTATCAATTTATAATTATTTACTTTCTTATATTTATTGAAAATCACGGAAAATGGTTAATAATTGTCTCTGATTTTTTAATTGCCCATTACATAAAAGCTATTTGCTGACGTCATCAGTGAGAAAAATAATCAATTATTAGCTGTTTGACGAACTTATGAATAAAAAACCTATATGTATATACGAAAGAAATAAAAGTTTTTGAAATTTTTGTTAGATATTATATTTTGCTGCATTCGTTAGTAGAATCGCTATTACTTTGACGGCAAAAATCGAAAGTCCGTCCGATGACACAGATGCTTACTGCAACGAAGTTTTCACTATAATTCGAAACTTTCTACTCAAGTGCACATCCTGTGGGCGGCTCGCTCGTTTAGGTTCACCGATTCGCGTGTCCGAAGCTTCGCGAAAAATTACACCGCTACGTTACGTCGTAAAAATTACAATTTACGAACAAACTCTTTTTTGCGAGAGACACAAAGTTCTCTTTTATTAATTTTTTCATTAAAAGTTTAGTCAAAAATTCTCCACATAACTGATTTTTACTGACAATTTTATCTGATGAAAAATAATTATCTTTATAATTTTACGTTATATAAATCAGCACAATCAAATCTTTACATCTTGACAGATTTTTTTAGCCACTTGACACATTTTTGTCGTAAATTTTCTAGATCAGAAAAATTGTGCAAAGTACCTCGCATGTAACAAAATAACAGAACAGAGAAAATTTTAAATATTAAATATATTAAATTATTTAACAATTTATACATATAGAAAAATATTTAAAAAATATAATTTCCTTTGAAAAATATAATTTACAAAACTGTTTGAACCTTCTGTCTCTCTCTTCCTCTCTTTCTCTCTAAAAATAATCTATCTCTAAATAAAAATTATTCTTTTAAATATTTATATTTTTAAAATAGCACGTGAAGACGTTTTTCGCTAATCCATTTTGTTCATTAAACATAATGATTGTTGCAGTTTGAAGGAACTGATCCTTGATCGTAATGGCATCAAAGACCTACCAAACGAAGTGACACGGCTGAAAAATCTGAGGAATATTTCCATTGTCGGAAATTTACTCAGCACTGCACCGTCCTTCTTCAACATGCGAGCTCTCGCTCTGACGGTATGTTAAACTATCTTGTTTAATAAATAAAGTAAAAAAATAAATTTACATTATTTATAGTACTCTCAAAATTCACTTCAAATAATCTTTAAATTATGAAAAAATTCGGAAAAGTTGAGAAAATTCTCGGGAGTTTTTATAATTTTATGTGCCGCATAATCGAAATCAACCATTTGTGAAAAATCGGATCGAATATACACATTACGGCGCATAAAAATTGTAAACAAAATTCTACTCAAATTCTGTTATAAATTATAGATTATTTAAAACCAGCTTAATATATGTTTAAATCGGAGAGAGAAAGAAAAAGAGAGAAATAAAATGAAAAACCTCTAATAACATCAAGTCAAAGTATTCTAAGTAGTTTTATTGATCCGTACTATTAAACCTTGGCCTTCGCAGTCTAGCTATTCGCACGTATACGTGTGTGTGTAACATTCCATTACTGTCTATATCTACATGCCAAATATGCAATGACAAACATGTTTCGCCTATAAAAATATGCTCTGTTTTTAAAAATAAAAAAATTTCTAGAAAAATTAAATTAAAAGTTAACATATTTTTCATATAATAAGTGATATAATTTATTATGTTAAAGTAAAAATTATTAACATTTTTCTATTACTATATTATATCGCTATTTTAAAGAAAAATATATAAAAATAATTTATAAATTTAGTTAAACTTTCAATTTAACATCGCAATATATAAAAGGATGAAAGTATATATTATTATAAGGCATTTGCCATTTCGATTAATTATAAAGTAAGGATGCAATTATATATAAAAGAATGTCTAAAATAGAGAATATTTCTTCGTATAAATTCTCGAATCTTCAGTAACATCAAAAAGAAGAAAAATATATAAGTTTCTATATAAATAACATTTTTCTTATCCTTTACGTACAAGAACAAGTTAATGTTGAGTAATTTTTTCCTCTGTAAATTCATTTTGGAATTAATTTGTGACCCAGCTTGTGCTGGGTACAATCAAAAAATATTTTATAGACTCATCGAGTCGTTCCCCTCCACGGAAATCTTTAGTAAAAGGCGAAAGATTTATTCGTGTGTTGAAGGGAAACCAGAGTTTGACAATCGGTGCTCACAGCAGCCCTTATGTACCCAAATGGCCGAATTTCACTTACGAGAAACGTTTCGATTCGGTAGACCTCTAGTGGCTTTTTTCAAAAGTAACAATATTCAAGGCCCATAAGGCGCCCCTACGTAATGCGCGCCAGAAAGCAAAGACTAGCGTTTCATACCATGTAGAAGGAAAAAAACTTTCGCGATATTTCTGAAAATTTTTTAATTAAAATTTATCAAGTTTGTAAATAGAGAATATACCTTCGTATAAATTCTCGAATCTTCAGTAACACCAAAAAGAAGAAAAATATATAAGTTTCTATATAAATAACATTTTTCTTATCCTTTACGTACAAGAACAAGTTAATGTTGAGTAATTTTTTCCTCTGTAAATTCATTTTGGAATAAATTTGTGACCCAGCTGTGCTGGGTACAATCAAAAAATATTTTATAGACTCATCGAGTCGTTCCCCTCCACGGAAATCTTTAGTAAAAGGCGAAAGATTTATTCGTGTGTTGAAGGGAAACCAGAGTTTGACAATCGGTGCTCACAGCAGCCCTTATGTATCCAAATGGCCGAATTTCACTTACGAGAAACGTTTCGATTCGGTAGACCTCTAGTGGCTTTTTTCAAAAGTAACAATATTCAAGGCCCATAAGGCGCCCCTACGTAATGCGCGCCAGAAAGCAAAGACTAGCGTTTCATACAATTTAGAAGGAAAAGAACTTTCGCGATATTTCTGAAAATTTTTTAATAAAAATTTATCAAGTTTGTAAATTTTCAGTTTTAAAAATTTCAATTTTTTCAAATTTTTAACATAAACGATTATTTATCCTCTTATCTGATAATTCGCAGGAAGTTCTGTCAAAGACAGATCATGGAAAGCCTTACAAGGAGGAAAAAGCAATGCATAATAATTTAAACAAGATCAATCTGAGAAACAATCAGCTGAAGGGAAACATAATCTTGGGAAATTACGGCGTAAGTTTATTATTCTGCTGTACATGACTCTCTTTTTCTTTTACTTTTCTCTTTCTTATATTTATTTGTATATTCTTTTACTTTTTTATTTGTTATATTTAATTTTTTTAAATCTACTAATTGACAAGCGTCTTTTTGAAAAGAAAAATAAAATCAGAAAACTATACCGACTTAAAGTAACTTGGCGACTTTATTATTTTTTCTGTTTGCAAACACATAAAGAATCTGACGCATCTGGATGTCAGCGAAAATAGCATTGAAAAATTGGACATTAGCGCCTTGCAAGAATTAAGAAGCGTACGATGCGCTCGAAATCATCTGACAGAATTAACTCTTTGCGGTCGAAATCTGGTATCACTCATCGCTGGAAACAATAGTGAGTATAGATTTTTTATGCGCTTTTAGTTAAGTCGCTTAAGTCGGTTAAAAAATATTGAGAAAGAAGCAGAATTTAAAGCAATTAAACTAAAATGGATAATAAAATGCAATGAATGCAATTTTTACAGAACTGAAAAAGCTAACCGTCGAACCTGTGCCAATTAATCTGGAGCATCTAGATGTTTCCTAGTAAGTAAATATATTATACAAATTTCTATATATCTCGATATTAAAAAGGAAAAGTGACAGAATATTTAAAAATTATTAATTAGTCAATATTTAATTTCTTTAAATATATATTCTCTTTTTATAAGAATTTATTTTTGTTTTACTTTTATGTTTGTTTTTAATTAAAAGTACGAAATTATCTATTTAACAGACATTGAATGAAATATATTTCAGCGAGTCATTTAATAATATAATATATCAGATTCAGTATATGCCTCTTTAAACATTTCGTTAATTTTTTAGTTATATTAAAAATTATGTACACTTTTAGCAACAATCTAGATGCATTGCCGGAATGGACAACTGAATTGCCAGCATTGCGCGTTCTTTTCGCGTCACATAACACATTGACAGCCCTACCAGACAGACTACTGTCACAGCCGTCGAGATTGGAAGTTCTCCATCTGCCTCATAACCGATTACAAGCCCTACCGCCACCAAGAAGACCACTAAACATCGTTCATTTAACTCTTCAGGGCAATATGTTAACCACGCTACCTACTAGCTTCTTCGCCAACACCGAAAAGTAAGACATCAATCTTTTTCGCTGATGTAAATAGACTCATCTATCAAAGGGATAATAAAGTTATTATCCCAAAAATGCGAGTAATAATAATAATAATATTGCATCTCATGTATATGCAACAATAATGGAGAAAAAGCGTTATAAATTTGACGTGAAAAAATGTGTGCATAAATTTGATCCTAAAATTAAAGTTTCCAACGCGTGTACCATCTTATCAAATTGTATTTAACTATCCGAAGTAAACTTATCGTCGTAAACTGCAACGAGAAGCTAGACTTTGCGCCTCGCACTTACAAACTCCTTTTCAGAATGAAAGTTTTAAACCTCTCCAACAATCGGCTCTCCGAACTACCGTATCGCGAAGAAGCCGGTAGGAGCCATCAGGGATCGCACACCTTGGAGAAATTATATGTCACGGCGAATTGCCTGACCGATACTGCCCTAGATGCTCTCGCCAAGTTTACGTCCCTGCGAATTCTTCATATTGCTTACAACACCCTGGACACGTTACCGGAAAGGTGAGTGTTGCATCTGTTCTATACGATAATTCCGTATCGCCATACAGTAAAATACAAAATATGCAATAAAACATTATTTTATCGGTAAACAATTCTCTTTTATCTCTCTGTCGAACTTTGTTAATAAATCCATTGTCGATTTTTTTTCAGACCTCTTAATTAAAATTGCAGACTCTTCCTGTAAAGTTTCTCAGTTTCGGGACTGATAAGAATCCGAGTACTATTTTATCGCGCGTCGCATGTTAATGTAAATAATAAATATTCAAAAGCCAAGGTTTGAAATTAATGGGAAAAATTGTTCAGCTGCATCGCCGCGTGGAGCGACCTGGAGGAATTGGTGCTGTCCGGAAACCGATTGCAGTATCTTCCAGATAACGTGGCCAATCTGCAACATTTGCGCGTGCTGCGCGTGCATTCTAATCGGCTGTTAACGTGCCCCACCTTCGGTAAAACGGCGTCCTTGAAGGTGAGACTCCAACACGCGCGTAAACGTTGTTCATGCGATTTTCAATGTACGTAAGGTAAACGAGACACCGAGATCGAGACCGAGATCGCAAAATCCGAATTTAAGACTGTTACACATTCTCCGCTTACTTAAGCGGAAAATATATACGCAAGATGTTTATTGACTGTATTAAGGTGCTAATTAATTCTTCGGATTTATACGGAGTTGGCCTAGAAAGCAAAAGACTGTAGCAATTATCTCCCTAGACGTATCTTTTTATGTAAATAAAGATATAAACTGTGGATAGAAAATGTATACATAAAAGGATAAAGAATCTAATTAAATAATTCTTATTCAATAATAATTATTTTGTTTAAAATATCAATACATAATATTCTTAAGAATTATGTATATAAAAAAATATATATATATATAATTCTTATTTGATAGAATAAAAGTATGTTTCGTAAAAATGCAATGCTTGCAAAATGTTCGTTTAGAACAATGCACAAAGGATATTTATAAGTATGAAAAATATAAAAATTTTAATATGATACGTGTAAACAAATAACGAAAAGTAAGGAAGAATAACACAAAATATTTGGTATCTCATCCAGGTGCTGGACCTTGCGCATAATCAACTAGATAGGGTAAATCTTGCCACGCTAGTGCCTCCGCAATTGCAATTCCTCGATATATCCTGCAATTCCCGACTGCACGTGGATCCACGACAGTTTCAAGTCTACAGATCTCAGAGACCGATATCTTTAGTGGACGTGTCTGGACAAAACAGGCCTAGTCTACCGTCTCATCCGCATCAACAGGAAGTTGTTGTGGGCGAAAAAAATGCCGAACAACCATGGCGATTAGGCTTTTCGGAAACTGCGGGTTCTCGCGAAAAGTAATTATTTAATAACGTATATATCATACACGATGTTTTCCTCCGCAATAAAAAAAAGAATAGACAAGTGATAAGAAATTGATAAACAGAGGGAAAAAAATCTTAATTTTTCGTTTCTATTTATCTATTTTATTTTTCCTATTCTTTGCTATTAAGAAGATTAATTTATTTTTACGAAAGAATTATCTCTCGTAATCTACTTCTCGCAGAACGCAAACAATATCGAAAGCCCATTACTTCAGAAACTCAAAAAACAATTTGATATTTACAGGCTGTATGTTTCTCAAGTACGAATGCCGTCCTTCTGTAACGTCGAGGGTCTATTTGGCATCTTCGACGGTGGTTCGAATCAGGAAATACCCAGTGCCCTACAAGAGATGATACCGCGTCTTTTACTGGAGGAGCGGACTATACGGGATACGTCGAAGGAATACCTGAAGTACACCTTGCTATCGGCACATAGAGAACTCAAAGAGAAGGGTCAGAAGTACGGTGTGGACGCGACTCTCGTCCATATAGTGAAACTACCGTCGCAGCAGGGATACCCAAAATCCTCGAGCAAGTATTCTTTGAAGGTGGCTTCCTCTGGGGAGGCGAAAGCCGTTCTCTGTCGAGCAGCTGGACCTTTAACCCTTGCCGCGTCTAAGAAAGTTGGGGAATCGGTTAAGACTCAATTGGGCAACGCTGCCATGTTCCCGCTGGTGGTGCCTGATCCGATGTACGAGGAAGCGATGTTAGAGGACGACGACGAATTCGTCATAGTCGCCAATAGGAGATTGTGGGAAGTCCTGAGTGTCCAGGAGGCTGTGAGAGAGGCCAGAGCCGAGGCCAGTCCAGTTCTAGCTGCAAAGAGGCTGCAGGATCTGGCACAGGCCTATGGCGCCGAGGACAATTTAAGCGTTATCGTCGTCAGATTGGCCGGGCCGAGCCCAGGTGACATGGATCAGCTGATGCGCGAGCTCAGACACGCTGTCGGCAAAAATAGAAACCAAACCGGTGACGGCGCATGTCCCTGTCCCTGTTGCGTGCCGCCGGCGGCACACAAACCTCCAGCGGCCTGCTGTTGTCACGCAAATGAAGGCTATTATCTTAATGGCGTGTTAAAGAATATAGTGAGCAGGTAAGAATAAAAAAATATGATAATGCATCATTATACAACAAATTTAATGGCCGAAACCGATCGATATGTCGCGAATTTATGCAACGGTATAAAATACATCTAAAATGTGCGAGCAAACAATAACGTCAAACAATTTTATAATTTATGTGTTCAAATATATTGAAAAAATAAATAATATATATTAATTAATATATTATAATAAATATTATAATTAATTAAAGCTTCTCTATCAAAAATACTAAAATTTATTTTTATTTTTATATATATATATATAAAAATCGAATTTTTCTGCTATAAGTATACATAGAATAATCGGAGAAAAAATTGAAAGATTTTATTCCTCTCAATAAGAATTGTAATAAAATGAATATTTTTTTCCTTAGCAGATCCAACAAGGTTCACGGAGGTTCCGGGAGGTACTTTAAGAATTCTAGACCAACTCAAGAAAACGAAAGTCCTCCGTATAGAGACGATCGTAGCTCGCCGAGCGGACAGTCCGATCAAGCTAGCGATAGTACTTTCAAGTCTCGTCATCCATCAGGAAGGATGTGGTCCGGAAGTGCGGCTTCCAGAGCGACGAACAAGGCTCACCAGAGCGTTCTCATGCAGGAAACGCGAAAGGTAAACCTCTCTCCACTAATTCGCTCTCGAATAACTTTATATAGAAAAATATACACGGAGAGAATTTTCTCTTAGAATTTACCCTGAAAATTATGGTAACCATGGACAATATGATATTGGAAGAATTTTATAAGAATTTCTCTGATTAATATTTATCACAATAAAAAATATTAATATGTACATAATAAAATTCATCGAACATATTTTATATTTTAATGTGGCAGACATTGTACTATTTTTATTGTGGTCCATGATTTTGAAGGTAAATTCTAAGAGAAAATTCTCTCTGTGTAGCACCATGCGCGCTGTAAAAGCAATTCTTTCTATCGAAGTAGCAAATATTGAAGAAGAAATATTGTCGCATTAAGCTTACGAGAGTATTTGATTTGAATAAAGGATATAAAGAAGTAAAAAAATCTAAAAATTCTCCCTCTCTTTCTCAGGTATCACCGTGCATACCTACGCAGGAGGACGCCGTTTCGGAAAGGTCCGGCGCCCTCAGCGAGGAGCAATTCCGTTGCTGGGAGTACATGCTCGAGCAAAACACTCAGCTGTTGTTCGACAAGGAGTTGGACACGCTGACAAAAGCACCGTTGCGCCAGGCGAGGTCGACGCCGCAGCTGAGCGGAGGCAACTTGCCCTTCCTGTCAAAGAGATTCGGCAGTGCGAGATCCTTCAACCCTACGATACCCCGACCGCCAGTTGTCCGTTTCGGCAGCGGACGGAGATTGCTAAACGGCGGCCCGAATGCCGCCTACTTCGGTAGTCTACAAAGGCTGATGCCTTACAACCTAGAGTACGACTTCGCCGTCATCCAGGAAAGGACCGGCATGGACTCGCTCGAGCAGGATGCCACGAGGATGCAGCAATATTGGGGGTGGCCACTACCGAACTATAGAATAGACCAAGATTTATACAAGAGGATGCCTGCGTTTGTTTAAAATTCGGGATTCTACTTGGAGGAAACTTTCATATTATTACATCATAGTATACATTAAATTGCGGAGTTGCGATCTGGCAACTCGATGTAAAGCCATTTGTTTGAAGATCGCAAGACGATAGATTAATTCCGGCGAATAATCCAATAACCTGGAGTAATTTATCTCGGATAGCTCGGATGGCGCAAAGTAATTGCAGCTCCGTAGTCTAATTATCTCATTGAAAGGCGTAATTAATAGAATACAGCGAGACGGAGCGGAACATCGTCAAGCGCAAACGCGCACAATAGCATTGATATCGATCGTACTGATAACAATGACGCGGCAATAACAAGCCGCGAGATTCTTCTCGTCCAACCGAGAACGTGCAGGCGAGAGCAAGGATTTATACCGTAACTTTGTAACTCGCTCGTTCACCGCAACCGAATCCCGTGTAAATAAAGAGACCCACCGCGCTCCTTTACGCTACACAAAGTCCGCTTTATTCCTTTATAACGGTAGATGCGCGAAAGAGATGCTGCGTTTTCGTGAAACGACTTCGCGAAGAATAGGTCAAGTAAAAGTAAGAGATTGAAGAAAATTCGTTCATAATCTTTCAGAGATTTGACGTTCTCTGTCTTTTTTTTCGACAGTGTCAATTCCCCACGTGGATTTTCTTCCAAATTGTCTTTCATAAATCTCAATTATATATATTCAAATCGCTCCTGTTTTTTTTTACCGCATGCTTTATGTATGTTCTCATAAAGTTTTAGAATTTATACTTTGTACAGATTTTTCTATATTTTACGCGTAATGTACAAATATAATTTATAATATACCCGTACGTTGTGTGACATTTTTACGATAAACTGTCGACAATATTAAGAAAATACGTCATACTATGGACGGAATGTATCGGACGATCTCGCACTTTCAACGTTACAACAATACATGTGCATCGAGATATGTGTCGATATCTCGCCTTACAATATACAAGATTATCTCTAATGAATCATGTCGTCTCTTTGCAATTGATTTCGTATATGAAACATTTATATGTTTAAAATATCGACCGATTTTTTTTTTTTTTTTGAGAAAAGTTTATTGAATTGAAAATTAGACTCTGGTATTTTTAAATTAACAATTGTACATTTTTTTTATTTCATAGATAGACATTTTAACGGTTGATAACGGATAAATTAAAATTTCTCATCACCGATTTTTTTCGATTTTTAACAAACAATAGTCAACACATTTATAAACATTTAATTTAATGACAAAGAAGCGAGATTGATCAGAGATACCATATATTTATGAGAAAGATTAACAATAAGTCGTGTTACGAAAAATCGATCTAAGAGCATGCTTCCGAAATAAGTTAATTATTTTTCATGTTTCTACCGCGTGCGTTTAATTACATATTTTATTCTTTACTTTGATCGGAATTGTGCTCTTTGATTACAAGAAAAAATTATACAAAAAAAAATATTTTTTATAAATATAAAGATATTTTTGTATTTTTAACGTAATATAGAATGTGTCCCGGAAAAGAGTATGTTCCAATAACAGATTTATATTTATTTGTCTGAAATATTAAAATATTCTTCGAAGACAGTGAACTTGAAGAATTGTTGAAAAATAAAATTTATAAAAAAATAATTAAACTAATTAATATATAATATGAAATAACAAAAATCTTTAAAATTTATATTTGAAATATAATACATATAAATTAAATTTTTAAACTAACAATAAATCTTATTGTGTAGTGTGCAATGTTATTAAATAGGCATATGCATACACGTACACAAATATGTAGTGAATTAATTTCGTGTATCAAACGCTGCTGTCGGTACATACATTCTCCGGGTCATTATCTAAAAATATTGTACCTGAGACTGGGTCAAATAAATCATGACACGCAGTGACCCGTTGTTAACGCAGAACGAATAAACTACGTCGCAAATATGGCATATTCAGCATTTAAAGTGGAATATTCAACACTTGCATATGCGTTGAAAAAAAATTCCCGTTAAAAATTTCCAATATTTAACATTTTTCGAATATTTCAGATTTATATGTACATACATACATATCGAAAGAGAGAGAAGGCAAAAACGATCTCATGATTTTATTCTATTTCGTTATCTTTTTTGTCCTCGTTGTCGAAATCTATTTTGTCTCAGTCATGTGCACTGTAATTTCTCTTCTCATTTTTCTCTTCTTTTTTTCACATTTCAAAGAACGATCAAATTCATCCAAAATCGCAAAAGAAAATCAAATTGCGAAGGAGATTGAAAGAATTTATCAAAGGGGAAGATAGATTCGCGTGGAAGATAAAATTCCCACACATCTAGTGATTGATTCTAAACATGTCATTATTCGTTACATTCTAATTTGACTTCCTGTCTATTCTTGTACGTCCGCACAACCGTGTAATCGCTTCCTTCCGCGACTCTATCATGACGAGTACTCGTATAAATTATAATAGACGATGATATTTTGAGACACGCTAAGGTTCAATCGCCTATCTTCGTCGATTAATTTCTTTCCGTCGACCTTGACAGGTGTTATCTTATTTGTAGCACGCTATTACGCTGATATCGAATTTTTCTGTCCGAGTCGCGAGAAGAAGCCAGACGGTAGGAGAAGATTAAATAAAGTAAAACTTTCTGCCTTATACGAAAAACTTTGCTCCGACAAACTGATGATAAGAAGAATACTGAAGATTTCAAAGTTTGCTTTCTCTTTGCAAAAATCTCAACCGAAGCTTAATTGGTATAATAATATTTAAGGTGAAAGATTGAAGAATCAAAGAGTTATTACAAAATTAAACGAGAGAAAAAAAGAATATTACGAAATCTTATATACTTTCCGATTAATCTCTAATTGGAGATTAGAGATAAAAATTTTAATTACAGAAAGGAAGAAAGAATCTTTTTATGTGTCGAAGTTTATTTAAAAAATAAGCTAATAATTGATAATTCTTTAATAAGGAAGATTTAAAAACCACAGAATTAAGTCATAAATTTTAATGCACGTATATATGAACTTGTAGCAAAATAATGTTCTTTCCTGTTTTACTTAAAAATTTATAAAAAAATTTGAATATTTTCCTACGTCATAATATAAAGCAAAAAATATTATATAGTATATGTAGTTTCTATAATCACATGTGATGGAGACTTATCTTACGCGATTCAGCACGTGCTTTTCCTCCAACCAGTCTACCAAGAGCACGATAAGCAGTTTTTTATCGAACTTTGAAATATGTTAATTCATTTGCTACTATCGACAACCGAAATTATTAATTAATTACAATCCATTTTTATACATATAAGTGACTCTCCATTATTAAGATATGTAAAATACGTTTTTTTATCTTGACATTATTAATCGTTCTCAATAAGAGCAAAAATAATTGCTCAATTGTTTCGAAAGAATTTCTCGTTATTTTGCCACAAATTTCCTTGAATTACGACAAGAATATTGCAAAATGCAAAGTAATTCAGTTAATTAATGTTTTTATCGTAAAAAAGAATTTTTCATTATTTTCTTTCGGAACATATCCTACTAATTTGTTTAGCTGCGTATCCAGAATTAATAACAACCAGGTATACTCTTTATTAATTTTTAATGCAAACTTTCATAAATTGTGAATAACGTTCAATTAATGCCAATAACAATAATTAAGATAGACACTATCGTAAAAAAGAGAATGACTCATTTTATATCTCTATAGAGTTACATCTCCAACAGTTTTAAAAACAATTTTATAAATTTCCGACAACATGAATATAAATAATGCATTATAAGATAGAGAACACGGGATCGCTTGCGTCGACATTTATAGCATAGGCAGAATGTACATGTAAAGAAAAGATAAGTGCGATTGATAAGCGCTAATTGTATATAGTAAAGTTGAGAGACGAAACGTATTATGAAACAAAACGCAAATTTTGAAATAGGATCTTACAATATTAAATCCATATTGCTTTAATAATTTTGCAATAATTTTTTAAAAGTCAAATTACGAAGAAAAAAAAGAAAGAGAGAGTGCGCGAGATTTTTAAACAGTTACGTAAACACTTTGACGATACTATCGAGATATCGATAATAATCTTGAGATTTCGCTATCAAAGTGTCTTTATTTTTTTATGCTTCTTTCGATACAGGTATACTGATATTTTCTGACATTACAAAATATTCTCAATAATGAAACTTTTCATCGATATTGATCCAAATATCGAATGTTTAATTATAAGGTAGCAACATTACGGTCCAACAATAAAAGATATCCGTATAGTTCCACGAACATATATAGGGTGGCGCGATCGTTCTTGCGACACAATATTACCAACATCGTCACTCGTGTATATATAACGGGTAGTCGAAGAGAAGGGAAACCTAAGGAGAGAGCCAAGCATCTACCTAAGCCTAACGCGAGTGCAAAGCTAGTAGCTTTCGAGCATTCGCACACGTCGGAACGTACGTTCGAGCGATTATTTTCTCTCTTTCGTTTTCTCTCTTTTTCTTTTTCATTTTTTTTTACATTCGCGATTTTCCCGGGGTAACGGATATTAAACCGGTTGAGTGAAACAAACCCGTTCCCGGAAAATAAAAACCCGTCCGTCAGCATCGACGCGATCGAGAAGGTGGCGATGATCGATAGTGTCGCGGACCGATGCACGATGCAGTCTAGCGGAAGTTAGCACGTGTGGAAAATTATTTCTGCAGGTGAGTATAACGGAAAAATGACAGCGTTTAACTATCGGACTAGTGGTTCAAACAGAGAAAATATTGATGCCTGAGAAAAACGAGATATATTAATATTCGAAAAATCGCGCGTTACTCACGGTAAACTTTTTCTTTGCACATCTCTACAAATTATTTATTTTCTATTAGTTATTGTACATTTAATTTTTTGTCTTAATATTACATGCACTCACTGTACATGAACACTTGTTTAAATATTATTATTACATAAGTGACTGCATAAAAGCAAATTACATTTAAAGGCAATTATCTATTATTACAAGAATATTTTTTATAACAAAATATTAATAGTTATATGTTAAAGAATATATATAATATTATCCCTATATAAAAAAAGAACACCGAATGAGATGTTAATACTTGTAGCATTAAAGCCAATTTAATGCAATATAGAACGTGCACTCATGCAAAGTCAAGGTTCCGATTAACATTTTAACTGCACATAAGCCTCGATCAATTGAAAAAGATTGCCTATAAATTTTTATATATAGAGTGTTTAAAAAATGTTTTGCCACATTTCTTTCAATTCTACATTTCAAAATAAAAAAAAATTGCATTTTTCCAAAGAAAAAAAATTTAGAAGTCATTATCAGTTCGAGCAATTTATTATATTTGTAAATTATTAAAAGCTTATCAATCCTCATAATTCCTTTATATTTAGAGGTAAATTATGTTTAAAAAAACGATTGAATTTAAAATTGCACGAAATATCGGCGTAAAAAAGAATTATCGCGTCCGTCGCATTAGTATGTCAATATGTTTCGAACGAGCAGTATGACGTATCATAAATAAGACACTTAAAGAGGGAACAAACTTTTCGGTCGATAGACTTTGAACTCTTACGAGGACGACGGGAAAATAGACTGTAGCTGATCCGCGTCACAAACAACTTTCCCGATTGCGCGTCATCTGACAATCACGATAATAATGCTTGACGTTTCTGAAATCTTGGCATGCGTCATTCACTTTCTCTTCATCACGAGATACACTTAAACAGTGCATTCGATAAATAAATATTCGCGCTTTTTGCCAAAATTTTTGCTTAACGTAATCGATAAGAATCATGAAAAAATAGACTCAAGATTGAATTCCACATTTGAAATGACTAATTAATACCGATCTATTAGTTTTGGTACCAAAAATATTTATTTTTCTTCTCTTTAATCGTATCTTAATTAAAATGTTTTGTATGCATATATCTTTATGTAGATAAATACATATTCATCTAAAAAAATTAACAATATATGTATGTATAAATTATCAATTTAAGTAAAATATATAAAAATACATAAAAATAAATTATTAGTTTAATTATAATAAATTACTAAGCAAATTTCAATTACATAAGAAGCTTATGCGTTGAATTACATATAAATATTCAATTGTTTACTATGATACGATTAAAAGTAATAGAAATAAATATTTCTTTTTTGCTTTCACTAATTCAATTAAATTATAATTCTTTTCATGCTGATAAATCTATTTTAATTTTTATTTGAAAAATTATTCTTATATGTTATGATATTCTGAAATAAATTCATATTTTGTATCGTTTAAAAATTATAAACTAAGCTCGAGAAACGAATCGTATTTTTATCAATAAATAAATTAAATTTTGAAAATTTTGGAAAGATACAAATTATCGAATATATATCTAATAAGAAATTTTTATTTAAAATAAAAGAGCACAATTTTTCTTCGATTCTGTCAATATCTTTTTACCTAATTTTACTTTTTCGATCTTTTCAAGCAAGATATATTATTCGTTTTCTTACATTTTCTCACGTACATCACAGCATGAATGCAAAAAAAGTCTTGAAAAGATTAACTGCTAAAGAAAGGAAATTATCAGCATAAAAAGATTAACTTGAAATTTTGGAAAATATTTTTGTGTCGAAATATTTTTGCTAAAAAAAGAAAGAAAAACATATTCTTCTCTAAAAGAATTTCTATAGCGTCGAAGGTATTAGAAAATGTCAAGAAACAAATTTAAATATGAATAGAAACAGTGTCTAAAAATAAAAGACATAAATCTTCACAGCCATGTTAAACTTGTATAGCAGAGAGCAGACGAAATTGTTTACTTATATGAAAAAAGGGTCTTCAAATTTTTGAGTAAGATTTATACGTCATTTGCAATTACTTTCATCTTTTATGTCAATTGCTATTATGATACGTATTTATTTGAGTTTAATATAATGTTTTGAAAGATCGCTTTGAAAGATTTTCTTTTGAGAAATTTTTATATTAATTAATATATACGATGAAATTATGATGTTCCGATTAGCGCAAAATAATAATATAATATTAAAATGTAATTAAATAATACAAGGGAGAAAAAGAGCTTTAGGAGCGCAGATTATTACGTTATTGCAATTTACATTGTAATTTTCAATCTCCAAGATTTTAAAGTTTTAAATTATTTAGTAGAGAGAGAAGCAGAGGATAACACTTTAATAATTTAAAGCTACGTAACGAAAATGTGGAAAGACTAAACTGAACGGATATAATAAGCCGTTTTAAAATTCTGCTTGCATGAATATAATATGTTTTACATTGGTTACATATATAACACACATAGTACACAGATATAGTTACCCTAAATTAACATAATTAATTCTTCAAAAAATATGACAAAAACATACCTTATTACGGCCAACAGATCTGGTGAAAATGCTGAAAATTCGATCACGAGACTTCACTCCTTGCTAATTATATATAAATAGCGAGCGAAATATAAACCGCGGATACACGTGCCAATGTTTTTCTCGTCGACATTTTGATTAGTAGTTAGGTAGATATGAACCAAAAATATCTTAGAAAATCTCAGGAAATTCTACGTTACAAATAATTCAATATAAGCGAGCTTCTTGTAAATAAAAAATAAAAATTTAAATTTCTTAATTGGATTTTCGCGGTTTTAAATTTAACGAAATTTTTTTGTTATTTTAATTTAGAAAACATCGATAAATGCAAAAAAAATTTTAAATATTTTTTTACCATATAAATGACATCTTGCACATATAAACAAAATCAAGTATATACATGTGATAAATTCGATTTTTCTAATTATGTTTAATTAATAATTAAATTAATTAGTAATACGGTAATCATATCGTCAGTCGTTAACAATATATTAACATATCAAAAATATAATTAAATATATTTATTTGCTGTCGAACTGTTGTATGCAATATTATAAAATATCTGACGTGTTCTTTATATAACTCGTTAGTAGAATTTACAAAAAATATACGACTTCGACATGACGTCTTTGCAATTAATCCGATACTCCTGACGTAAAACCGATACACGTAACAGCACGATAGTAGTGTTGTTAGAATGTGTCATGATAAAATCCGTGAATTATGATAAATTATTTCACTGCCTTAAACGTAATCAATCGCGATAAATTGTGATGTCATGTAAACAGGCATTCTGTAAGAACATGGCAACAATAATGATTTACAGAGAAATCAATTTACTAGAATTGCTTTTTAATAATGGTGCAATATTTTGAAAACGCTCAAAAATCACATATGATCTTGAAATATCAATCTCAATCATATGATAAATATTGCAGATATTAATATTCAAACAGAGTATAGAAAATACGATAAATATATGAAATATTCCTCACTACATCTCATTTTTTAACTTGTTTTCATATTACATTTTTATATTTTTTATATTTATATCCCAAAAATTTTATAAAAATAAAGAATCAAAATATTTATAATATATTTATAAATTCAAATAAGGATATTTAGAATAGAAAAACATGTACAATATGCATTATGATAAAAAAGTAAATAAAAAATATTTTTTGCGTATTATTTCGATGTTCCTAATATTATTTAAAACGTAAAAGTACGTCGAATATTGTAGTATATCCTCTTTAAAAATTCTCTCGGTTGATTGTCACATGGCAGGGAAATTTCCGGAAGGAATTTCTAATCTTTCCAGAAAATTGTTTCGCAAACATTTCGCCGTGTCATCTCCCACAACATGTCTCCTCTTCATGTCACTTTTGATTAAAACTCTTTTTTTATAGTGTGCGTATTATTTCTATAACTGTATTTTGCTCCGATTTATCCGACATTTACGGTTTAGAATTTTAATTTCGAACTGCTCGTAACGTGTCACGCTTACACACGACAAATGAACTTTGGTTAATATACGTTTCTCATGCATTGCAAATATTTATCGGCAAATATATTTTTACATCACAGACTAATAGCGATTGCTATTATTAACGTCTAGCGAGAGATGATTTTTTCACAGAAAAGGAAATGTATAAAAATGTGGGTAATACGAAGGAGAGCTTCTTCTCCGATTTTGCGAAAATTTTACAATATTATGGTTTACAATAAAATTGTTACTCTTAAGTAGTAAAGAAAAGTTATAACGAGTCCGCCTCACTTTTTGCAAAGGGGAGAACGGATTTTAATTTACAGTATTTACATACAAAAATATACAATATTGTAAAGTTTTCACCAAATCGAAGATGATTTTCATTGCACAAAATTATTACCCAAAATTAAAGTAAAAATTGATATGAGACTCACTGATGATGCGCAGTGGCACGCAGTGTAAACTGTGTTGTAATCTATGTTGTAACCTGTAAAAAGATACAAGGAAATTATAATATATATAGTATACATTATAATACAATATAATATACACATAATATTAATAGTTGAAATTTAAAATAATTAAAATGTTTCATAAAATAAAATAATTATATTAAATTTAATAGTAAAAATAGTAACAAGATAAATAATAAATAAATTACCATGTAGTTGTTCCGCTGTTGCCCGATGCCGCCCTGGGCCTCCTCCTCCTCTCGTAGAAGCACTTACACTTCGAAACACTTACACTCGCGTTACTTTTTTCGTTCGCGACGCGGACTTTTAGTTATCACATTTTCGACGCATTAAAACGCGAGAATATCACGGGAGCTTTTATTCTCGTGCGCGAATAAACCCGATGCCGCCTTTTTCAAGGCCCACTTTTCGGAGGGCCTTATCGAACGACGACGACGACTTCCTCGCGACGTACTCAGGAGTCGTCGATATTCTCGAATTGGCGAACATAAATAAAATAAAATATGGCGACAAAACCGTAGTCGTAGGCGACCTACGATTTTTCGGCAAATTTATGCTAAATCGTCGCGTGACGATATACTTTGACACGATGATGCGAAAGTACGAGCGGAACCGCGTGATCGACTGCTTAGAATCGCTCGACAACGTCGAAAAACTTCGGAAATTTTGCCGCCAAAAGCGCCCGGTGAATATCTCGCGATCCGCCCTCGTGAACTCGCGCGCGCAAACTTTTGGCGGGTCGAGCTGTGACGTTGCGCCAAGAATGCGAGGAACGAAGTGAAGGTGAGCGAGATTCGCGACCGACGCGAATTGCGGTTATGATGTCGATACACGCGACGCGATCGGATTTATACGGATATATCGGGTTATACAATTAACGGATTGTACAATTAATCGGATCATACAAGAATTAACGACGTAAAGACACTATAATAATTAGTACTCACGCTCGTAGACTTTCGCGGACCGACGATATGAACGCTCGAATCTTGATGGCGAAAGTGTACCATAGAGAGCAGCAGCATTCGAGATTGTGTTCGAAAATTCGTACCTCAAACTTCAGAATTTGATCGACCAATCGGAAACCGCGGATCTCTTTGTCCTGATTGGTCAATCGAGCGCTTCATCTTAGATGATTAAATTTCCGAACACAATCTAGAATGCCTTTTTAGAAATGTTTTTACTTGTATTTATTGATAGAACAATGATAATTATCAATAGAAGAATTTCGAAGGAATTTATGCATTTTTGCAATAATGTACGTCGGACCTCAAAAACCGAAACATGAAACATTCGCATATTAAGTGCTGAATATGTGAAATATAAATATAGATTGTAATAATATCGCGATATCGTAAATATATGCACGAGTCGCTTGGAAAAAGCAAATATGTAATAATATTACATTCGATATCATTGACCATTTCACATATATATATATATATATATATATATATATATATATATATATATAAAAATGTTGCATATTCGAATAAGAAAATACGATCAATATATATATATATATATATATATATATATATATATATGTATATATATATGTATGTATGTATTGAGCGTATTTTTTTATTTGAATATGCAACATTATTAGTCACTTCTCTTCCCTAAATTAAAAAGAAATTATTGTCTAATAAATTATTATAAAGCAACAGTCTCAAAACTAATTTCGCGTCTTTTTTCTTCAATCATATACATATACATTTGAAATGCACTTTATTGTAACCGAAAAGATCTAAAAATCTAAAAATTTACAAAAGAAAATAAAATAAAATTATAAAATATCTCTATAATAAAATTGCAGAGAATTACAACGAAACAAAAAAGGCGCACTCTGGCGGTGCGTGGGTGCAATCAATTTTGGCGCGGACAGAAAAATATCCCGAGGCACGCTCTTCTATATCTTATAGCTAGTCTATGGACGAAGCGAGCGAACTGTCACCTGTCACTATCGTGTTGCGTCGTCAATCGTCATCGCGGTGCATTTTGGTGCATTTTCGCGTCGCGCGTGTATGCGTGTGTTCATAACGTCGAAGCGAAAATTACGGTGACGATTATGTCGAGTCTCCCGAAGAATCCGGAACGACCTCCGCAATCGTTCATTAAATAACGCGAGCTGCCGGACAAAGTGGAGGGCCGGATTAAAGCTGTAGCCGAGAAACTCTCGGAACGAGATCGTCCGAGTCGAGACGTCGCCTCCACATCGTAAGTAATCTCCTTCGCGTTATTAGAAGAAAAAAAATCGTATCAAGAGAGAAAACTACCCCGTACTACTAGTACTAGTCAAAAATCTGATCTACGAAAATGTTTAAGTTCGTCGTGAAATTCTACGATTCTACGGGACGCTGTTTACAAACTACTGTATGATGGGACGTTGCTGTTTGCAATCGTTCTTGCAGAGTGAAAAATATTCAACGAGAACTATCTTTGTTTACGAAGGAACAATCTTGGCACATGGATGTTTCTCTCCGTTCACTCTCGATTAATTTATCGCGCTTTTGCCATTTTTCAGCTCGTATCTTCCGTGTGTATTTTATATAGTCGTGCCATCGCGTGTTGAAAATGTCGAAACCGACATCGATCTGCACTATGTATTATGACGAGCTATTAGAATCGTACACATTGTACGTCGCGTAGGACGATATAAACATACTTTATGTCGCGATGAAAAAAAGATTCTCTCGACAGCCACGTCAGTATGTGTCAATGACACTTCTCTCTACTGTGTACGAGATACAAAGCGAAACTGCGTTATTTATATTCCAAAAATTCACAAACAATAATTTTAAAAATACATATATCGCCATGCTATTTGTGGTTTTAGATCATTTTATAAATATAACATCTTATTTGTTCCATCTTAAAATACATTTAATTATATAGGTTTATATTTTACGTAGCTTTATCTTGGTTGAATAATTTGCAAAGCAAACATCAATGGAATCTATAGATGGAAAAATAGACTGAAATCTTATCATAGTTATATTCTTGATGACGCATCATAAAATGTTTATGTACTTGATTATACATGCTGATATATGTATATTTAATGTAGAGATTTATACTGTAAAGATTTATTTTTCACATAATCCTTAGACTTCTGATGAATATGTATTATATGTTTTATATTCATAAATTCTTGTTTGCAAAAGATATTTTATGCTTTAATGTACAAGATATATTGTAAATAGTTCAATAAGAGGATAGAATTTTCTATAAAAATATAACAAAGAACACAAAATAATCCTTTCTATCTTTTATTGCAATAAAAGATTATATTGCTGTTACTCAAATTAACTAACAATAAGAAAAATAGGCTTGCATTCTAGCTTTCTATCTTTACCAAGTTCTTCACAAGATGGAATGAATAATCCACAGTTTGAATAATTGTGTGAAAGATATTAAATCAAACAACTGAAATAAATAATTAACAAAATATGTTAAAAGAGTTTAATATTATACTTGGAGATTGATAACCAAATATTATTGAAGTAGTTTGCAATAAATCTTACAGTTAATAATCTCAATTTTCAACATATCTAAAAATATAAAAAATTGAAGATACATGATCCTAAGAAAAGATCATATTATGATATTTATATTATGATTTTTAGATTAAATAAACAAGGAGAATATCAAGTATTACGTAAATCTAACAACACCGAAGTGGCGGCCGTACAAAGTTCCGATATGAAGGGATCTAAAAGAGATTGGATTTTTAGAGTCCAGGTAATTTACAAATACTGTAACTTATTTATTACATCTTTGTAAATATTAAGAGCATTTTTAATTAAAGAAAAAAAACGGGAAAAATTGAAAACACATTTGACTTGCATCTACTAATTATAATTTGCTTTAAATTTAAAGGTGTACAACCTGGAAAAAAATGAAGTTGTTTATGTAGTTGGAAATCTGCCTGAATTGGGTGCCTGGAATCATAACCAGGCTGTTCTGATGTCACAGGAGCATTGCAGTCGCAGGGAATCTCCTGCACTGTTTGATAATAATAGCAGTGGAGATTTCTATAATGATGATAGGTGTGAAAGCAATGCAACTGACAGTGTATCTGACAGTGAAGGAGAGTAAGTATATACATATAATATATGCTACATGATGAGACACATCGTTTCTCTTCTTATAGCGAAAATTGACATTTTCTTTGTTGTCAAACTTTAATTTTTCTTGTTTTTATTCCCTAAACTTATATTGAACATAGTATTAATGCCTAAAAAAACAACCAATTTTATTCTGTAATTTGGAAATAAAAAATTTAATGTTTTAATTATATGATAAAGATTTAATATTTGTATATTTACATTTAATAAAAATTTCAGAAATGGACGAATATTCTCGCAAAAGGTTTCTCTTCCCATCGATGTTAATATCGAATTCCGATATTTTATAGCTGTCGTCTGTCAATCAAATGGCACTAAAAATTCAGCTAAAACTCTAATTATTCGCAGATGGGAAACTCATATGATACCAAGATTAATTAGAAAAAATAGTATGTATTGATTAATATTTTTTTTGAATAATTTATATATAATTAAAGTATGTTAATTTTGAACACACATGAACGATGAATATAATCAAACAATTTCTGTTTTATAGTACCAAGCAATTTTGATAATGACATATTACCAGACCCTGACAAATTTGGCTATCACAATAATTACAACAAGATTGAACGAGGTTGGCTAACAGATGAAACTGTGATACAATTTAAACTTTTTAACAATCCTATTAAACTCTGGAAGCATCGACTTCAAAATAGAAAAGTTCATATTAAGGTATCTTATAAATTTATTTATTTGTCCTAATGTATTTCTCTATTCTTTTTTCTATCTTATTTTTTTTATATTTTATAATTTTAAAGGATACTTAATTATTTATTTTTAATACATAAATATATTAAAGTTTTTTTTGCGACATTTTGTTTTTAAATCAAATAATATGTTGTATTACAGATGACACCTGTAAATCTAGTTAGACACAATTCCTTAGAATTGCAACAGTTTGGGGGCGACTGTGTAGACGATAGTCTTTCTATGGATACCCAAGATATTGTCGATCAACCTGCCTTTACCAGTATTACAGAAATTGCTGTATGTATAAAATCTCAAAATATCTTTCTGCATTGTTCTTATTATTAATGAATAAAATTGTAATAACATAAATGATATATACGTTTCCAGGTGATGAACGAGGAAGAGGCCAGATTCAAGTCCCAGGAGCAATTCGGCCGTCCTTACAATGAAGATGAATTTTTAATCTTCAACGTTGCCGTTCGGTATCCTGAAACAATCGTAAGTTGCCGCGTAAAAGATCTTTGCATTAGGGCATCATTTACTATACACAGTTTGTATGTGAAAATTATTGGCTAGAATTTATTGCTTGCATTGCTTGCGATTTGAGCTACAAATCAACAAAGTATCAATTTTTGCGTTTATATCTGTCTCTTCGATACTCAGACAACCATATATTCGATTCCATAACAAAATCAAAAATATGTACCCTCAATCTGATCTTTTGTACAAAATTTGTTTACTTATACTCCATTTTTCGAGGAAATTCATATTCACGATTACAGAAAGAAAGAGTAAGAAAATCGTTGGCACGACAGAGCAATAAATTACTGGTTAATGATGGACTCACGAAACGAATTGAGTACACTAAGAATACCCATTGACCATACCATATGAGTTTTCAGTAGACCACGAGTAGGCCGGCCACGTCTCGCGCGACTTATTCAAATTACTTGATAAACGATAATTAAACTTGTCCAGCAGCTATCTCCCTCGGAAATGCCAGCAGCGATGTGCTCGCGGTGTCCGGTCACGAAGAACACGAAGACGACCTGTTCAACTTGTACAAAAGCAAGACCTCTGGTGCAAATGAGGATGCTAACATACAATCTGGTGTATTGATGCTAAAAAGCATCGTCTACCACTTTACATCTGTGTCACATGACATCACACAGAGATATGATGGTTTTGATTGTCGTTCATCCTACCAGACCCATCCTTCTGGCTGGTCTCTCGTAAATCATCACGCATTTTTTTTTCTTGCCTGAAATTGAGACTATGTATTGTCACGTTGTATCGACAAATGGAGTTTACGCTCGTTTGTGTTCGAGCTCCAGACAATTCATTTGTCTAATAGTCATGATTTACGCAAGTTGCGCAGCCGTTCCGTAAACTCCTAAAACCGTTGCGATATCAACGCTATCACATCTCATATCCATCTGTGTGCGTCGAAAATGGTGAGATTCCCATCACTCCTATATCCTTTTAGTATTACTACTAATATTTTCTAGCTCTGACCGACTTCTTCTTCGTACCGTACGTGCCACCGCTGCGCGGCCAATGCCAGAATCTATGCTGTCAGAATCTCTTCTGAATCCGAATCGCAAACGTTGCTGACTCGCTCTTTCTAATCTGTTATTTCTATCTCCATTTCACTCTCTCGAAATTTAATACTTAAATAATCTCGGCAGGTGTTGTGGGGTAACGCGTCATCAACGGCGGTGTACAACATTTGCCAATTTTTGATCCGATTCATTAGCCAGAAATTTGTTGCTCTTGTGCCTACCAACGATTCTATAATCTTCCAAATTTTCACTTATCGTGAGCTATATAAATAAAGGAAGCTTTAGGCAATTTAGTTTATCTATCTAATCTAATATCATCTAATATCATTTGATTAAAAAATATTCGCGAGCTAGCGTGTTATTATAAACGTTTCGGAAAATCAAATACAAATCGTTTGTTGTGGCAAAGAATAAAACAAAATTCTTAATTCAAATAATATAAATAAACCATTATTCTTATTTGTTTAATGTCCTTAATTACAGGACGTATGATATTAATATTGACGCAAGCACGAAAAATGGATGAGCTAAAATTGTATTGAAAGGAACATTGGTGTTGTTCAAAGTGTGCTAGGGTCTTTTCGATGAAGCATTAAGTAGATTTTTTTTCCAGGCATACTTAGTGGACTACTACGTGTACAGCTCAAGATGTTTCCCAGGAGAACCACCAAATCACATTGGTTTCAGCTATATCCTGCCTAGTACTTTACAACCCAGTGTTGGACTTCTTACAGTACCAATTACTAGTACAAAACACAGACCCATCGGTAAGTATGTGAATACTGTAGGAAAAATACATGTAGGAGATCTTTATTTAATTTTTTATTTAAAATTGAATAACACTTAGTAACAAATTTGTGTAATTAAAGAATAAATTTTTGGATATATAAGAATGTCTCATACAAAATTTTTTTAAATCTAATTTTGAGTTGATTTTTTCAATGAAAATATCTCAGAAAACTTTTGTTTTTATGCAAGTTTTAATTTCATCTGAAATTAACTGGAGAATTAAGTTTATTAATCATTTAACATACACAAAGTATGCTTTGAGAAAGATCTTTTTTTTCAATACGTGTAACTCAGAAGTTATACATGCCTCGATATTTTTGTTAAGAAAAAATGATCTCCAAACTGGTCAGAGAATCAATTATTAAAATATAATAAATTTAGGATACTTTATACAATATATATTACACATTCAGTCTTTATTTTTAAACCACAAGATGATATTGAAACTATTGATTGCTTATAAAAGTTTACTAAAAATAACTGATTAAATTTAAATAGTCACAATCTATTGATTCGCAATCGATTAAATTTTTATGTAAATATGGTAATCTTTTGTAGATACTTATAAACATTATTTTTTCTTACATTATATAGGACAATTAACAGTGGAGTATGTCGTCATAAAACCAATTCCGGATTATCCATGGGACACAAGTATTTCGTATGCAAAACATTGGGAACAACAATGGTCAGGCTTGGATGTAGGACATAGAGGACTTGGCACATCTTTCAAATTTGAAATGAAGAAGTGAGTTGATTTATATTATTTATATATATATATATATATATATATATATATATATATATATATATATACACATAAACTACTTACTTGCGATATGTTACACATAAATTATATAAATTTGTAAGAAATTTCTTTTTTAGACATTGTGTATTTAATTTGGTATATCTTTACAGCTGCGCCAACGTACGCGAAAACACGATCGCGTCCCTGAAAACTGCGTCGTATCATGGTGCAGATATGGTCGAGTTTGATGTTCAATTATCGAAGGATCTTATACCTGTGATTTACCACGACTTTTATGTATCCATCTCGATGAAACGTAAGAAGCAGATAGAGGCTATGGATATGTTGGAAATACCCGTTAAGGATCTTACTTTGGAGCAGTTACATCTACTCAAGGTATCGATTAGTCACGATGATTTATCTTATGTCTCTTATGTCATGCATTTTCATTTCTTGCATATATGAACCTACATATGTATATATATATATATTTATTTATTTATTTATTTATTTTTAAATTTATATATTTTGTGTATACACATAATATATATATATTTACAATTAATGTATAGCAATTGATAATTACGATTTACAGATTTATCTTCAGTTTTTTATTGTGAATTTGAGAAATTTTTAAAAATTAATATTATGAAACTAATAAAAAAAAGAATATGTTGAAAAATTTCTTACTTCTTATGTACTATTATATTTAAAAAACACTAATAACGAAAATACGTGTGATAAATCGACTTTTAAAAATTACGCACTAAATAGGAAACATTTATAACTTTTTTATATCGTAATTATCTATGATTATGTGAATCTTTGAATTCTTGAAAGTTTAAAATTATGTTTTTATTGTTTACCGATCTTTCGCTAGTTTAATGAAAGGATGCATTTATTACAATTGATATGATATGTATAATATTATAAGGCGACGTAATATGTTTCAACGGGAATGTTTTACGTATCAATGTTTTGCTTTTTGCAGTCCTTATTCTTTTCTTAAGAAAGGAAAAGTATTGCTACACAAGAGTATGTCGTACGTAAACGTTCATAAGCTCTTGCATTCAAACATTTGAAAATAACATGCTCTTTTGACATGCTCTGGATTTTTTAATATTTAACAGGATTATTGTTACCCGGCGGACTCGTTGGGTAAGGTGCTCTATTTCATTGATAAAGCTGAACAGAGGGTTAACAAACTGGTGAGCTTTCACAGTGCTTGCGCCGGTTAATTTGTCGCTAAAAGCATATAACAACCAATATGCTTATCCGATTTGCATGCTTTCTTTGTAAATGCTATCAAAAGCGACTGAGTCCATGATATTGAATCATAATATTGATTATCGCTACTGTAAAAATAAACAATTTTCTTTTTCACTATGCAATCACAGCGCTTTTCTTAAAAGAGCTGAATGTTCATCTTAATAAATTTCTCTTTCTCTCTGAAAGCGATATGCAATAATCAAACTGCGATAAATTTATACCTAAAAGCAGTCTACTTGAAAAATTTATATGACTCGATAAGATAATATATTTATACTTTTAATAAGAAAATTAATTAAATTTGAGCTCCACGATTAGTTTTACATTTACTGAATTTTATTTTTGTCGAATTGTGCTCCCAAAAAGATATATTTGAGATATATTTGATAAACATTCAGTCAAATAGCTTGTAGCTATTAAAATTGTACAAAGATAAATATGGCTAAAATAACATTCACAAACTTGCTTTTCCAATGTCTCTGACATTTTATATCATTAGTAAAATCGATAATCACCAGTTTCACACCCTCTTCATCTACGACTTTACGCAATTGCTTATAACTTCAAAATTTAAAAATATGAGAAGAATTTCAGAAGCTTTCATAATTCATTAATTTTTGTGACGAGTCGAAACATTTTTAAAATATGTCTTCGAAAACTACTCTGAGATGAAAATATATTAATAGTTTTTTTCACAATTGTTTTCTTACAGCTGAATTCCACAATATTTCTGACATCTTTTATAGTTTAGTTTAATCATAGCGTGCGCGACTATTATGTCAATAAACGGCACAAAATTGTAAGATATGCAATTCACATAAAATCAGTACTGTTTGTTTTGTCTTGCTTTGAACATTTATTACGTCGATGATGATTAATCTTTACAACTTTCTCAATTCTTTTGCGTTTCAATATGTGTCATGACGGGTTTATTTTATTAACGAAAATTCTTTTCCACAGGTTTATCACGTTGCTGAAGGCCGTGAGAAGAATCCAAGATTCTTCGATGAGGATTTGGAAGATCATCAGCCCTTCCCTACGTTACAAACCGTGCTTCAGGAATTGGAACAGCACGTTGGATGCAACATCGAAATTAAGTGGACCATGCAATTGAAAGTGAGAATAATTTGATATTATACTGCATTTTTTTCTAATAGCGAAACGTAAATTAAAATTTTTTATCATTATATAGGACGGCACTTTCGAGCTTAACCATCCTTTTGATCTCAACATATATCTGGATATCATTTTGAAAGTGGTATTGGAATATGGAGGTGATCGAAAAATTGTGTTTTCCTCTTTCAATCCGGATATTTGCGCCATGATCCGTCTCAAGCAAAATAAATATCCAGTAGTATTTCTAACACAAGGAGTTACACTGAAATACCCCACTTACCACGATCCGAGATGTCAGACGATACCGATGGCTATGAGACATGCGTTGGCCGCAGACATTTTAGGAATTAACGTTCACACAGAAGACATTCTTCGAGATCCGTCTCAAGTCAAGTTAGTCAAGGACGCGGGTTTAATAATCTTTTGTTGGGGCGATGATAACAACGATAAGGCCACTATCCAGCATCTAAAGAAACTCGGTTTACACGCAGTCATATACGATAAGTAAGTAATTTGATAAGCTGATAATTTGATCAGAAACTAAAAGACAATTTTTTTTAATTTAAGGAATATTTCAAAATATTTATTTGATAACTGTTTTTAGAATCGATGAGTATAACGCAAAAGAAGTGAAGGAAAGTATATTTTTGGTTAATGCTAGAGAAAGCCAGAAGGAGCTGATAGCCTTGGCACATTGCAGTCAAACACCACAAATCTCTGCTCCCCTGAACACAGAGAAGGTTATTTTATATAATTTTATTTTTTATTTTTATTTTCCATTTTGCATCAATATTTATTAGATTTAAGGCTAAATATATCATTTCTAAGAAATGATATCCCTTGAAAGATAATGAATGAGATATAAAAAATATAGATTCACAAATAATATTTATAATATTAAAAATAGAATAAAAAATGATATATTGATAAAATTTTAGGAGTATTACTTGGACCGACCATCGACAACTACATCGCTCGCAAAGAACAACGTCGACGGCGAGAGTATATATTCCGTACCGACCGACTGCGAAGAGAATGGGGAAATCAACGAGATAACCAAGGATTTTAGTACCTGTGCAAATACTTTCGGCAATTCGGCAGTGAATACGAAAAACATCTCCGAAATTTATGAAGAGGATGAGACGGCAAAGGATTGCCTTTGATGCTTTTCTTTCAAGAAGCCCTTGTGAATTTGATAAAGACGTATCACTAAAAGGAAGAGTGATGGGATGCGATAACAAAAAAGAAAACTTGTTTTCTCATTTATGATGCGCTATATTTGTAGCTGTTAAGCCAAAATATTGCCGATGATTGTTGTTACTTTAAAGTATAATGTGCGATAGTACAATACGCGAAGAAAATTGGCCGATTTACTTCTTTTACGATGCGTATTATTCCTTCAATCGGTCCATTTTTCTCGCGCATTGTACAGCGTGTGTCGGAAAAGTTTTTTAATCGAATTTTTTTAACATTGGGATCGATATTTTTTTAGCAAATATAATTTTCGGTATTCATAAATATACTATTCGATTTATTCGTCGAAAAGTACAATTCTCAATCTAAATACAAAAGATATTTAACAATTTCGAAATCTTAACCAAATCTGAGCTTTAAAGACTTTAGATGTGCAAAATTTAAACATTTTATTTTCTATCAGATTCAAAAATTGAAATTAAGCATTTACAGAAATATAATTAAGCACCGATTTAGGAATTTAAGAAATTAGCAATTTGAGGATCCGAATACTTAAAAGCGTAGAAATTTAAGAATTTAAAAATATAGTTTTATTAATATATAGTTTATCAATTATCAGAGGAATAAATTAGATTAGTTTCCTTATAGTAAAAATCGAATGCATATTTGCCAGCAGTATTGTTTTATATACATCTTAATACTTTCTAATAAGGATCTCCCAAATGCTAATGAATCCGACGCAGGCTGTAGACGATTCTAACTCCCGCAAATCCACACTTGTGACAGGTAGCTGGCGCGGAAGTTAGGTTTTTAGTACAAATGTCTTCAGATATATATCTTTATTTAGAATTGGGAAGAGAAAAAAAACATTCACTTCCTCCGTATTTCTTCCGCACTATCGCGATTCAAATATTGTAACACAAATCGAGAAAAAAATAGATAAAAAAAGAGCAAGTCGCTTGTACTGTATGAGCGCGCAATGCCACTAGTTGATATACTTTTTACGAGCTGTCGAACGAAAAAAAAGATGCGAAGGCAAGAGCGAACGATTGCGCCTCACCTTTTTAAATTGCCTTTTCGACAGCTGCATCTCACATTTTAAAATCGTAAGATAAACTATTTTTAATAGCGGAAACGTTACTACAGTTTTAAGGCTCCATTTTGCAAAACTGCAAAAATAGACTATCAAAATTTTGCGCTTTACTCTGGAACATATTGCGTACCGCCTTGTAACGCCTCCGCTAATTTAGTAGTCAGATATTACGTAGGACAGGTATTACTTCATCTTCATTTATTTATATCATTTAACAACGCGTGTTATTCGATCAGTATGAGCACGATTGAAGAAAATAAAGAAAAATCTTTTAAAAAACACGCACGATTTTTTTGTCATTTTTAGCATTGACGAGTGCTCGTTCTGATTAATTTTATAACATTGCTGCGAATTATTTGCAGTCTTTCCGTGATGTAAATCGCGAACTCTACTATTCGTCGTGTCGAGTATCGGTAACTGGCGAATTTTAAGACTCCAAAACAGCCCTGTACCAAGTGCGATCGAAAGCGTTGAACGCAAAGCATTCATTTTTTATAGAAACAGTTTCTCAATTGCACTATACTCCTCAAAAAAATGGGAAATAATGCTAACCCTTCAACCGATAGCTTTGTCCATCTGCCGATGAAAGCGAGCCAAGCTCGTTGCACCGTCCGCTTCAATTTTTGATATCACAATAATTCGCATCTTTCATTAAGACAGACGAACTGTTTCGTCGTGGATAAATGAAAGATCGACACTTTGCGCTTGGGAATGCACAAAGACTCAGAATGTTATTAATTGGACAGATTATCGTTGCAAGATATTTATTGCGTGACGCGATTAAAGATTTATATCTCTTTATATACACAGATTAAGAAAATATAAGTTGATAAGATTAGATTACTTTTGAATCTTTGGAAACAATGAAATTCAAATTATCTATTAAATTCTCTCTGATACTCAAACAAAATAAATTAAGATATCTAAATATCAAGTAAACAAGCATAAGGAACAATTTTGCTGACTAATTTCGCAAAAGTAGAGAGAATTTATATTAAGTTTAAAAATAATTATACAAAAAAAAGGAAAATGTATATAATCTAATTGTTATTGGAATAAAATATTTTAATATTATGTATGTGTATACGTAGTATAATATGTTATACTGTTATAAGTTAATAATATATCTGCTATGTATTATTATAGCATTGTAACAATAATAATACTATTGTAATATACCGAGATTAAGTTGACGATTCACAGCGCAAAGGGTTGGTCTATCGGTTGAGGGGAGTTCATGAGAGAGGTTCACATATACACAGAGGTACAAGCAGCGCGAATAGCTTTCTAAAATTTTTCACGAGAAAAAAAAATGATGCGTGCCGTATTGTCGTAGTAAAAAGTACCAGCTATGGAGCGATTGTATCAATCGTCGAAATAATGTACAGTACATTTGTTGACAGATAATAGCAAATATACATAATCTATACGTTATTACGAGAGATTGTGTCGCTACGTTATTAAGACAGAGGACGTGTAGTTATTCTTTTATTTTTCAATCAAATTTCGCATCTTTTTAAAATCGTAAATGGTATCGCAATAAGTGGATGTCGCCGGAAAAAGTTTTTTTTCGGCGATAGAATTAAATTGTTAAAATGAAATTAGAAAGCTGACCACATGCAAGTTGAAAAAAAATCGATAGAATTCAGATTTCATTAATATGTAATAATTATTTTTTTATAGATAAAATAGCAAAACGATTACTACATATTAATAATAGTATGATATGTATATTATTAACGTTACAATAAGCGCAAACAACAAAAGGTTCGTTTCAGGAGAGGCTCAGAACTTAAATCTTATATTTATATGTTAAATATGCAGCATATAAACGACAAAATACATATTTTATACACGTAATTAAATCTGTGTGTTAAAATAAAAAATTATTCTCATTTAATTGAAACTTTTTTACAAATTTTGCTTGAAATGGAAATTTTTAAAGTTGATACTTGATTAAATTAAAAAAAACACATATATACATAAAATACATATATTCAAAAGAAATAAAAAACCAATTTTTTTCTTATATTATTATTAGCCATATGTGATGTTTAAGTACTGAGTAACTCCACATGCACATTAATTAGCGAACTATTAAACAAAATTGCAGAGCCGACTTATTGCGGCTAAAGTGTTTCGATTTTTCCGAGTTGTTTAACTGATAAACTATAATTAAGATTTCTAATAACACTTATCTATATTACCACTTTTATCTTATTGTTTACGTTACATATATGCAAGGCTCGAGAGAAGAATTGAAATTGTTTATTCTTACCGAAATAATAAAGAATTTGTATCGTCATTATGCCTGTCGCAGATTGATGGCCATTCTAAAAAAAATCCCTAATTATTGCCTCACTCTTTTTTATTATTTTCTTTAGATATATTAAAATAAAAACGAAATATTTTACGAATTATCTTTATGTTGAAATACGTAATCGAAAGAGCTATACTTTTGTTTATTATCTAAACTCAAAATAAGATGTGCAAATTATGATAAAATGTACGATACATTTTCTGATTTAAATTCTAATATGTATCAACGCGCGTTTTTTATATTTTGTCAACAATTATTAAAATAGAAAGATCGAAAAAGATCTTACCGAAATAAAAATTTCGCGCGTCTGTAGGATGTATTTTTTGAAAAAGTATGACGTCATCGAAATATCGAAAATATCGTTATCGTGGAAATCAGGCGGGAAGCTTCGATATGGTGCGGCGAAATCGGCGCAAGTATCGATAGTAGGTATCGGAGTATCGAAAACAGCGTCCTTACTGGTTTTTCCCCTTCCCACTCTGAATAAGCGCGATCATAAAAAGCGAGGCGATCGAGGTGTCAACGACGAGACGAGGCGAGGCGAGGCACCGTGCGGACTGGAGTTCTCGCGTGTGACGTTTACATCACGCCAGTTTGACATTTCGTGGCAGACGCGACGCGCCGAGTTTCGCGACCGTGACGAAAAAATTTAAGGTTACCGTCGACGCGGTCTCGTCGAGGCGAACCTCCCCAGGAAAGCCCGCGAGATTCATCTCCTGCGATGTTTTGATTACTCTCGACCCTTCATCCTGCGCTCTTACCGTTCCTCGATGAGGAGGATGTCCCGCGACACCGTTCCGGGGAAAGCGTGACCCGGTCTCCAGGATTCGACTTTCGCCGCAATCCCGAGGAAACAGAGAACGCGAATCCTTCCGAGGAATTTTGTTATGCCATGCTTGTCATCGTCGACGTCGTCGCCGTCATCTCGCGATAGGTGCGGAGAGTTCATGGACACGTGTGTATGTGTATTTGTGTGTCGCGTACGCTGATTTGCGAGAGTGTTCGTGTATGTCATTTGCTTATTTGTGCTTATTTGCAAATTGATCAGGAGCCGAGAGTCTTGCGTTCTCGCGCGATGCAGGCTCGTTTCACGGGAATGTCCTTCAACACATTGCACGTATATACGTTGTTCGCGATTGGCTTTTTTTTGTTATCGTATGCTTTATAATTAACGATATTGCGATACTTCTTTAGAAAAATTAATCGGCCTCGAGTGTTTTCATTGACAATAGTTTTATTATTGTATAATCAAAAGTTTTAGAGCAAAGTGTAAATATCAGTTTTAATTAATGATATAATTCTGGAAAAATATTACATGGCGTGTATATATTGTTGCAAAAATGTATAGACATCTGAGAAAGATTTGATATCTATATGTTATTTCAAAGTTTGACAAAAGGGAAACAATTCAAAGTCTACTTTAAAGAGACGTACTGAATTACCAATGTAATATTAATGTGGATATAGTATATTGACATTACAAGTCTCAAGGCTGATACTTTGTATATATTTATTTCTGATGTGTAGAGTTTGCACTATGCTTTGATACATACATGTAGACTTTGCATGTGTTAATATTACTGTTATGATGTTACCTCCCAAGGCTTAAAAGTCAAGATATCTTGAAAATAAAATTTGAAAAATTATATATGCTCAAGATCTAATCTCACATATTACATTGTCATTATACTATGTAAGCATTCTATAAATAATTGCACTATATGTTAATGCAATCATATTAGCACATAGCTGTGTAAATTTATTTTAGACATGTGAGATGTTTCTTATCTCTTAATGAGTAAAAATTCAATGACACTTGCAAATGAAGTAACACGTTTTATATGTCTTTTTCAGATATGATTCTTTCCATATACACTATACTGCGTAATTGCTCAAGAAATTATCTGATGTGTGCGGATGATGACTTGTGTACTGTTCGACGACAGTGAGGTGAATACGCTGTGATGGGGTGGGCGATATCCACCGCAGCATGGGTTTTTATATGGAGTTGTTTGCTGCGGGGCATCAATCTAGCTCCACAGCCATCTCCAAAGCAAGTGCCGTGCGATAAGACAAGAAAAGTCTTCACAGACTCATGGGGAATTATCAGTGATGGGCCTATGGGCTCGAATTACACTCAAGATTCTCACTGCGAGTGGCTCATTAAAGGTATGAATAAGAAAGGAAAAATTGAAATTTCAAAAACAAATTGTAATTATTATAAAGTTAGTGAAAGTTTATTTTGTTCAGATAAACAACGAGATATTTTAAATCCAGCTGTTTTCCTCAATAAAAGTGCATGTTGTCACTTAATGTAAACATTTGAACATCTATATTTTTCACATTCTCATCTTATCTAAAACATATGCATATCAAAAATACATCTCAGATATACATATAATATAAAATTGCATACGCAATAATGTCTCATGATAAAATGAATAAGAAAGGAAAGAGTTTTTTAAAGAGTTCATATATAATTTGCTTATCTTTTTGCAGCTAATCATAGTCGCCAATTTATTACATTGAGTTTCCGAACTATGGGAACAGAATGCAGTTATGACTATGTGTTTGTTTACGATGGAGATTCCTTTCGTTCCCCACTTCTGGGTAGCTTTAGTGGCAAAACAGAGCCGCAACAAGTGACATCATCGTCCGGTTATGTAAGTACATATATATGCTACATCAATGTGAATAATATGCAGATTTAAGTTTTTATAGCAACTCATTATCAACATTATCGATCAACATCATTACATGAAGCAAACATAAAGAATAAAATTTTTACAATGAATAATTATAATTTGCAATTTATGCAATTTTAAAAATTATAAAAATATAATAAAATGCTCTATAATTAAATTATAATATATAAAATATACTATTAAAATTATATCAATGAAATATATTATAATATGTAGCACTGTGAAATGGATGTATTATGGAATATCTTTCTTTGCAGATGTTAATATTATTATACAGTGATACAAACTACGTCTTAGATGGTTTTCACGCAGAGTTTTCAGTCACGGATTGTCCAAACAATTGCACCCATCATGGAAAGTGCATCAACAATACATGCTTTTGCGAAAACGATTGGGGAGGTAAAGACTGCTCTCGAGCGCTCTGTCCGAACAATTGCAGTGGAACCGGTAGCTGCGGCTTGAAAAGATGCGAATGCAACAGTGGATACTCTGGACAATCTTGTTCATTGCATAAAACACGTCCAGAAGGAAATCGGTACGTTTTTCCGAAATTATGAGCTTCGTGTTTTTATTTTTATTGTTATATAACAATAATATAAAGTTGTGTATAATATTACTTTCTTTTTAAATTGTATTATTTATATCGAATAATAGAGGTAAATGTGAATAAAAAATTTATTATAATCTACTTATTTTATATAGATGGCATTGGCTCTCTCATTCGGAAGGTGGACTAAAACCACGCGCAGCTCATACGGCAGTCTACGTTCAGGAAACGGACTCACTTTACGTTTTTGGTGGTTACGATCTCAATTATATTCTTAGCGACTTGGAAGTGTACAGGTTTAGCACAAGTCAATGGGAAGACAAATACGGAAACGTATTAGGTAAATATGGAAATTAATAATGAAAACTTTACATAAAAATTTTAATTTATTATTTCTTTATATAATTTATTATTTAATTATATACACAGTTCCCCCCCTATTTTATCTTGTTATATTTTCTAATACGTATATTTATAAATGCAACTACAAAAATGCAAAATATATATTTGTGATGCTCATACAAAACTCATTTTTAAAATATTATAACATTAAAATTAAAAGTAAAAATTAATTATGCATACATATGAAAAAAACTTATTTTGTTATAGTAAATTTTCTATATTGTGTGAAAATATAAATGTATAAAACTTGTACACTCTAAATAATATTGTTAATGTTACTGACTGAATGTGTAAACAGAAGAGTAATTATGTGATAATTTTATATTACAAATAAACGATTCGCAGAGGGTGCTGCATCCGCTGAATATCTGGATCCTATGTTGATCGCTACTGAATTACGCAATCCCGGCGCCAAAGAAATATACGGCCTACCTACAACGTCTTTAATCTGGCAAGTCCTTTATAGTATCAAGGATAATAATACTTTCGGCCTGCTCGATCGGGCCGCTAACGGCAGTCACCATGGCTCACGAGAATTCAGAAACATGCCTAAGGAGAACGAGAAGAGCAAAAGCACCATTAGAATCGATAGAAACGACAATTCTAGGAAAAAGCATACGCGAAATATAAGACCGCGATATTCGCAATTGTCATCAAGGTAAGTGATGGATTATCTTTGTTAATCTAATTTTTTCAAAATTATCTTTGCGAATTCCGAAGAAATTTTATTGTCTTAATATTTTTTGTTGATATAAAAATATGTAAGCTAATAAGTATACGAACAAAAAACTGGAAATTGTGTTCCTTTAATTTAAATATTTAATTAGTCACACAGATTATAATCGAAATAATCTTCGAGAAACAGCATTTTTAAAATTTATGTTTTTTTATATGAATCTTTGCAAAATATTTATTAATTATTTATCATAATTATTTGTACACAATTAGGATTATAAATTACTATTTAATTTTGTTTCTTCATTAAAGATATCGCAGAAACTTAGAAAATTTATATAGAGAACATGATGCGGTAGACGTACAAAACGACAATGTGAAATGGGAGGAGCAAGTGGTGGCAGGACCTGCTGAAGATAATATATTCATACAAGAATTTATAGATCCGAAAGTAACCACAAGCGAGTCATTAAAAGAGGAAGTTACGGAACCAACCGTTGACGATTTACCCAAACCAGGTCCCCGATATGGACACGCCGCGTGTAAATATCAAGGTCTGTCGATGTAGCATTTACTGATTGTTATACATACATACTACATACATACATTAAAGCGAGAAATTTATATATTTTTTTAACGTAATCAAAATTTATTTTTAATTATCTTTAATGAATTAATATTTTTTTAATAAATAATTTATTTCTGCATTTATTATTGCCTTGATTGTCAAATTGCACTTTGCAATCAATAAATAATAGAATTATTATACTTGATCACAAATAGACAAAATTTACAATTATTATAAAATAACAATTTTTATTTAAAAATTACTCTGAGTTATACTATAATTTAACATTATAATTGTAAAATTGTTGACTTTTCACATAATTATTTGACTATATAATTGTCAATATTATATTGGTAGTTAATAAATTTTTTTACATTTTTACATTACATTTTTAGATGGTTTTGTAATCTATGGAGGAAAAGTACCAGAGGAAGATGGTTCTGTATCAAATGAACTGTGGCATTACAATGTAAACAAACGTATGTGGACTTTACGTGCTAAAAACTCTCCCTTCTACCCGCCCAGACTAACGAGACATACTTTAACCCTGGCGGGCGACTACATCTACTTGTTTGGAGGCAGCACTATTGACGGAGAATTTTCGTCCAGGCTTTATAAAATCAAATTACATTTATGTGAGTTCATCAAAACGAAAGAATGACTCAAAGAATATATATTTTAACACGTACGTACATGTAACTTATAAATAACACTTGATAAATATCAGATCACTTGATAAATCAAATAGATTTTTCAACCTATATCACAAGGGCAGCGTTTTCTACAATAATACTTTCATTGGGAGTTAAACATTTCTGGAATAAGAATTTGTAAAAAATATTTAGATATAGAAACACATAGTTGGAAAGACATTTAAAAAATGTCAATGCAATTACAGCTGATCCTATAGCAACCAGCGAGAGATGGATAGAGGTGCGACCTCGAGGTGGTAAGGAACTTGACGTGCGTGTGGTGGCACACTCGACCGTGTATCATCGTGCTACCAATTCTTTGCTGGTATACGGCGGCGTGGTTGCCAGCGTTGCTCGTTTCAGCAAATTGTCGGATCGAATGTTCGTCTTTCAACTGGATAGGAAAGTCTGGTCTGAGATTCATTATCCGAGGGCACATTTGCGAGACACGTATGTGCCGAGAGAGCGCGCCTTCCACACTTGTAATATTATTGGTAATTTATACATTCATTATTATGTAAGATATTTGTGTTTCCGTTTTTACATATTATATTTGTTTAATATAAAATACTTAATATATAATAATCTATAAATTTTGGTTTCTATTTACGGATATGTACTTTTTTTTAGTTTACATACATACAATGTCTATAATTTTACTCATTGAGTGAATGGCTATTTATGATTGACATAGCTTTTAGATTTTAAATAAATGTTAAGAGTATATACCAATCATGAACATTGTACTAAATACCTAATTATTATTGTATTATTTTGATAGGAAATTATCTGGTGGTATTTGGCGGATATTCTCATAGACATAACAAAGAGGAGATCTGTTATGACAATCAGATGTATCTCTATCACCTCGGATGTCACGCTTGGGTGAGCCACGATGTGCTAGGCTTAAACGATAAAGGTAAAACACACTTTATTTGATATTTTATATGTTTATATTGATTTAAATGCGTTTGTGCGTTTATATAATGATTTCCATTTTTTTAGATTCTCGTTATCCTAAGCAGCAGGCGTATTTGCACACGCAGCGGATGTACGTAATGGAAATATCCTGCTACTTGTTGGTGGATATCACGGTAACGTAAACGCCGATCTTCTCGCATACACTTTACCGCCCATGTTGGCGCCAGGAGACGAAGACTACATTGAACCGGAACAGATTTGTTCAAGACACAAGAGCTTGATGGAATGCGCGGCAAATCCCGAATGCGGCTGGTGTTCCGCGGACGAGGTATTCTATTTATCAATTTCGTGTTAATATATTCTTTATTTTCTCGCTTTTCATACTTTTATTTATGAAATTTCTTTGTAACATATTGCAGATATGTTATGGCCGGACGATAGGCAGTAATTGTACGACAAATCTGCAGACGACGCGTTGCCCGGGGGTTTGTCCGGCTTTGGGCGACTGTCATTCCTGCCTGATACATGGTCAACCGGGTGGCGGCTGGGGCACAAACTTTCGCGGCAAAAAATCCGTCTCGAACAAGCTTAATCTTGGTACGTGCACGTGGTGCGTCCAGAATGCTCGTTGCCATCATAAGGACGACAATTATGGAGTGTGTGGCTTGCGAGACGACACACCCTCACATATACCAGGCTGGTGGGGTCCAAAAGGCACAGAGATCACCAAGGTTGAGGAGTGTCGGGAAATGGATAAGAGGCCAGGTCTGACTTTCCTTAAATACAAGCCGCCGGTGAATTTCAGTCAACCTGACTCAGTCGCCATAGTAAACGCGACCACGGTCGATTTCAACGTACCGTCCATGCAGGGTGCGAAAACAGAATCTGCACTGGGTGGCGAGATGATCGCCAGACTGACCGGCTTTCTCAGACCGAATTCTTGGGACAACGAGGAGCTGAAGATTTGCGTCAGTTATAACAGCGCAACGCTTCATATGTCGCGAAACGACGATCCCGATAAGTTGGTGAGTTAGCCTTATCATTTTGACATCTATATATATAATTGTATTAGTAAATTATAATAAAGATCTTTTCTGAAAGAAAAATCTTGTATCCAGGAACTGGTCGCCAATTTAACTGCGGAAACTTCACACTGTATACTGACAAAGTGGCCGGACGGACAACCAATGAATCTGCAATCAGGCCGTTACTTGTTAGATTTTGAGTCGAAAAGAATGGTGACCGCAAGCTACGCTTATGCAAGCAAGATGGAAATCACACATAATAAGAAGGCAGAAAATGCAAAAGTCTTTACATTCGAGTATCTGGAGCCGTATCAAAACGGTTCTTGCCATCAATACGGCAACTGTCTGCACTGTCTGACAGATTCCTCATGCGGTTGGTGCGATATAACTTATCAGTGTCTACCGCGCTCGGCTAACGAGACGGAGAGCTGCGCGGCGGATGTGGATTGGGACGAGCAAGGTGAACCGATACGCGAGTGGCATTACTTAACAATCACGCCATCGGCGTGCGCCAATTGCTCCAACTACATCTCCTGCGAATCATGCGTGGGTACCAAATTGTGTGAGTGGTGGACGGAAGAGGCGAGGTGCGCGCGAATCGGCCGATTGCCAAATGCTGTAGTAAATCTGGAACAGTGCCCTGTTCCCTGCCGGCAACGCTTCAATTGCACTCAATGTCTGGACGAGCGCGGTAGATGTGTATGGTGCGAGGCCACGCGCGAATGCTTCTCCTTCTCCGTGTACACGTCCGAGTATCAGTTTGGTTTGTGCCGGGAATGGATGGATCAGGCAGGTCTAATGGGCGTTACATCGCGCAGTTCATCGCTGACAGGCAATGATCAGTGCAAGAGTTGCAGCCGGCACTCAAACTGCTCCAGTTGCTTACACTCGCTTAGCTGCGGCTGGTGCTACAGTCTAGATAACCCTATTACTGGCGTGTGCGTGCAGGGTGATTTCAATCAGCCTCACGTTAACTGCAGCGCGGTCATCAATGAAGATCGAAATGGTAGTCTGAGAGCGGAGGAATCCGGCTGGGCGTATGCGCAGTGCCCAGACGTAGACGAATGCGATCTCGGCCTTCACGATTGCCATCCCGACGCACTCTGCACTAATACTCATGGCAGCTTCAGCTGCCAATGCAAGCGTGGCTTCAACGGTGACGGCAAGGAGAATTGTACCAAGACCTGTTACGAGAGATGCGTCAACGGATATTGTAGCGAAGCACCGGATTACAAGTGCGAATGCAACCTTGGCTGGACCGGACCGGATTGTCGGACCAACTGTGGCTGTTACAATCATTCCACATGCGTGCAGGTAAACACAAAGATTCTACATATGTATATACATAAAGACATGCGTAAACATTTTAATTTTTGGATCTCTAGGGGCCAGGCATCTGCGACGAATGTCAGGACTGGACAACCGGACGCTACTGCGAGGAGTGCAAAGCGGGCAGCTATGGAAACGCGACAATGCCATTGGGTTGTCGCGAATGTGATTGCAACGGACACGGTGATATTGAGCTCGGCGTGTGCGACCGACAAACCGGGATGTGCTTCTGTCGTGACAACACCGAGGGTGACAAATGCCAGCGTTGCAAGCGCGGTTACTACGGTGATCCACGCGACGGCGGGATGTGCTATTACGGCTGCATGTCGCGGGGTATGCTGGGCGGCGAAGGAAACGGCAAGCAGGGTCTGGGCAGTCGACATTCTCAATCCTCGCTCTGGGGAAGCCACGCGGGCGACTCGCCGACAAGGGAGTGTCTCTGGATCGTCAGTCCTGAAACGAATCTTTCGTCGGACGCGACTGCACCAGCGATTCAAAGCGTGATACAGTTTACTATTCACGATGACATCAACGTGAGTTGTCAGGAGAACAGTGTGTACGTATATGACGGTTTACCAGAATTTGTCTCATCCACTGGTGGTCACCAGAGCCAATTACTGGGCGTATATTGCACGGAGAGCACCGATTATCCGGTAACGGTGGAAGCCAAGTCCGGCTTTCTGACGGTACACTACAAACAACTAGACGAAGTCGAGGGTTTCAACGCAAGCTACGTGGTAATGACATGCAACAACTGTCCAGGAAATCGCGAATGCCGAAACGGAAACTGCCTCTGCAAATCCGGATATGTCGGCATCAATTGCGACGTAGAAATATGTCCGAACAACTGCACCGCCTCGGAAAAACACGGTGTCTGCGACAAAGGATACGGTCGTTGCGTTTGCTTCTCGGACTACGGTGGTCGCGACTGCTCTATCCGGCTCAAGGATTATCAGTTGATTTTCACGGAATTATTCAACTCGGAATATCTGGCTGATCACCTGGATCATTTGAGGAAAACGCTGCCCCGTTTCGGACATAGTCTGGTGGCCGATCGACGCGGCAGTCTATGGATGTTTGGTGGTTATTCACTTAGCCATGGACCTTTGAACGACATCAGGTTATTTGATACGAAAAACAACACATGGATGCCGGTAACAGTTGAGTCTACTTCGGAAGCATCCATGCCACAGGGTCGCTACTTCCACGCCGCCGAGATTGTACATAGCAGACAGCAGATCTACGTATATGGCGGTCTATCAATGAAGGACGAGGACGTGCAGGGATTGTCGAACAACACTCTAAGCGACTTTTGGAAATTTAGTATACAGAATCAGCGATGGAGCCAGATCGTGCAGGATGAGTCGAAGAAGGAGCCACTGCCATTAGCCGGTCATACGCTAACTCTTCGCAGAGACGGAGAGTCTGAGAGTTTAATTTTGATGGGTGGTTTCAGTCCTAAGTATGGATATCTGGACACCGTTTGGGAATTTAATCTAGAAACGGAGACTTGGAACACGGTGAAAACCGTCGGAAATGGACCTCTGGGTGTTTACGGTCACTCTACAGTGTATCATGGCAAATCGGATAGCTTCTACATATTTGGTGGCTACACGTACGCGGTAAATAGGACGTTCATCTCGAACAAGTTGTACGCTCTGGATTACAAAACACTGACGTGGTCCGTATTGCCGCCGTTCGAGGACGATTTCACCGATGGCAACAGCTTGCCACAAGCTAGGTTCCTACATTCTGCTGTCACGACGGACGAATATATGGTAATATTCGGCGGTCGACAAAATCCTCACAATACCTCGGACTCCCTGATAGCGTACAAGTACTCATGCAATCTGTGGATACGCTTAATAACGAAAGACATGGAAACAATCGGCAGTCCGCCACCACCGGCCTATGCTCACGCGATGACCCACGCCGATCCGGAGTCGAACGCCATTTACGTCGTCGGTGGCTTTGACGGCGGTATAAAGAGTCACGTGACGTTGATCAACGTACCGGAGGATCTGTGCAAACTGTGGACAGATAAGATCACATGCAGAAAATACTTTGGCTGCTCGTTCTGCGCCGTCACCAAGTTTGACGGCGTCAATGACTCATTCTGCTTTTCGAATGAGGTTTCGAGCAATCGTGACGACAAATGCGACATCAACGTCACTCAGGCGCAACGATCGAACGGAATATTCTGCAATTCGGACTGGATGGCTAGCAGAAAGTGTCAGAACTTCAAGACTTGCACGGAATGCCTGGCGGAATGGCCGTACTACAAGGAAAATAAGCCGGTTTGCAAATGGTGTACCAACTGTCCGCACGGTGTCTCAACCAGATGCATCCCATTCGAGCGGGACTGCGACGAAGGATCGGATAAGTTGTCGTGCATCCTGTCGGTCACCAATGTAGATCAATGCAAGGAACGCAAGTGTCCGGCGAGCGACTGTGAGAAGTGCAACCGTCTCGGCGATTGCGTGTGGACGAGACAGGTGCTGAAAACCGAGCTGGGTCCAAAGTTGACAGGTGAGCCGGTCTACGATTGGAACTGCGTATCAGACAATATCTTCGAGCGATCCAGCATCAAGATGAGCAGCACGCAGTGCGAGAGGAGATGCTCCGAGCACAAAGACTGTAAGAGCTGCTTGAAGGGTACCGGCGCCGAAGGCGGCTGGAGCGAATGTAGATGGTCCACGCGATTGAACGAATGCATTTCACCGTCGTATCAACCGCTGTACTGCGCCGGCGGTGTTTGCAGTTTGGTATTGCGTAGCGCGGATATGGATCATTGTCCAGAACCGTGCTCGGTTTTCAAGCAGTGCAGCACCTGTCTGAGGCACTCGCACTGCGGTTGGTGTTCTCTAGACTCTGCCGACGTGACCGGTCAAGGAATATGCACGGAAGGATCGCTCGAAGCGCCCACTGATCATCCAGCGGGGGGTACCTGCGAGATGCTCTATCATCAACATTTCCCGGGAACCGAAGCGCCAATCACTACTACATTACATCCCATGGATTCTCTGGAATCGCAAGACAACAACGTCACATTGTCATTATCGTTATCTAATCACGTGACGATACCAGAGTTTTCGTGGCACTACGTCCGCTGCCCGCCGGAGAACGAATGCGAAAACGGACATCACACCTGTTCACCGAAGAGCGAGAAGTGTTTCGATCTGGAAGAAGGGTTCGAGTGCAAATGCGGGGACGGATACAAGACGGAGACCACTTGGGCCACCGAATTCGGTAAAAAGATCTGCGTGCCAATGTGCACGCAGGGTTGCGTGAGAGGCACGTGCGTGGAACCGGACTCGTGTCGTTGCGACTTTGGCTACGTGGGCGCTAACTGTTCTATCCAATGCCAGTGCAACGGTCACAGCGACTGCTTGGGGCCGGCCAGACTCACAGAGTGTATAAAATGCCACAACAACACAAAGGGACCGCAATGCGAGAAGTGCAAGCCGCTGTACGTGGGCAATCCTGCGGACAACGGTCAGTGCGTGCCCTGCCTTGAGTACTGCAACGGACACACGCGGCTCTGCATCAACGACAACACGTCAATGATACATGATCCGCACTTGGTGGACAAGATGTCGCTGGAGAAGTTGAATCAGGAGCTGGTCGAAGGACCAGTGGCCAAGGCCATGTGCATCTCTGCGGCAACAATACTATGGGCGACAAGTGCGGCGAGTGCATGACCGGTTACTTCCGCGGAACGGAGGATCTACGTGACGTGTGCCGACCGTGCGAGTGTCATGGTCACGGCTTCACGTGCGATCCCGTGACCGGCGAGAAGTGCAACTGCGGTAACAACACGGAAAGCGAACCGTCCTGCATCAACGGTCCCATGAAGAGCACAAACACGGGTGGCACCCCGTGCTGGAAAGTGCAGTGCAGCAAATGCAGGGAGAACTACGCCGGCACGCCGACGATGGGTCATCAGTGTTACAAGACCGTTACGGTTGATAATAAGATGTGCTTCGATTCGAAATTGATAGGTAATAACAATTGATAAAAATATCAAAGAGAAAATAGAAAGAATCGCTGAGCGATTTTTAAATTTTTTTTTAATTTGACAGCTGCAGCATGATATTTTTATTTTTATATTTTTTTTATTGCAAAATATGTAAATAATATCTACAACATTTTCAAGTAACTGTTTTTCTTAAATTGCAACATTCTGTTTTGCGTGGAAGCACCTTACGGTTCGTATTTCTCTTCTATTATCAGCTGTTTGATTCTGTATTATTTTAACAAGTGTGTGAAGGATTAAGCTAATGTACAATGTTATCTTATTTCAGACGAGTGCAAAATGAAGCCAAAACCCTTGAACCCCGGACAAACCGTCTTCTACATGGTACAACCCCGATTTATGAACGTGGATATCAGAGTGATGGTGGACGTCACTCAAGGTGCCTTGGATTTATTTCTGAGTCCTCGAGACGACTCCTTTGTCGTCACTTTGAACTCGTCGACTGGATATCAAGATGTATGATATTTTCTTTTCTTTAATCTTTTCAGCAACAAACTATTTCGATTCTTTTAATGAAAATTAATATCAATTTCGCCAAATCAATTTTTCTTCATTTTTTTCACTAACAATTTCTACCTATCATTTTTCCATCAAAGAAAGTTAAAAAGCTACATTGTCATAATATTTGCAGGTCGAGTTGGACAGCAGATTCAGGTGGCGACCCGATCATTCCGATACATGGATGGACGAACAGTCCAATATCAAGTTCCGGATCGTCGAGTTTCATTCTCACGGTTTTAGCGCGGTAAACGGCACCACCACGGAGCCGACATGGAACACCGGGCCGCAATATGTCGTGATGGAGCGCTGCGCGGAGAAGTTGGCCACCTTCCTGACAATCGAAAGGCGAAACACGTTTTTAGTCATACGTAATCTGACGAATCGACTGGTGCTGACATTGCCGCAGGACAAACACGAACTCGGCCAAACCAAGTTTCACATCGCGCTACGAGCGATCGAGCCGGCAAACCCGGAACTGAACGGTCGTGCCGCCTACGGGATGATCTTCTTTCGGCAGGACCAGCTGCACATCGATCTGTTCGTATTCTTCTCGTGTTTCTTCTCCTGTTTCTTCCTCTTCCTGTCGGCATGCGTGGTCGCGTGGAAGACGAAGCAGGCTGCGGACGTGCGTCGCGCCCGACGTCGTCACGTCGTCGAGATGCTGCACATGGCGAAGCGGCCGTTCGCTTCGGCGACGATCATCTACGACCGGGATGGCGGCGAGTGCAGCCCGAACTCGCCGCAGCGCAAGGGCAGACGCGGCAAGCATGTAAACTTTCATAGTGACGTGAGACCGGTCGCTGTCGAGCCCACCGATGACAGCGTCGCAGCAGTCGCCACAGTGTTCATCAGGTTACCCGGCGGTCGCCAAGCACCCGTCAAATTGGCCCTAGGCAGCTCGCTCATACTCTTGACCAGAGTCTACCCTGTCAATAGCCGAGTGTTCCTAAGGCGTAGAAATAGCCACGCGACGAACTGAGTTCGCGTTACAGTGGAATCTCGATCTCGACAATTTTCGGGTTCCACACCACGGCCACATCCGACCTTTTCGTCGTTCAACTCTTCCGGAACATCGTTGATGAGAGTCTCCGATGTGTGAGTGCAATATATCATGAATTAAGAATAGTTATAGTAAAGCCCCGGGTTCAATTAATGATCCTGGGAAATTATATATAACAACCATCAGATTTAATGGATGAATTTCTTCTTTTTAAACGCAGTCTTAACACACTAAAGATAACAGATGAAGTGTGACGTAATCGGATTATAATGTAAAATCTAACAAAATGCGTATTTCGCTATATCTTCGATTACCGTTAAAATTTTATATCGCCTCTGTTTGGAAACTGTTCTCTCTTATTGATCTCATCGCACACGTGTATTATTAATTGGCAACAGGCACAGCCAAATATCGGAGCTTTACAGAAGTTTTTCCCGCACAATAAATATGTAATATAGAAACTAATCGAATTACAGGGGCATGTAAAATAATTATAATTAATTTTAATATTCCGCCGAATTTTATATTACATGATTAGTATTGTATTCACGAATCCGAAAACTTTCGAAAACAAAGATTCTCGAAATCGTAGGTAGAATCAAAGATGTTTAAATACATAAAGGATTCGTGGAAATCAACATCTTACAGATTGAGATACGAGCGCATCTATCGATCCGAAAAAGAATTTACAAATTCTCGGAATCTAAGGATTCATATATGCATGCATCGATACACCGATCGTATTGTAGATTTGTAAATGAAATTTTTTTTATTATTTTTTTTTTTTTAACTCTATTATTGCGTAACACATAGTTGTAAGAGGTAAAGAAGCGAAATCGTTAGATTATTTAATCTAAATATAATATATTGTCGTATACCATTCCATGACGAGACTGTATACACATTTGTATATACAATAATCTGTAATTAGGTATTAATTCGAACTTTATATACATTTTTGTAGAAACATTTTACGAGGCATGGTCTCGCGTCATGGAACATTCGTGGCAACTATTCCCGCAAGGTGATGAAATCGATCACGTGTCTGTATCAACTGAACGAACAGTATTAGAATTGTTGTTAAGGAGACGGAGCTCGACGACGATGCGTACGTTAACAAGGTTCCTATGCCAAAACTGAATGAATGTGAAAACGTCCTAATATATTAATTTATCATATTAAGTAAGGGGAAGGGGGAGAGGAGAAGTAAATAAGAGTTAGGGAGAAGTAGATCAGGTTGAAAATGTTCTTCGGGAAAGAACTGTATGTATTCATAAAGGAAGAGTTGCAGACGCATGTCGCAAACTTTTCTAACCGAAAAAGACACTTGTGTACTCTCGATAGGCTGTTTTTGATTAGAGATGACGATTATAATATTAATCAAAATGTATAGATAATGTGAGTGTTGTAACGATATTGACATTGACGTGCTTAGTAATCAGTAAGAGCCTGTAAATGGGGTAAGGAAGGGACCATATTGTTTTATATGAAGTTCAAGACAGTCGTATGAGAATATAAATTTCTATAAATCAAACAATTTTTTCTAATAAAGATTCAAAAATTGACATAAATAAAATTTGATTTCTATAAATTTAAATGTATGTGTAAAATTCTGAATGTAAAGAATATCTGTGTGTGGCTAAAAAATAGATAGATGATACGTAAAATATTGAGAAGTAATGTCAAAAATTTACGGAATCGAAAATCTACTCATGATTTGAAAGAAACTCGATAACACACACACACACACACAATATTATAAGACGTATAAGAAACGTCTATGCTTGAGGGATTTTTGACTTCATAAAAAACAATGAACCATCTCTTCGTTATCTCATTCTCTTGTGCTTTGTTCTGGATTAGAATAACGTAACGGTATTTTTTGTGTGTGACAAGGAGGTGGAAATCTAAGATCTCTGCGCATATGTTTCTCTTGTAAACAAAGTGTGCATATAAGCAAGAGCTTAGATATACTAATTATACTCATTGGTATGCCATCGATTGGCCGGAAGAACGCACGAGTGCTTCTCTCGACCAGAGAAAACAATATTCGATGATTGATTATTAATTAAACGAACACATCGACGATACGACGCGACCAGTTTGTTGTGAATCTCAGAGTCTTTTCTTGTCATCACGTTAGTCTCGTCATTGCGCGCAATGCAAATCGATTTTTTGTTGTTTTGCAGTATCTCTATCGATGCAGCTATTACCTGTCTATTGCGATTTCTCTTTCTCACTCTCTCTCTCTTTCTCTCTACTTTTTCTACATAGATTTATAAGTTCAAGAATCCACAGAATATAGCAAAAATTTAATGAAATGTAGGATCTCTGTAGGAACTAAGAATCTTGTGATGCTGTAAAACAAGAATCTAAGAAAACATAGATTAGATATATCAAGAAGCCAAATATCCATTATCAAACTTTAAAGATACAACGAACGTTTCTGTTGAATAAGATCGCTTGGAATTTCAACGATCTTCCAAGAATTCGAAATTAATCCTTCGATTTTAGATAGCCATAAAATTTTGTCTTTAAAGTAAACGTCAAGATTCAAAGTTTCTGCAAGAGATCTATATATATAAACTCGAAGGATTTTTCTTCGCAAATCTATGTACATTCTAAAGACCTGCTTATTATGAAGATTATTGAAGGATTAAAGTTGATTCGTTATTATATCCGCACGTGGTCGGATCTATTCAGAATCTATAATAATTCACATATTATTCATACGCACGATCAGTCGCGCTGTCCTAAATACTCATCCGCGTGGTGTAAACGTATTAAATACACAGAATTGATACAGTATATGTATGTATAAATTTACTTAGGAGCGTATATATATATATATATATATATATATATATATATATATATATATATATATATATAAAATAACGAGTATATAAATACGAGACGCGGTGAATGTATGTATAATTTTTCGGTTGTACAGATCTGTGAATGCGCGCGTTATTTCCGAAAATATTCTATTTTATATATAATTATATTACACATCGCGTCGTCGATGGCAGAGAGAGAGCGATAATCTTCCAATGCCGGCATTGTAATTTCGCGCGGAGAGTCAGAAAATAACAACGGTGTGCAATCATGTAAGAACAGTATGTGCTCCCTTATTATTACAAGGGAACACGCGAAAAGGTTGTGAAATTTAAAAAAAAAGAGAACAAGCGGCATCTCTTGTCGGACTTTCGGCACGAAAAGATGCAATTTATCCTTTATCACTCGCCCACCCTGAGGGGAAATGTAAGGTTGTGCAAACGATGATTAATAAATTGTATTTGCGGAAGCTTTAATAAACACATACGTAAAACCGGAGCTTTCATTCAAGAAGCTGACATTATGATCCTTCAATAGAAAACATTTTTTTTAAATTAATTTATAATATAAATTTCTCCCTTTTTCAGAATCTTTCTTAGCACAAAATTGCTCAGTTGATTTTTTAAATTATTATTATTAATTCAAAATAAAATCTTCGGTGTAATAATTTTATTTTTTAACTAACTAAAAGCGAAATAAAAAAATATTACATAAGTCACATACAGGATAAAATAGAAACAAGATCTACATATTGATACTTTTATTCATTTAGCATTAAAAATGTGTTTGTGATGAGTTTTATTTATCTGACATATAGAGAAAATTATTATCAATGTTTATGTACGAGTTAAAAATCTGAGTCATCTTGTTTTAACAGCTGAATAAGTAAACCGAAGATAAAAAAATAACATATATATAGATAATGTTAATCTAAAATAAAATCAGGAGCCCATCATTGTAATTAAATCATCTTTATTTTCTCTCGTACGTCGATTCAGTAAAATCTCTCAAACTCAATTTGTCCCATATATATACATATATATATGAGACATACATACATATATAATTATCTTTTCTCTTTTATATACTACTTTTATCTGTAGAACGTTCTTAGAACGTGTCATTCTGTGCAATAATTATTTACATATGTAGACACACACACATTCATTTGATATCCACGCATACACATATACCAAGCAATCTAGGAAACCAATTGTTAATGTTGTTCCCAGAGTTCTTCTCAAACAGTTCTCTCCCCTTTAACAGCAACAAGAGACTCGCAAGCAAGTCACCGGTCTAAAAAAAAAAGCAAAATGATATAGATCCTGATTAAAAAAACAAAAAGATATACGCGCAAAAAGGCAGCTCATTCGTCATAAGAAAGAATCTCGAATCATTCTATTAATAAAATCAACCGGTTTACCAATAATTTCTTCATTTACTTACATCTTTAAAAGCCATTTTTCATGAAATCTTAAATTAGGAAAGTTTAACGTCAATGATTGACGAATTTATTTTCTTTTTCACGCGTGTAAAGCAACGATTTGAACAAAAGCGAATAATCTCTTTAAAAATATATGGAAAATTTCCAAAATCGTCTCTTGAATTTTATCGTTTCAGTAAAATATTATTATAGCTTTTCCGTCGAACGGTTAAACTTGTCGAAAAATTGATAGGAGATTCATTACAGACGCCAGAGTAGACACAAAATCTCGATCTTTCCTCCCTTTTCCCGACATATAAACTGTATTATTAGAAACACTCAAATCGAAGTCGTTATGAAATTTATCTTTAGCATGTTTTAAGTATTTTTCTATCTTATTCAAAAGTACATTTTATCTCGGGAATGACAAAAGGGTAGGAGAATCATCTTTTGATTTTGTACGATTTCATACTTTGTACAATTTCGGTCCGAGTCACAACATTCGTGATCATTTCGTGATCACGATTTAGGATTAATGTTCGCATTTCACTGGGAAATAAATGCGCGTGCAAGTGCAGTTAGTTTTATAAAATTATTACAATTCTAGTAATATAGAACTCGAAATGTGTCGTAAAATGTAGCACGCTCTAATTGCACGCACAACATCTCTCTTAATAAATTAAGCTAGAAGCTTGTCAGCGATTTCACAAAAAATATCATTTTAAAATATTCACAATAATAAAAATGAAAACGTCGACGCAAAATCCGTGTTTTAATGCAATCGATTTACTTCATGTTTCTCCTTTGCTTCTTAATTATTGCATGCCCCTTATTCACTTGGTCTCGAAACTTGTAGAGAAATATTACAAATTTAGCTTGTTACACTTATTGTCGGTATAATATGTAAAAATTCTGCGCTTACTAGAGTCCAGACAAATTGCGAGATGCAGGATAGAAAAAAATGTCATAATTGCACGTGCAATTATTGCTCAGCGCGAGACAGGTACAAGAACGTTTATAATTGTCATCATAATCATCATTCTACTTTAACATTAGCCACCAGCAACGTGGCAAATATATATGTATTTGTACATATACATACACATGTATGTATGTATATATATTTACATTTGTAACGAGATTTGTATTGTAAATAACGACAAACGAGAGATATATATATCTATATAATTTAAGATATATTATATAATAATAATAATATAATAATAGATCTCGACGTATTTAGTCGTAATTTTCTGATAATTTCGAACTACCTAAACGCGATAACTTTGACGATACCTTCGACGAGACTCGAATCTGTTTCTAATGTTTTAAAAAGAATATAAAAAAAGAGAAACACATGTATATGATATAAAAGATCACAAGTTGCTTAAAAAAAAAAAAGATTGCAATATTCGAACTCAAAGTAATAAATACAACGCGATACAAAGCGATAAAAAGTTAATCTCTTAATAAACCTTAATCCTACAAAAGATAAAAAATATTTCATATACATAAAAAATGTAAAAAAAGCTTGCCTGATGTCTATTAAAATATAAAAGTCGCATATATATGCATGTATATATTGCAATAAGATTATTTCTTATCTTTAATCAAGCTAGAAATTAATTCTTTTATTCAAATTCTAAGCGTATAAAAAAATAATATAAATTATTTTATTATATTCATACTTTTAAAGATATATAACATATCGACAAGAACTTCATCTCATATTATTAGAGCTTTCATTAGATCCATTAGATCTCTCACCAAATACAAATTCGAGTCTTCGAAATCTATCGTCTGTGATGTAAAACACGATTACTTCTAATAGTAATCGTGAATATTTCTCGATCGCGCCTTCTCCGTTCGATGCACACAATGTACACACCAATATACACACGCACACGCACACAAATATACATATAAATGTATAGAACATCTCAGAGAATATGATAACCAGTAGTAGAAATCATATTATAAAGCTAGAGGTTTGATATTGCGATTAAGAAAAATTTAAGTTTTATAAACAACTTTTAATTTTTAACATTAAATATTTTTCTGATATATAATTCAAATTACAATATTTACAAACAAGATTTCGAATTAATTACGAATTAATTAAAATAATCTATTTACACTCTTAAAGCTCGATTAGCTGCATCTCTTAATTTTCAATCTTAGATGCCGCTATATTCAATTGTACTGGCAGATGTATCTTCGGCTGAGAAATCGACTTTACATTTTCCCTTCAAGAGTGACCTATATTACTGATTCTCATATTTTCTACGATACTATATATATATGCAAGGCATTCGGGAAGTTTTCCATAGTTTTTCAGTTAACAGTGATGTACACATTTAAGTAATAATTCGTTAAAGTATTTCGTTTAAGGTATAATCGCCACATATCTTTATAGGTCAGTGTTCCTTAAACTGCGTTTCACGAAAAAAATCTGTAAATATGTAACTGATGATTCTTTTTAATGATTAGTACGTTAATTGCGACAAATATTTATTCCTCTGTTATATCTACTTCACACTGTATATAATTCATCCAACAAAAAGTAAGATTTAAATCGTAGAAAGTTACATTGAAAAAGTTTACACTACTCGTGTTTTATATACAGGGTGTCCTGTCACCCAAGATGTCCTTTCAATAGGATCTTATAATTTATAATGTATATACATTTATACTTGACGAAACTACTTGTGTGAATGCATCGATGTTGAAACAATCTCACCGCCATCTTTAATTTAACATATTTACGTAATTAATTGAAAGGACATCTTCAATATAATCGCAATGAAACACCTCTTTTGCCTGTTATGATTTTTCAAACGAAAAATCTTTATAGAGACTCGAGGGACGACAAAGAAATGATTCTACAGCAACCTTTGACGTCTTCTAATTTGTAAGTTTAAGAAGCACTGGCTTTTTTCACATTCATCACGATGCCAGGATGTTACGTGTCGCGCGAGACAGTGGTGCACGTTAAGTTTTATAATTTTTCCATAGATCGACTGTCTTCGAGACTAGAATCGATCGTCTATACATTTTCGTAATCTTTCTACTCTGGTTTCATTGACCCTCTTTTCTCTATATTCTTCCTTTATTCCCTTCTGTCCGCGAAATAAGAAAAATGGTCGACACGAAACTAACTAGCACATAAGATACATAAGATATTTGACATCTATTACAATCAAAAATTAAGTTTACAACGCTCGCTTATATATACATATTATAATATACATACACACACATATATAGATATATAATGTATATGTATATATACTATATGTATATAAATATATATATATACTCTTCTCCTTTACTACTGGAAATCACCAAAAATTCCGCGCCCTAATTCCGTACATTCTTTCTTTAAAGTACTCTGATAATTCCAAGAATCTATGGAACAGAGATTTGTAAAAACGTAGCTCTATTGAATCCAAGACGGAAGATCTGATATATAATAAAGATCCAGAGATATTAAAAATTGATAGCCACATAGATCAGATTCCCTTCTATAGGTTCTATAGGTATTCATAGATAGAGAATCAAAGAGACATTAAAAATTTATAATCTGACTACAAAAATGCGTGTTATCAAGGTTCTCTGTGCAGATGAACACACTGTTTCAAGTATTTTCAACAAAGAATTCATTTAAAAAAGAGCCATTTTAAAAATGCCAAATATCTGTCAAATTGATTCTTCCTAATTTATCAAACTTTAAAACTAAATTCTACAAAGACGAAGAGAGAATTTGACAAACTAGAATTTAGGAAACTAGAAATTTTTGGACTCGAAGATGTAAAAGAGGGAATCGATTAAGGGTCGATATTAGAAGCTAATGGAATCAGGAATTTCTAGCTACGAAAGATGCGTTAGATTAAGTATCTGCGGAATCGATGGTTCTTGAAGTCAAGCATCCGGCGTTTGTTCTCGATGTCTTCTACAAAGAAGAAGTTTCAAGCAGCATTCAAATTCGCCAATTGGCGTAACGCCGATACTTTGGCTCGAGTTGCATCAGCACTTGTTCGAGTTCGTCGATTTCATCATCCTCGTCATCATCATACTCCATCAGGCCTGCCTCGTATGCTTCGCCACCACTATCTTCCTTCATCTCCATCGCATTACTTCGGACTGCAAAGACGAAACATTATCATGTCGAGGAAAACAACAAGAAAAAACTTGAAAAAATTTTTATAATTAAATCAAATAATAAAATAGATAAAGTTGCTTGTATAACTTGATTATTTGTTGTAAAATTGCAGTTTTTAAATTGTAATAACTAATATCGAAATTTATGCAATGATGAAAACATGCAGCGACAAGAGGTAATCGACAAAAAAAAGATAAAAACGTGAAATTATATAAAGCAGGCTTTAAAAGACATAGTTTTTTTTAGCCTTCATGTTTTGCTGTTAATAAAGCAGAAGCGTTACTGTTGTCAAAGGGTGAGGAACCAATTTAGCAGGGAAACGAACGAAAAGATTGTAAAATAAAAAGCTCCATAAGAAAATCTTGTAACTTTCTACAAGTTTTCATATAACGTCCAAATAATCGACCAAAAGATCACATTTTTCATCGTTTCCCGCTTCGTACAAGTCGCAATGCAGTTGCCAAATATTTAAAATCTTTTCGATTTTTTTTCAGATATTCCCAACAATAGCACTGATACAAAAGCAGACGCTGATGGCATAAATTGCAAAAGCGAGCAAGCGGGAAATCAAGAAGAGTCGAAGCAGTGGGAAAGAAACATCCTCTTCCACACATTAACTCTTAGAATGCACCATCTTTCTCAATACGACGTAACGTAGAAGTCATCTAATTTATTTGATATTTATGTATTTCGTTCTTCGATCGGACGTTGCTCAATCGGAACTGTAAAAGAAACTCTCTCAAGTTAAAACAATTCGATTCCCTACATCGAGTTCTATCTTGACATAATAACATTGAAGGGATTATCTGCCAGTTTTATTTATTTTCATCGGCGAGCCAAAATATAAATCATCTTCTCCTCTTATTTCAAGATTGTAAGACGACGACTAAACCCGTTTTCGATTAATACAAGACTCAAAGTTTAATAATCGCGAGCGAAACGCATTCTAAGATTCCTGCAGGAAGTTTCTCAGAAGAAGAAGCCTAAAGAGGAGAAGCACAGTACACGCCGGCCTATAGTACACTCACCTGGTGCCGTGCACGGGCGCAGGGGAGTGCGCGATTACCGGCGGTGCCGGTCGAGCGACTCCTTCATCGGCAACAGGCCGCGTCGTGCCGACGACCGCGCACTTGAGATACGGGACGACGACGCCGACGCCGACGCCGACCACGCCGCCGTCGCCGTCGCCGTCGCCGCTCGTGCTATCGCTATCGACCAGTCGAGTCTCCCTCGCGAGGAAATCCGACGCAAACTCCCCGAACTCTTCCTCGTCGTCGTCGTTATCGTCACGCGTGGGCCTCTTCGGCGTCGCGACCATCTCCAGCGTGCTGATGCCAGAGGTAGCGGATTCCATCCTGATACATATCGACGAACACTCGGACTCGATCCCCGAGTCCACGCTCTCCTGAAGACTGCTACGCGGAGGTGGAGGTGGAGGCGGCGGCGGAGGTATCGACGGGATCTCCGTCATCCCGACAACAGTCGGAATCTCGTCGATTGTCAACGCAGTCTCCTCGATCCCGGAATCCTGACTGTTTCTGTGCACGTTTCCGGGATTCTCGATCAGAAGCGTGCTGCTGCTCGTCGACGTGGTCACGGTGGTCCTCGAAACGGGAGGCGACAGCTCGTCTTCTACGGACGTGCCGTCCGTGGAGACGTCGGTCATGCAAAAGATAAGCTCCTCCGCGTCGGATTTGTCCAGACTTGTCTCGTGCGGCGATAGAGTGACAAGAATAGTCGAGTCAACCGTCGGCTTGCTCCGCTCGTCGTCTTCCTCTGGATGACTGACGGTCTCGGCAGCGGTTTCAAGGATAATTCGATGTTTGTCGACGTTATTTGGCATGAACGACCGTCCTCCTGGCACCTCCTGGCTCTCTGGTTCGCCTGGACTCGTCGTCTTCGATTCTCCGTGCGGATCTATCTTAATATTTACACTTGTACTTGTTGCACGATCAACGGAATCGCGGAGATCCTCTCCCTCCCTCCTGTTCGTTAAATCGCACCGACGATCTCGGCACGTGTTACTGGTAACTTCCTCGTTTAAGTAAACGCTCGCGTCCTTCGACGACGTCGACGACGTCGACGATGGTCCGTTGTTTCCTGACACAGACCCGATCATGTCGACATCGTCATCCGTCGTGATCGACGCGATACTTACGCTATCTACTTTCTTACTATCGTACGCTATGTTAGAAATCGGAAAAAACCTACTATCACTAGTCTGATTAATACTGTCCGTGGTTGTATCACATGTCCTTACCATCGCGGCATTCGTTTCTTCCGCGTCGTCGTCACGTTGTAAACACTTTGCATCGTTATTCCTTAAAATCTCCGAATCGTCGCATCTTAAGCATTCGACGTCATCATCGCACTTGGTACGTTTTGAATCCTGTGCTACATCGTCACGCTCTTCCTCGTTAACAGAATCCTCAAAACGTTTAGCATCGTTACAGTCTACGCATACACCGGCAATTTGACTTAATCCTAGAGCAGAATATCCGGCTACGTCTGTTAATCTTACATTTATACACGCGATAGACTCGCTCGCCGGCGACGACGACAACAAGACCGCTGCTGCATTTGTCGTGACCCGGACGTCGCCTAATACTAAGTTATCCACGAAATCGTCCTTTGATTGCACACTTTCAGGTAACAGTCGATTACTAATTCCGTCAGACTCCGTTCGAATATCCTTCTTCTCGTTAACATCGCCTGCGTCATCTCGCACACTCGCAGACTCTTTCCCATCGTTTCTTGGAACATCATTTCGCAGTCTCTCATCTTCCGAATAGTCATGCGCAACCTCATATCTTTCCTGTGTATCCTTGCTTTCTTGAAAATTTTTATCAACGTTCCTAACAATCTCCTGGCTCTTCTGATCTTCTAAATTCCTTTCACCAATTTCTATAGTTTTTATCGGATCTAATAATTTATTCTCATCACTATTCGAAACTTGACTCTCTTCCTGACTGGTAAAATCCTTCTCATCGTCCCTGCTAATCTGATCTGATAACTTTTGCTCGTCGTTCTCAGGAATCCTACTACTCTCTTGATCACACAAATTCTCGTCCCTCCTAATAATCTGATTCTTCTCCGTACTGACCAAGTTTTCTTTCTCGTCCTTCGTGCTATCATTCCGTTTTTGATAAAATAAATTATTCTCGCTATTCTTAATCACTTGATCCTGCTCAATCAGACTATTACCATCGTTTCTCGTCACTTCGGTTTCTTCCAAATTCCTGTCTCTGATATTCGTATCCTGAGTTTTCATTTGATCAAAGAACTTGGCGCCATGCTCGGCGAGACTCGCCTGCGGCTCGAGCTTGAAAGATGCAAATATACCAGTCAGATTCTGCAACTGCGATATATTCAATCCTATCGATTTATTCTTCAAGGGAGATCCATGTTCCGAGGACCACGAGCCGTCAATCTTAGTTCGGCCTTCCTTTAAATACTGCTGCAACCTGTCGCCCAATGCCATCACACCGCTGACATTCTCCTGCAAGGAGCTTCTCGTGTCCATAGAGGCGCTCGAGGAATCCGAGAATAACTGTCCAGGATGCTGGAACAATGATAGGAGCCTCTCTAGACTGGACTTGTGCTTCTGCACCGATGTGCTCGGTTGTTCCCGTGGATGCAACTCGGACGTGCGAGTCAAGGACGTTCCCGTCCAAGCGGTACTCGCGGAAGATCTCGACGTGCTGGTGGATAACTCCTCCGAAATTGCTCGATTTAATTCCGAAGTGTTATCCAAGGACAATTCTATCGCGTTCGAGGCCTTATCCCCGACTACACTAATCGAAAGCGTATCTTCATTCGGATATGCAGGTACTTGAAGTTCCTTTGTACTCGTATACACGATGCGACGATCTGCGATCGCCTCGGTAACCCTGTCGGTTGTCGCGGCACTCTCAGAACCCGTCGTAACGTTGCTCTGATCACCTTTGTTTTCGTCACAATAATCCGTCTCGTTTTTTTCAGATTGCGACGACGTCTCGATTACACCACTCCGGTCCACTCGTTCTTCTTCAATCTTCGTCATCTTCTCATATTCATCCTTGGATGTCGCGGTAATGCTCTCATCAATTTCGAGTCGTTCTTTAACCTGCTGTTCGCTCGACGGAATCTTCGTATCTTTGACGCAACAATCTTCATGCTTGACGATGTCTTCGCTTGAAGAGGACGTTTCTTTCGCTAACGGAACTACGTGAACCGTATCGGATACAGACACGACCGTATCACCGCTGATATCCGTCTTATTGATCACGCTGTCGGCATCATCCGAGTCTGCCGCGTCGATTTTGAAGCCGATCGTGATTGAGCTGCCGCTAGTAGAGGCGACGACCGATTTGGGCGACGAGGGGCCGGCGTCCACCGACTTGACGACCGACACCCGAAACCGCGACGACCCGCCCGGACTCGACGCACCGGGGAAGAAATTCGGGGAGGAGCCGAGGGATGGCGGAGTAGTGACGGGCGAGGTGGATGCCGAGGAATCGGTGGAGCGTAGCGAAGCCTCCGGCACCCGGCATACGACGAAACGGTTCCGAGACGGACTGGGGATCGGACTGGCTACGGGGGAGGGAATCGGACTGGGGGCTGGGGATCGCAGACGGCCACCGCTGGTGCGTTTTGCCGGTTCCAGCGTGGCGCGCGTCGCCGGCTCGTCGGCGGCCAACGATGTCGCCGATCGACCGGATGACGGGCTTGGCAGTGTCTGACAGGTGAGCGAGATCTTACGGGAGCTCGCGTTCAGTAGTCGACTCGGATGCTGCGGGCTCTCGGCGTCCTCGGCGGATTCCTCCAGCAGACGACGCTCTTCCTCGTTCTGGTTGCAACGACCGCGAATCTCCGTAATCAGTTTCATGTACTCGTGCAAGGGACCATCCTTTGTTTAGAAAAGATAATATTAATGAAACGAACATAAAGAGAAGATTATAGAACAGATAGAGAGAGTATATAAGTTCCTACAAAACTCACTATTTTTATCCGAGGTTTGTCATCCAAGTCGATCTGCGTTACGGTCTTATTCACCTTCATTATATTCGCGAGAGCACACATTCCGCGTATTTGTATGCTGTTATCCCGCAAATCTATTCTCTGCAAAAGCGAAAAAGAGTTGAACAAGGCATCAAGCGTAATCGGATTAATAGTATAACCGGAGAACTTACCTGCAAAACTTGATTCGTCTCCATAATCTCGGCCAGCGTAATTATTCCCTCGCACGTGAGCTCCGTCGATTGCATGCCCAATTGCAGGAGAACGCGATTCTGCTTCAGTGAGTCGTTAACGACTCTTAGTGTCTCGTCCGTCAGCATATTCTGACCGATATTCAGAGTCTCCAATGTTTTTGATAATGCCTGAACATAATTATTGCGGATGTAATAGGGCAGCAAACGCGTTAAGCTACAAATAGCATACTTTTTATTGCTTCATTTATTTATTTCTTGATAATTCAAATAATTGCAGATCTTTCCTCGATTTTCCACGTGTAGTACTTAAGCTATTAATGATATTATTTCAATTTTCTATTATTTTTCTATTATTTCTCCATTATTTTTTCTCTGTTATTTCTCTATTAATTTCTCTTAATTTTAACATATACTAACAATAACAACATGAACATATATAACACAAAATAATAAATATATAAAAAATAAACGATGCAAGAAAAAAACAACAGTAAAAATTTTAATAATTCAACTCATATTGAATAAAATTTACTTGCAAGAAGACATCGTGCACAGTGAGTTACAGTTATTAATAATTGATGTGTTTATATAAATCACAAAAAAAATTATCGTGACGAGATGATAGCCGACATTACGATTGTATAAAGATGATATGAAAAGCCACAAGATATTCGTTATAATACATACTATAATCCTCGAGAAGTAAGGTGACGAGTTCTTAGTTAGACGATTGTTCCACAATACCAGGATACTGAGTCCTCTACCGGTCTTATCTTCGTTCACTTGATTGATTAGACCCTCCAAAATGTCTCGTACCCCATCGTCCTGGACGTTATTATTACTAAGGAAAAAAACATTTCCAAAAGAAAGAGAATCTGTACTAAAAACATCGTTACTCGCTTAAGCGCAATGCTACGTCTCTCACAGATACAAAGCAACATCTACACAACCTACACATAAAAGTATATTTATATAAGAGTTACTGCGCACAACTTCTACTCATTTTCGCGACAAATTAAAAAAAATAGTTCGTAGAGAGAAACCTACAGAAAATGACATGAAAAAAAAATACAAGAAAAAAAGACTAATATACAAAATGTATATACTTTACATATACACATACACACACCACACATTCTTACATTTATCTTTCTAAAGAAAGCTAAGAGACAAATGATGGTTGTTGATTATCGAGCAATTAATCGTACCTAATGTCGAGCAATTGCAAATGATTGTTCATCCTTAAGAGAGATCCAAGTTGTATAGCATCATATAGATCAAGCCCGTTATCGGCTAAATATAATTCCCGTATACCGCTATTCATTTTCAGGGCTGTAACTGTTAAAAAACACAACAAAGAGTCATAATTCATATAAATCATTGCAGAAAACTTTCCGATGTTTTACCAATCACGATAACATAATGTTTCGATACGCTTAATACTACTCTTTTATCTCTCAAAAATTATAAACGTTGATAAATATCGTTACGATCAATGTGATAAATTTCAAACAAATACATATAATAGATACGATAAATAGATGCGATATAATATCATAATGAGAAGAATATTGTTACATGATAAATACCAAGTATGACGATTGCTCTGCCTGACAATCCACAGTTTTCCAACTTGAGAACGTGTAGATGAGAAACTAATCGTAATGCACGGCTCAAAATGTTCATATTTTGTTCGTTGAACGTGATGTCCCTTGCTTCAAACTGCTCTAAACACTGAGTCTAAAACAATCAGAACATATTGATTACTCTTTTATTATCATACTTAATATATAACAGAGTGACACTATAAATTAAATATTACAGTAATGAATTGGAATTTAGCCAAGTTAAAAATAAAGATAAAATTTGAAAACTAATATTGACAAGATCGTACCTTCTTAATCATATGGGAGCACGCTTGCCAGCCGCGGGCCCCAATTTCCGGATTAAACGAAATATTCAAGTGTTTTGAGGACTCGTAATATTCCAGCATATCAAATAATATCACGGAACTCTGTAAAAAGAATTGTTCACGTTAATACAAATTATATATGTATATGTATAATATCTAAAAATGTATGTAATTTTATAAAAATACCTCATCATTGAGAGAGGTCCCTTCTAGATTAATCTTATTAAATTGTACTCTCTTCAGTATCTCCTCCAATGGCTCAGAATGATCTTGATCCAAGACTTCCCCTTTCAAATTCAGCTCCTCACATCGATCTTGAGATATATCCAGGGTCTGTATAACAAGAATGAAGAAACATGAATACATAAGAGTGAAAAGCATTCTCTCTTGCAAAGCTGAGACTCAACGTCGAAATTCGGGTAAAATTTGCAAAAAAACGCATTCCTCAAAGCGGCAGAAACTATGTCCGTGCACTACAAAGGCACTGTTAATCTATCTGGTGAAAAAGTCTCGCTAGATCGCTAAAGAACTGCCAGCACAAGTAGCATGTACAAAATGCCATGATTAAAGTAAAAGTAAAAAGAGATAAACTTCACGTTTTTATATCAGCCAGTTTAATGTTTTTCGTTTCAAGTAAATAAGCTCGATACACACTTCCATGTACATAGAACCGGTCCTTTTGCGAGATCATTATTTTGTTGCAACATGCTCACACCTGAATTTAATATCAGATGTGATTTACGCCGGAGAAAAGACGGCATAATATCATGAAATTATATAAATATATGTATTGTAAATTGTGAAGAAGTGGATGCATTTACCTTGAGCTGAACTAAAACGTTTAGCAAGGGTTCGGTGTTGTGACGTGCACAGGACTCCTTGTACGAGAAGATTAAGTCCTCGCGATTCACATTTTCAGCTGGGAACAATTATTAATATTTTTATTTCTCGATATATAAAAATAGCACAGAGATTATAATCATGAGCACGCAAATTTAAAAAAAAAAAAAAAATATTATTTTTGAAAATATTTTTATTTGAAATGCAAAAATTTTTTGATTTTATTGTATTATGCTTTTGAATGTATTAGTATTAACACTTACAAAACGGAAAACATATACGAGAATTTTCAAAGATATTTATAATTGCTGCATTATGCAATTTTTTTTTAATTTTCTAGAAAAAGTAAAGCGTCGAACATGTATATAATATCAGAGTAAATATAATATATGTAAAAAGGGCAGAAAATGTGCATAAAATTAAAGAGAAGTAAGCAATGTGTTGAAGTAAACAATACAGTGTATGGTATATAATTATTTATTTGGTAAAATCACATTACACCTTACACGCACTAATTACAATGAAAAAAGAGAATGATTGTTACAATTTTATCGTATATTGTATGAATCAGATAGACTTTAACATTGCATCAAACTTATAATTAGTACAAGATTAACATTGCGAAATCCTTCACTTGGGACAGAGTCTATAAAAAAACCTAATATAGCACAGTAACGATGTACAACTGCACTAATAAATAATTGATAAAAAAAATTGTGCAAATGATTAGAGGATATTATGAGAATATTTCCACAGACAAACATTATTATCCTGGTTACGATGTGAATGTTAAGGTATAATTTACTATTGACCCAAAAATTGTACGCAGTTAAACAATTAATTACAAATTTATCATTAATATATTTTCAATACACTTATATATTATATATTGTACACTGAAAGTCTTTTAATATGGTTCATGGAGTGTCTTGCTGCATCTTGAAAAATTTACAATCTTGATGTCAGATAATAATTAATTTATATAAAATTTTACAAGTAGCTACATATCGCTGTGTTTTAACCAATATTAGATATTAATTTTATTTGAAATCTTGAGAGCAACAAACATATACAAAACTATCCTGCAACATTATAATAGCATAGGATTAATTATCTACAAATATATATATATATTTATTTATACTATTTGTACTAAATCAGAGATACATGTTGGTTTTATCAAAAGATAATTGACATATTAGGAATAAAATTGAAAACATGCTTCTTTATACCGTACAAAACATTCTTTATAGAATCTTTATAACAAAACATCCACAAACTGATCACATCGACTTTTGTTAGCACTAATCCTGGTTAATTATGTTATCTTCCTCTGTGTCTGTGTCATAGAGGTCAACAACAGATTGCTAACCATAGAGAGCTATTCAACCTAGAGATTGTCGGTGCAGGAGACATGATAAATCATTAAACCTAACAACAAGAGTTAACGCACGATGCACTCCGAGAGAGAGAGAGGTACACTCCAAGGAGGTGCAATCGCGAATGCTCGCTGATGAAGTGATAATACGAAAAAGGAGCAAGGGCTGAGAAATACAATGAATACTCACCGTGCCGCCAGGGATTGGCGGGCTCCAGGTAACCCGTCACCAGATGATTGTCGTTCGCAGGGAAGCTGACTCGTAACGGGGGAACATCGGACGGCTTTGTTGGCCATTTGTTGGTCCAGGAGAGCGAACTCCGCAGCTGACGGCCGTCGATGAAGACGTACGGCGACGGAGGTGGGCCTCCGGTACCGAAACGCGGCCTCCTACCAGCGTACGTCGTCGTCGTCGTCGCTGACGGTGGTGGTGCTGGTGCTGGTGGCGACGAGGGCGTCGCCATCCCGGTCGTCGCATGCTCATCCCCGCAGGTTTGCGTAACCGAGTCCGCTCCCTCGCTCATGCTTCCGGAGCTGCCACTGACATATCTCGTTGTCGCGCACTCGTGTCAGAAACGCGGCTCGCTCGCTCGCTCGCGCACGCACACGCGCACGCACGCACGAACACACACTGGCGTGCGCCACTCACGCGACCGAGTCGCGACACCCTACATACACGCGCGCGCAACGCACGCACGCACGCACGCACCTTCGCGACAGCTTACCGTCCGCCCGGGGGGTCGGCTGACGGCTCTCCACACGGGACAAGCTCGTCACGGCGTACGTCAACGCGCCTCGGCGGTACTTACACGATCGCTGCGCGCATTACCGCGCCCGCCATCTTTGTTGCCATCGGTCATGGAAGTCGCGATGCAACGAGACGTGCAACGTGGAATGCAGACAAGCATCAAATCCACCATATCGCGCTCCTATACTCGTCCAATAGCAACGTTCCATGTGGTCGAAATCGGTCCCGATTGGTCCAAACGCTTTCGACGAGGCCAATCGGAATGATTCATTGACTGAATCTGAATTACGGGAACCAATCACGTTCGATTTTATTATCGAATCGAACGCACCGTGTCTAGATATTCGTGCATCGTGATCGTCAATTTTTTCCACTTGTCAACAACATAACGCCTTTCGCGTATAGGCGGTGTTTATGAGGCGGTGTTTATATACATTTTTCGCATCTATTTCTCTATATGTAAGTTTCGAGATTAATTTATATATGGAACTTAGTGATCTCAAACCAAGAGATACAGTTCCGAATAATTAATTTTTCGTGCTTTGGCTCTGTTGGCCGATTTAAAAAACATCATATTTATATTCTTAATATTGAGAGCCGATGAAAATATTTCTTTCTGATATATATAATTGTTCTATTACATTTCTTACTCACGTAGAACTGTTAAATAAAGATTGAGATCAAATAAAGGAAAAGAGTAGAGGAAATTGGAGTAAAAGAAAATGTCAGGACCAATGGTACTGTGTCAGCTATGGATGGGTGGTGTGAGTAAATTATTTAAATAAATTACACGCAACCTAGCACACATCTCATTTGATTCACGATTGATTAAATAGATAAATACAAATGCAATTGTTAACAATTATCTTACTTTAGCTGGAGCCATACATGACGGAGAGCTTCATCATGAATGCATTTCACAAGATGGGCGAACAACCACAGACGGTAAAGGTAATGCGGAATCGATACACAGGTGAGCCTGCAGGATATTGCTTTGTACATTTTCCAACTGACGAAATGGCTCTCGATGCCATGCACAAATTAAATGGCAAAGTGATACCCGGTTCAAATCCTGTGAGTATATTGCGATAAAATGTACACATAAAATTGTCGATTGTTATTCTAATATTGTGTTATCCTAATTTTGCAGCCTGTACGGTTTCGCTTAAATCATGCCAGTACAACGGGAAAACCTGCAGCTGAGAGAGAATTCAGTATTTGGGTAGGCGATTTGTCCACCGATGTAGATGATTATTCTTTATACAGAGCATTTGCTGCAAAATATAATTCAATCAGGACAGCTAAAGTTATATTGGATAGCTCAGGATTCAGTAAAGGCTACGGTTTTGTTAGATTTGCAAATGAGGAAGAACAGAAGAACAGCTTAATCACCATGAATGGTTATAGAGGACTTGGAACTAAATCTCTGAAAATTTGCAATGCTGTACCTAGACCCTGGAATAAAATATCTGGGTAAATTAATTACATAAATTGTATTGCAATATAATTATATATTTTAAGAGATAAATTTGTTCTGATATTATTCAGAGAAATATTCATCTTTAATATTGTGTTACAAAGAGTCGTTTATAAAAAAAAAAAAAAACTTTTTTATCATTTTGCAGTTCAACACCACCACAATCAACTTCTGAATATCCAGCATCAAATATGAATTCAGAAGCATATAATTATTATGATACATCATCATATTGGAACAGTTACAGTGCTTGGCAACAAGGCTATTACGAAAGTGAACCAACATCAGATGCCTATAACAATTATGTATCTGATCAGAAACCTGAGGAAGACGAATTAGAATTAATCGGTATATATGTATTTACACTCAATTGTAGTTTTTTCAAAAAAATTCAATCTTAACTATTTTAATCTAGCATATTTAAATTTATATTTCTGTTTCTTTTACAGAACATTCGGTCCCTATTGACATTGATAAGGCAAATAGAGAAATAATCGAACAAGACTATAATTTATGGGATGCTTTGGAAAGTTCAAAATGGATTCCATGCGATACTATAGAATTGTGCTATTAATTAATTAAGAATAAAGTATAAAGAATATATCTCACTTTTAAATGTTTAATTACAAAATATTTTTTATTGATTCTAAGAAAACGTTGAAAATTAAAAATCTGCACTTTCCTTACACAACATAAATTTTTCATCGCAAAGATAAATGCATGCATATTCATCATAATTGCTCGTTATTTTATTTATGATAGCTGCATTGATGTATTCGCTGCAACAATTTTGTTGCTATAAAATAATCAATTATGATAATACATCTTTACATTATATACACTATCATGGCAGTACATTGGCAATACCATTGAGCTCTATACATTATTAGAACTGACACTCAAGATGTTGACTGAAAAAGAACCTTTACAATAGATTTTGTCTTTCTCAGTTCTCATCTTCAATAAGAGTTTTCTATACTCAATGCTATAAAAGGTAATAAGTGCTTAAATAAATTTTATACATGTGGCTACTTGTATAAAATCGTTGAGACTAAAACTTATCCTTACTACAACGTTTCCTTTTAGCTTATATTCTTATTCTACAAATGTTTGTGTGCAATAAAATTATATACACAAATATCATATATGTGTGCATATGCACAAAATAAAAATGTCACGCGTTTTATCTCTCTCATTAGTTTTCTTCCACTATGGTTATATGACAAATGAGTATATGAGTAATATAAAAGAACCACACTGGATAAAATCTCACTTTGCACACAGTTTTTAAATGATAAACGAGATTACAATTACGAGCAAGAATTATATGAGAGTTTGCACATATGATAATTCATATGATATCATAATATGAATTATACATACAGAATTAAACTTTGACTTCAGATAAAAAAGTAAATATTACAGGAATAAATGTACATAAATACATTGCGCAATTCTTATATATCACAATAAAGTTTTCGATTTATCAGAATAAATTAATTTATCTCTAAATAGAAAATATCCCACATGCTATATTACATAAAGAAATTTTCGTTTCCAATAAAAAAAATTTAATATATAAATAACAAAATTACAAATGTATCGTCTCGCACATATTTCCTGCAATCCTTTTTTTATATTTTCTTTTTTAATCTATATAAATTAATATTCAATTCTGACAAATCGAAGATGCGTATTATCTTTGTAATGCTACCTAAAATTAAATGTTATATTTATATAGTTATTAATAACTATACAGCTAAGTACAAATGGAAAAGATCATTTTTCACAAATATTTACAATGTCAACCGATTTAGCAGTTTCTGGCTTATTAGTTAAAAATTCCGATGGCTTCTGCGGATCCGTCGTAGACTCATTAAGCTCAATCGCTGCATTAGCAACGTTATCAACATTCGGACTCACCATATATACTTGTAAAATAGTGTTTCCAGGTTCCTCTGCAGATTCCTTTGTTACGATCACTAAAGATCCCGGTTCCATTTGATTTATATTCGGTATTACGTTTGCAATATTTTCAGGATACGATGTTCCCACACTTTTACCATCCTCAGTTGGAGTGTTTACGACCTCTGTAACTTCCACAGCCACATGTGACGGCATTACCGTTTCGCCAGAATCGTCAATTACTGACGATTCGTTCACATCATTGTCAGATATTGTATTAGATATATTAAGCATATTAATATCAGGTGCTTGCAACTTTTTCGCCTTCTTCGGCTGCCTACCGGATCTAGTCGGTCGAACTCGATAAATCTCTGGAGAGCTGTCTGAATCGCTACAGCTTGCACTCTCAACATCGGAATTGTCAGATGTATCATCCAAACGCCTTTTCAACTTTCGCGCTTTACTTCCCTTTCGTATTTGTTGCGGTGTAGTATTCGCTTCGTTATTTATTTCAACGTCAATTTCATCGCTTGTCAATATCGTTGTGTCTTCAACTTCTTCATTGTTAACAGATAGTGCTTCACATTCCCCGATACTATTCGCTACCAATCCTGTAATGGTTTATTGTATAAATTAATTTATTCTTAAATTATTAATATTCAATATACAGGTTTTGATGTTTAATTATTCATATATATTCCTGTTTCATAAATATCGCTTCAAAATAAGATTGAAATATACTCACGATGCTTACGTCTTCTCATTGATCTGCTCATAGTTTGACCATTTTTAATTTTCTCTGGTTTTTTAAGCTCGTTTTGAATATTTTCTAACTTTTGCAACATTTCTAAAAAAACAAAACAGACATTTCTTATTAATTTGCTTTACTCAAAACAACTTAAATTACCTGTATAATAATAAAATATAATATTAAATTATATAATAATATTAATAATATATATAAATTTAAAGTATAAGACAGGCAATAAGAGCCGATCGCGGAAGACAGTGCGTTATCCCAACGAAACTAAATTTTTCGTTAGAATTAAATATCTGTGCACAAGGCACCAAATTTTACTTGGTCACTGCCAAGATTTTAAAATATAAAATATTCTCATATATATATATATATATATATTTGAGATTTAATTTCAATAATCCTTTAACCCCCCTACGGAAATAAATAAATGCAAGAGAGAAAAATATAGATCCGAAAGAAATGGCGAATTCCCGATTCAGCGACTCGTTGGGATAACGCACTGTCTTCCGCGATCGGCTCTTATTGCCTGTCTTATACTTTAAATTTATATTTATATGACAGAGCCTTGTTAAACTCTTATATATATATATATATATATATATATATATATATATATGTGTGTATGATGAATAATTAAACATCAAAACCTGTATATTGAATATTAATAATTTAAGAATATATATAATATATAATATATATAATAATGTTAATAAAATTCAAAAGCAACAACTTTTTAAATTCTTCATTATTTTGAATTTTTCGGTTCTTTCTTTGCAGTCCAAAGAAAAGACTGTCTATAACAGATTGACTTACGTTGTGACCTCGATATTATTCTAAACAGTACAGTAAACGACAGATATATTATATAATAAATAGAGTCCTGTTTTGTATATCACTGAAATATGGAACATAAATCGATCTGCTTAAGATAATCCAAAGAAAGAATCAAAACATTCAGAATAATTGGTAAAAAATTTGAAAACAAGTTTGTTGTACCTAATATTTTCATCTGGCTCTTATTAGCCTTTCACGTTTAATTTTGAGCTTATATTAAATTTCAAGAAAACAATTATCAATGTGAAACAATGATCAAAGTAAATAAGTAAGACAGAAATAGAGCAAAAATTATTCAATACAAAATCATCAAATCACTCAATATTAGTTGAATATTTTAATAATGCAGTAAAATATTAATAATTTAGTATTATTAATTAAAGATGTAATTAAAAAATACTATAAAAGAGAGAGAGAAATGTACCTAATTGCTCTTCTAACATTTCGGTATCAAACTCTTGATGATATTTTAGAGCTTTTTCGATCAACGAACGATTAACTCTTTCCTCTTTCTTGTATTTTTGTTTAATTTCTTCTCTAGTCCTATTTGGGAACAGAGTCTGCATCAATAAAAAATCGGTACCAACTACGTTCAAGACTCTGTAAAATTTAAGCGTCTCCCATTTCGGCCAATCCTTGCTTCTCTTGTGTTTCTTATAGAAACCACCATTATTGCAAATACCTTCTTCAATAATAATGTCACTCGACATTATTTCTCTAACTCTTTTTGCATCTTTTTGTTCTATTACGAGACTCTGTTCATCTATTATCAATTGACCATCAGGACCGACTTTCACTTGCGGCACAGGCATCACCGACGGATTGTCCTCTTCTTCCTCTTCCGGTATTTCCATCGGTCTGAACAATAAAATGGAATTAAAGTCACAAAATATTGATATATAGATAACGTTTTGTACATATGTGTGCGTGTGTGTGTGTACTTAATCATTACAATTCAATATACTTACTGTGCTGCAATTCTTTGTGGACTTTTGTTCGGCTTCATAGGATTCGTTACGGGATTGTAATATATAAAATCATACATTTTCATCTGACTTTTATCGGGCGTTCTATTTTCGTGTTTCAGTAAAAATTCCCTTCTCGCTTCGGCTAGCCTTCTCGCCGATTCCGAAACCTGCATGCGTCTTCTCTGCATCGCTTTCATTCTTGAAGAAGTATTTTGATTGTCAGCAGCAATACTTTCCTTGTTGCTCTGTACGGAACAAATAGAATCATTTCGTATGCGACTCGGCACGACAACCGTCGTCGCTCTCTTGCCGTGCTCATCTTCAGATTCGCTTGCACTAGCACCACTTCCCTGTATGCTATTCTTCCTTACTCTGCCACCAGTGTCTAATCTCGGTACAGGTCTCATAAAACACAGACGATTCTTTGCAGGAGAAGCTGGAAAAAAAATATATATACATAGCTTTCGAAATGTATTTACACTTTGTAACTGATATATTTTTTAAAGTATTTTTCAATATCAATTTTTTAATCATTTTATATAAGCTTTACTTTCTATTCCTGTCAATGGCAGATCTGGTGGTGGTGAAATACTTTTCTGAACCAAATGATCTGTAAATTTTTCAGGTTTGTCATTTATTTGATCACACAATTTTTGAGAATCCGATTTTGCTTGAACACATAATTGTTGAGAGTCTGGTTTCACTTGAACACATAGTTCTTGAGAACTTGGTTTTACTTGAGAATATGGTTCTTGAAAATCTGATCTTTTATGAACTATGACTGGTTCTGGCTCTACAAAACTAGCTTCTTTTTGTTCTTTTTCAATAATTTCCTCAGATGCCTTTGCAACATCTGTAACAACATCTGGATCTTGTTTTAGTATAACAGTATTAGAGATGCCTTCTTCTCTCTCATTTTTTGCCTCTGCAATATCTTTGATAGCTTCTTGTTCAGATTTTGACTCAGCAGCAGCTGCACCTTCCTTGTTTTGTTCTTTATCAGACACACTACTTATATCAGAAGCTACTATATCTTGTGCAGGGTTCTTTCGAATTGGCACACTTGCCAAAGCTTTAATACGTGCTCGACGCATGTTTCCTTTGTAAAAACTTTATATAGAATCTGAATAAAAAATATAGATCAATAAATTAATAAAATAAATTGTAATTAATTATAATACAATATTTATAAATTATAGACACATGCACACACACAAAATATGCAAGCTACAAACACAAAACAATGATATGTACAGATTCTAACTAATAAAACAAAACTTTATTTTAAAAATAAATTTATAATTAATGAAAATTTATAAACATCATTGAGATTAATGTGAAAATTATTATTTATCTACTTTTCAGGTTGAACAAAGATTAATGTGAAAAAATATGAGTTCTAAAACATCAATAATTCTAACGATATAGCTTTCCTCTATTTAATACTTCTTTTAAATATTATCATCGACGTCAATCTCTAGCATAATTTCCGCGTGTAATTTAAATCCGTAGCCACGCATGACACAAAATCGTGGTAAGATATAAATGACAACTGTCACGCGTTCATCTCGAGGTTAGTTTGTCATTATCACTTACCGACAATTCGCTATTTCGACACAAATAAAATGCGAATGCTTTGAAAATCAGTGGATATAGTTTTTTTTTCAATTTACTGCTCAAGTATGGAAAGCAGCTTTATAGTCGCTTCGTTTTTATAAAACACACGCGGATCAAACCGCACGAGACACGCATCAATACGTATGTACATACACTGACTATACACTAACGTAGGATATATGTATACATGCGATACATACACACGTACGCGATACGTGTCGATATAGATCGACCGATTATCTTTCTTGATAAAATGATCAATTTTTTACCGAATAAATAAAAAAAAAAAAAAACATTAATACATTAATGAAATTGAACAATTTGGTACAAATTAATAAAGATATAAGTAAATAATTATATTGTGGAAAAGATATTTTTTATTTTTTAATTCTTGATCCTTTATCAAAATAATCGAATTGCTAATTTGTATGATAACAAATATACATATACTTAATTATATTATAAATGCTTACAAATATATATTTTGTTTTACAAAAGTTACGTATGAATATGCTCATATTATCTGAAATCTCTAATATTGTATTGTAAAAAGATTTCTTTATGTCATATTTGTCATATTTACATTAATTAATTGATGTCTATTCGTGTAACTAATGACTATCCATAAACTGTATATCTGATAATAACAGGACTGTATTAGGCAGCGGTCTAGGTTGTGGGCTTAATACAGTGAACGTCTGCCTCTCGACGTCCACGTTGGTTCTGCAAATATAAAATGTATTGTACAATTTGCAAATATGTAAAATTTATTTTTATATATAAAAAATTATATATAATAATAATATATGGAGTTTCTATAGTAAACTGTATACTAACACACAGACAAATCCAGCCACGTTAGTCTGCACGACATCATCCTCGGGAGAATCGGCAAACGAGACAGACAGGAGATGATGTAACAAACTAGGTCCTGGTGTAACAGCCACTAATTTTGTCAAATTATCTTCCGCCTTCATGCCCAACGGCATACAGGAAGCTGGTAGAACAGGTGCTCCAATCTTATACAATCTAGCCTCGCTCCACTTTACCTCAAAACTGTGTGGATATAATGGAGTTCGAGAACCATAAAAGTATTCTCTGACACCCTGATCTCTAGCTTCGGTCCTTGCGCCTGACTTCTCTCGACAACCCCGCCACTCTTCGGTAAAAAAACCACCTTCACAAAATCCGGCATATCTCTCACCAGTTCATTGTAAAGTCTCTCTTGATCTAGCACAAGTATCGCATCCACCTCGAATGCCTGTGCACTATGCGTGAGCAATTTGTAGCCATCGCCTTTAACCCAGCCACATGTGTTTATAACAATTCCAGAGGCTTTGGCTTTCTTGTTAGCTTGTAGTCTGTCTGAACAAACCTCTGCCAAACGTGTGACTAGTAAATTGTACAGTGTTACATTGGCTTGTGGTGTTTTATGTCCAAAATGAAAGACTAGAGGAGCTTGCTGACTGAATCCTTCCACTACATTGGATGGCCGTTCCACCAGCAGAGCACCCACTGTACCAGGAATCGCTATGTGTCCCTGACCAACATCGAGGTCAACAAAAATTGGCCTTCTGCCCATCCTGACGGCATAATTCAGTAATATCCTACAAAGTGTAGACTTTCCCACATCGCAGGGACCTACGACCATTGTTATCGGACCCCTAGTGTCGTCCTTCTCTGCAGTTTCTCTCATCCGTTCCATCGCTGCGTGACAATTAAGATACAAACCCATAGGAGTTTCCTTTGCCACATAGCTGACATCGGTTTTCCCAACTAATTCAACAGTGCAACCTTGCCAAGTGTAAACCGCAACTTTTGCGCCAGCGGTAAACTCATACTTTTTACCCTTTACCAATTCTGTTCCAAATACTTCTGCCAAGCCATTCTTCAACTGCAATTATACAACTCTAAGTCAATTAATGATAAAAAAAAATGTATAACAGATTAAGTTTATAAAAAGAAATTGTGTTACCTCCAATGTAACTTTTTCATTCTTACTTTCCACTTCGAATCTTAATTCACAGTCCGGATCCAATTTAAATTCTTGCACTGTAGATTTTTCGTCAGACATTTTTGTTTGAATAGGTTAAAGGTGACACGCTGCTTGAATCATGAAAAATTCTTTTTCTTCTATAACTTATTAGCTTTTGCTGACCCTGGTCATGAAAAATCCGAATCTGTTAAATCTATTTCTCTTGCTAGATCGTAATAAATTTTTCGTTTTCTGTTTCTCCAATACTTGGTAAATCGAGTTGATTCGAATTGTCTTTCAAACGCTGAAATATTTATGGATACTCACCTCATCCGAGATGCGTTCGAAAATCCTACCCATTCAATTGACCAATCAGGATAAAAGAAACGATGTTCTTTGTCTTGATTGGCCGATTAAAAATCGTTTCCATTTACTCTACTAATAGGATTTCCGAACTCATTCAGTCACGTGATATAATTTGTTTACTGCCGCAAAAGTTGGCAACCCTGACCCTGACGCCGACATTTCGCGTAATTACGTACATTGTGCATTTTGTGATGCTGTCAGAAAATTTGCGTTTTTACTCCGTGAGCGTTGTTCGATGCAGATTTATGCGATATTATGCAATTATCTGTCACATATGCACAGTGTGATAATTGCGACACACCTTTGCTGAGTTTCGGCGCTCAAACTTGTTTGTTAAACGACATTGACGTGCACGTTCGTGTTTAACGGTTCCCGCTTTTCCTAACGGGTAAGCTGATAGATGTCATGAGACGTAGTTTTGTTGCACTGAAAGAGAACGTTTAATGTCACTTGAAATGAAAATTGTATTATCTCTCGCAATCTGTACATACATATAATATTACATATATTTTGTGAAAAACAGAATATTTACATACTTAATTTACAACGCAATAAAATTCAAACTTATATTTTACTAAAAACGTACCTATAATTAAATTTACTATTATAATTAATATCTGTGATGACTTTACATGTATTAATATGCATTGATATACATTGGTGTTTGTAGAGTTTATATAGCAACCTGAATTAATTTGAGAAAAGAGATATTTTTCTTTTTGTTGAAATAAGATTCTATTGTACAAACAATACCTGAAGCATGAGTATATAAATAATTAAATTATTGCATCATGTTTTTAATTAAATAGCAATATAAGTTTTTTTATAAATGTAAGATGGAAAAGGTATTTCTGGTTATATAATATATAAGTTTTCTACTCACTATCAATTATCAATTTGATTGATATTGAAATTGATACTGAAGAAAACTGAGAGAGGACTTGAGACATTAAATGGCATTTAATATATATTAATGTACACTTAACTAAATTGGTTATAAAATTGATGTCAACTAAATATTTATCATTATGTTTCCAGATATAATTCAATCAGAATGTCTACAACTGGGATGTCTACACGTTCCTCTTGTCTGAAATCTCATCACCCTTCTATAAAGGCTGTACCTGAAAGTAAGCTCAGATCTAAAAGAGTCATTAATAAAACCAATAAAAGTTTACAAAAAATTAATGTTAATGCAAACAACAAAAGATTAAATGTATCAAAAATAAATGTGTCTGCAAATAGCAGTCAATCTTTACGAAGATGCTTGCGTCCACGGAATAAAAAAAATTACTGTGAAGATTCAAAATTACTGCAGCAATATCTTTCACCAAAACAACAAAAGAGTGTGGTAATGTTAGAGAACTTAGATTTGGAAAATAATAAAAAAATGCCTGTATACAAAACCATAAAATCTCCTGAGAAATCATTAGAAAATAAAATGGATGTATATGATTTTAAATTTGATATTAATGATTCAAAGAGAAAGTTACTAAGAAAAAGCAGAAGAGAAAAGTTAGCAAACAGAAAGGCAAAACAACTAAAAGAACTACACGTAAGAAGGTTACTATACAATCGCAAATAATTAACAATGAAGAAAACAAATTTCTTGGACTTGATACAAATACTGTAAAGTCTACACAAAATAATTCTTCAAAATCTGCAATAGAAGTGATAGTTACAAAATCGACAAAGAAAAATAAAGAGAAAATTAAGACACCAGATGCAGATATTCAGATGGTGCAAGAATCAGTAAAGGAAGATAATGTGATTGAAGAGATTGAATCACCAAGCATAAATACAGATATACAGATTGTAAGAGAATCAATGGAGGAAGATACAGAAAAGAAGAGTGAAACGCCAAAAATAAATATCAATATTGAAACTGTAGGAGAAACAAGTTCATCTGATAGAGCATTTCCAAAACAAATTAAAAAGCAAAATGCAAACAAGCCAAAAGTTATATCTATCAAAAATGCAGATAATATTACAATCCTTAAATCACCACCATCCAGCAACACTGAAGAGTTTTGGCCCTTTCGGCCAAAGAATATATTTGATAATAAGACCTCGGTAAAACAAGAGAAAAACTCATTAAATTATTCATTATTGACCAAATCTTTATCCCCTATCTTGAAGACTAGTGCCTTGGATCAGGAAAGTCCCTGTCGACTTCCAACAACATTAATGTTTTCTCAGGCTAAATACTTTGCTCAAAGTACACCAAAATTGAGATTTGAAGATAAGAAAATGAATAAAAAGAATGTAAAAATGAGTCAAGAAAATATGGAAATAAATAAAGAAAATATAGACATGAATAAAGAAAATATGGAAATGAATAAAGAAAATGTGGAAATAAATAAAGAAAATATGGATAAAACAAATATACGTGGAAGAGAAAAAGACAAAAAGAAGAAAATGACTTTCCACAAAAAGCACAATATAATTAAAAAAAAACTTCCAATTAATCAAAATACAGAAAAAAATCGGACGATAGATACAAACAAGCATATACATGCAGCACCTGCCAGAATTTCTCTAGGAGAAATAAAGAACTTTTTACAGCAAAAAAATATAAGTGACAACAAACAAACAACAGATGAAGTGCATGTTAAAGATGACAAATCACCTACGATGCAAAAAGATAAAGATCTTATAAATTTTCTCAATTTTTCTGACACATTTGATGTCTTGTCTGAAACAGAGAGACTATCGAATTTTAGAGCTGAGGTTCCTTTGTTCATGGATTTAGAGCCCACACATTTTTCGAAGGTATTTTTACACATTACTAAAATTATATCAATATATTCTTTTATATATTATACAATATTGATATTAACATTATTATATACTTATTTAAAATATTACAGCCGCCTCAACATTCATATAGGAAAAAACGAACTGTAAAATTTGACCTTCTGGAGAGTGACGAAGAACAAGAAGAGGAGAAAGAAAATGTGAAATATCAAACAAAGAAGAAGAAACTCACAAAGTTGACAAAAGAAACTGAAAAAAAAATAGAAGAATGGGCAAAATCTGTTAATAGTACATTCGAAGAAATTGACGAATATGACTTGTTAATTGAGTAATATAGAAAGCAGATTACTAAAACACATAATTAAAAATTTAAGAAAGCCTGAAAGTGCAAAACACTAAATTAAATATTTTTTCTACCTTTCAAATTATATTTGATCTATAATGATATTTAATATTTCCCTATTCTATATATTTATATATAATTTCTTCAATTACACATATTTGTGATAGAAAAAATAGTTTAAAAATTTGTTTCTCAAAATTATTCATAAATATTTTTTTTCTAAATTGTATTCGAGTTTCATAATTATAAATTTTCTAAAAAAATGTTTAATATTTATATGTAATAATTTTATGTGATGAGGTAGCAAAGTAACTATAAGTACATGATAGAGATATATTACTATAAATATTTATATTATTTCTGCAATAACTTGTAGAAAAAGAAGTATAACGTTGATATATAGTAGTATTTGGAAATAAAATATATTTAATTGCATTGAGATCAGTACCCAGACAGCCACAGTAATTATTATGACATCAAAATGATGTCAATAATTACTGTGGCTATCTGGGTAGGTTATATAAAAGTAATTACTTGTATATTGTATATATATATATATAAAATTAGTAAAATATTTTTGAAAACTATATCTTTCCGTCTTTTTAATTTCTCTAAATCTGGATACTAAATGTCAGACTTAGAGAATTGAGTTAAAGAAAAAAAAAATTTTACTATACGCGCGTATATTTACAAATTGATACAAATAATATTTTAAAATGATTTTTATTGAAATTTTAAAAGGGACAAAATAAAAAAGTTAAGAAAGCATGTGTAATTGTTTATTTTACTTGCAATACACTTGTAAATTTTTTTCTTGAAATTTTTCTGTATCGTAAACAAATGTCGGCTGTTCGAATCTACGCATGCGCACTTAAAGACATACGACGCACATGCGTGTCGAAAAATCTCAAGTGAGACGCAACGGTGATATAACCTGTAAGCCACGCGCGAAAATATTAATATCAATGAAATATCGGATTAACTGAAAAATGAAGCGACTCAAGAGTGTTATCGAAGATGTGATTGTGCAATCTGATAAAATCCAACCAATTATTGGTAAGATGGACATGTGTTATACTTAAATAATACCATTGTTACTATACCGGTTTTATTGTACTTTAATTTACATATTATTCATAATACACATATAACATTACTTCATGCTTATTTAATTGATATCATATTTTATCCACATATATACATATCATAATTACATTCAAGTATCATCATTCTTAGCTTTTGTTTGATTATTTAAATAATTGCTTTCCCTGATTTATATAAAAGAAAAAGAGCATTCAAATATGTTTTTATAAATATAAATAAAATCTTTGTTGTACAGTGAACTTTCAACATGGTAAGCTTAAAGATGAAGAGGACAAGGAGATGTCATGTGGTTTATTCCGTGATCAAAGGGAAGATAAAACTGTTTTGGCATTATCAAATGGACAGATTGTATATAAAGGTTATAGACCAGATTTTGAAAAAGAATCGACAAGGACAATGCTGGTACTCCATAATAAGAGAACAGGCAAAGTACGATTATTTGAAGCAGAACGGTGGCAGGTAACTCCAGTACTTGAAAAACCTATTATTGAAGACAACAAAAATGATATGGACGAAAAGATTGTTTTATTGAATAAACAATTTGGGTCGAAGAAAATTAAACGTAGAACCGAGCAATTTGAAAGACTGAAAGTGGATGTTAATTCTGTTAAGGAGCAACTTGAGAAAACAGTGTCAAGTAAGTTCTTTTTCTATTATTAAATATAATTAAATTGTAAAACATATTTACATATATATCATTTAAAATTACTAATAATATATTGATATATCAAAGATATTCAATATTTATATTCCATACAAAATCTTATTGACTTGTTTTTATTTTTTAACAGATGTTGAAATTGATAGACTAGATTTATCGGTTCAATTACAAACTGATGACTGTATTTCCACAATATTACCAACATGCAACAGGGATGCGAGTAATGTCAAAGATGTGTACAATGTATATGACATTATTCCAAGGAGTAAACTGGAAATGTTATATGAACATGCAATGAAAATTCTTAATGGAGATGTAGAAGAAGAGTAATTTAAATCTCTTTAAATAAGTTTTTTATCGTCATTTTTCTATATCCAATAATATTGTATAATTACATTTTTCTCATTATAGGAAGACTACATTTTTCACACACACTTTAAAATTTATTAAATCGGATCCAGATAATGTAAACAAGGTTGCTCTCTTACTCTACATTGAAATGGTCAGTGTATGGTGCGATATGATAGCAAAGGATGTAAAGAAACGCGACATTATTGTGTGTCCAATATCTGAAGAGGTAAATCGGCACATTATTGACACATACAGCGTACCCAGCGCACATGGACGGTAAGTTTTGATCATAAAATGCAATTATAAGAAAAGGCATTTTTTAGGAGAATTTCTTTTACAGAATGAGGCCAAATGTTATGAAAGATAAAGGTCTTGTACATTGCTTGATCCTTGCACTGATTGTATCAAACTTTGAACTGGATCTTGAATTGTTTCGAGGTACACTGAAAAGAAAAACTGGTCAGAAGAAACTAATAAATTTTGTAAAAATCATTGGAGCAGTGTTTTCTAAAAAGGATAAGAATATTATTATGCTCAAGGTTCCATTGCCTTCAGTGACTCTTGTTAAAAAAGGAAAAAAACCAAGATCATGATTTCATTATTCAATAGATTTATTTCAATAGAATTGACGATATATTTTTATTTTTGTAACATCTCTCAACTATTTCTGATATAGTTTATAAAACATTTGTTGTACAGCCAAAATTGCGTTAATGTTTTATAAATCTTGTAAATACATAAAATATACATATTTCCATATTACTCTGATATAGATTTAATAAAAGAACATACAAATTACATTTTACATATATCTAGAAGAAATTTTTAAAGAATAATAATTAAAATTACAGATAACAAAACAGTTACAGATTAGAAAATTACAGATAACGATATTTTTTAATGTGTATTAAATTATTTTAAATATCTGAAGAATGTAATTTTAAAAATTATTTCTCTACGTTTTTTCTTAAAATTATATTAGTATATTATCATCGATTATTAATGTCCGACTTGGTCTTCTAACATCGTAAAAACGAATAAGAGGTTAGAGAAGCGTTTGGAAATTGGAAGTTTATTGTCGCACACAGATTTTCAAATTCGCTCCAAAACAGCAAACTGTTAATCACACAGTTTCTGTTTTACACGAGATTCCAATATCTTAAATTTATACACAAAATATCAAGTTTTCGACATGATAGCCTTATTGACCGCGCATATGGTAGAGGGAAGGGGAGGAAATCACGTTCGAAAGTGCATATCGCGCATTGTGAAACGCAGAGATTTATCCACTACTGCTTCGAATAGAGCAAAAATGGTAAGTGCTCGTTAGAACCTCCCAGTTGAAAGAAGAACCAATTTAAATCGAATAGCGAGCAAATTTCGAACAATTAAAGACGTTTTGATATAGATAATTACTTGTGTTTAAATAAGTAGTTGGAGGTGAAAGTGGTACAGATGCAATCGGCCACTTGTTACACAAAATCATGTCTATTTGCATAAATATGTAGAGTAATAAAAAAATGTATCGCTTGTAAAAACATTACCATATGTTGTGACCGAAGATCGCGTAAAATAATTAAATCACATTTGATTATAATTGTATAAGAGAGAATATGTATTGCATATATTACTATATAATTTAATAACATTTGATAACTATATGTTGATCTTCATAGAGTAATAAAAATAAGCTCACTCCAGAGGAAAGAGAGCAAAATTTGAATCCACTGCTCTCGACAGGATGGACTGTTCAGTCAAACAGGGATGCAATTTATAAGGAATTTGTATTCAAGAATTTCAATGAAGTGTGTTTTACACATCTGTTAATATTTTATATACAATCATTATGTTACATTATATATACTTATATATTCTAATTTCTAGGCCTTTGGCTTTATGACAAGAGTTGCCTTACAGGCTGAAAAGATGGACCATCATCCTGAATGGTTTAATGTTTATAACAAAGTGAATATCACTCTCTCATCTCATGATGTTAATGGTTTATCAGAGAGAGATGTGAAACTGGCGACTTTTATAGACAAAGTTGCCAGCAAATAAGATTCTTTTGGCTTATCTACCTGGGACCTGTCAGAACATTATCTATTCGAATACTTATTATATACATGTTAATGACAATAATGAGAAACTTTTGTTATTACTTATTTGTAACATATATAACTAATATGAAATAAATGAGCTTTCTTTAGTTCATTATACATACACATTTCGAGCTACAAACTTTTATAATAGTTTCCAAAACTTTACTTGATTAAAATTATAAGTAGTATAAGAAAGAAAGCACAATATATTGTCACAGTAAATAATTTATTCCCGAATAATTTACAAGCTACCATCCCTTAAAAAGTTCTTCATATACTAACGCAAACAATTATTTCTGTATTTTAGTGATAACATCTAATTGGATTTCTGTCTTTCTCTGTCTTTACCTATTGCCCAGCCACTTTTAATGATCTTTGTGAGACCAGGACCGTTGTAAATTAGCAGAAGCAGACCAGCGAGAGTTGCAGCGGAGAGTAGATTTAACAGGAGGAACGACACTTTTGGAACTAATGTGCCTACTACAATGGGCCGTGCATAATCGAGTATGATAGCCTCCAATCCCCTGTAATAAATTTATTCTTTCGAGCTTTCTATTTTACAGTGTGTGCAAGAGATTCGTAGAAGAATAAATTTAACAAAAAAATACAAATTAATATTATATTAGACTGAGCCAATCAATTACCAATGTGTGTGCATGACGACAGCAGCTGCTAATAATACATCGATAAATTTACTTTCAAAGAGCAGAGCAGCAGGTATTAGCGACAAGAAGGATGCAGACACCATCCTTTCTATCAACCACAAGCGTACATGGTCACCATGGGCGCTTGCTGCACGAGTTTGAGTCACGCTGACTGTTGATTGCACAGGCAACTGGAAAGAATGAAATAATGTATTGTGCATTCACTCTTATTTCCTTTAGAAAAATTTGTTATAATTTGTTATCAACCTTGGACAAGATACGGCATGTTGGATATTTATTTGCTATAGGCGTTATGCCACGGTTCAGATTTGCAAGACTTGAAGTGGATTTGGGGAAGTGCACTGGATTGCATCTGCATACCTGGAGTAACCCACTAGGTTTTACCAATGTCTCTGCAATAAAATCATTGATTGGCGTGTTATAATTTTATATCTCGTTTTTAATCATTGATCAAAATGATTATATTGTACACTGCTACAAAAATACCCTTCGATATTATAATAAAAAAATTAATGTAAACTTATATAAAACGTAATTAAAAATTGTTTTGAGGAAAATATCCATCGATTGAAACTTTCCATATATTTTCTGCTCATTAAAGAGATTATGTAAAACCATCTTGAGGTTATGTAAAGAAATTTCTGTCTAAATCACGAAATAAAGCAGGAACACGCTCGAAACTGTCGGAGACTTAAAGTAAAACTTACCGAGCTGTCGAACTTTACGAAAGATATTAATGTTAGCTACTCTTCCTAAATTCATCTTGTCAAAATTGCTCGTATCGAGTTTGACGTTAATTCGAATCAAGAGATAAGAGACAAGCGTTCAAACAATCAATTTTTATTCGAAACAATTTGCGTCTGCTAGAACGAAAGCAAATTTTTTAGAGAAAAAAGAATTTTAATTCATACATATATATATTTATTTTCGGAATAGAACAGAAATAAGCTTCGATTCGCAAACATATTTTTGCTGCGCTTTGTGCACTCTCTACCTACACTTGAAACAGTAAAAACGTGGAGAGAGGAAAGAGTGAGATGAAAGCTATAATTTGACCTTATATAGAACATATAATATATGTTCTAAGAATTTGACGAATGGACTTTTATATAAAACGCTAAATGTCTGTTATAATTGTGTATACAGGGTGTCCCATAATTCGCGAATCACCTTTCATGGGCAGATAGAGCGTGTTAAACTGAATAGAAAAGTCCTGTATCATTTTGCGATATTCGCAATAATTATTGAGTTATTAACTAAAATATCTAAACGAATGAGCGGGTAGAAAGCAGTAGGCCGGACTCGGTGTGCACTTATTTGTTATGTGCCGCTTAGTATCAAAAGTATCATCTTACTTTTCGGCGTCACTACATTGGTCGCCGCTCGCTGCATGACGCCGCCTCTCGATCAAATAATGCTTTCTACCTGCTTATTCGTTTAGATATTTTAATAAATAACTCAATAATTATTGCGAATATCGCAAAATGATACATGAATTTTCTATTCAGTTTAACACGCTCTATCTGCCCATGAAAGGTGATTCGCGAATTATGGGACACCCTGTATACAGTGACCTAAGTAGATTATAGAAAACAATTATAAAAAATATTGCAGATTCCATATAAATAAACACGTTTATATTATAGAAAAATATTTTATCTTTTATCAAGCTGACAAAAGTTCTGCTTGTAAATTAATCATAACAAAAAGATAAATTTCAAAATATAAAAAATCCTGTTCATAGTCCGTCTCGTGCTACATGTCTATTTCATTGGTTGGATTAAATCTTAAGATCGGACTCTCACACGCGTAAAAGCATTCAGCCAATCACTTTTCCGTTGTACGAAAAAGCCGCAATCTGATTGGTTATCGCTATCGCGTTCAGATGCGCAGAAGCAATAAAGCTTAAATACAAATTCGAGTTCAAATCTATATAATTTATATACATCAGGTTTTTATCAATCCGGTGTTCGGAAATTATGTCCCTCCGGTAGTGAAATGTCAACGTGTGACGTGTATGTAATTTACAGCAGACGTTGAAAGTTTATCGGAGGAAAAGAATGGAGTATTTTAAAAGCAGTCTGAAATCCGTTTTAGGAACCGCTCCAGCTGGAACTCAGCCGACAGGTGCCGATACGGTAAATGAAAAGAAAAAAGCTAATATTCCATAATATTTTTTCCATACTCGAGAGGTTATTTCTTATTGTTGAATCAACTAATAAAGCTTCTTATCAGTGACAATTAGTAACAAATTTATAAATTTGTAACTATTTTTTTACAAATTTTTATTTACAACTTTGTTACTATTTTTTTACAAATTTTTATTTACAAATTTGTTACTAATTGTCTAACAAAGTTGTAAAGCTACAATTGCTATTGCTATATATCTATGTATTTTAATACAGGTGGAAAGATTAGTAGATAGATTGCAATCTTCCACATTACTCAATGACAGAAGAGATGCCTGTCGAGCACTCAAAGCATTATCACGCACATATCGTGTGGAAGTTGGTGCTCAAGGGATGGATGCGTTGAGGCAGGTGCTGGAAATGGACAAGACAGATTGCGAAATAATTGGTTTAGCTCTAGACACACTGTGTAATATTACAAGTCCTGACATATTTGAGGAAGAAAGTAAGTAAGATGTTCTTTGATGGTTATTCGATTTCATGTCTAATTATTCTGTATAATTTCAGTGAACAACCACGATCCTCAAGCCAAGATAGGAGAACAGTTTACAGAAATATTTATCAAGCATTCAGATAGTATTGGATTAGTACTAACATTTCTTGAAGAGTTTGACTTTCGTGTCAGATGGCCGGCGTTGAAATTGTTAACACATTTATTAGCAAACAGATCTAAAGATATTCAAGAAATAATTTTGATCAGTCCTATGGGAGTTTCTAAATTGATGGATTTGCTGAGCGATAGTAGAGAAGTTATACGCAATGATGTATGTTAAATTAATAGTATTTAAGTAAATATTTTTGAAATATGAAAAGAAAGCATCCTCTTGTTGTTAATACATATTATTTACATTTATTACTTAGGTTTTGTTGCTACTCATTCAACTAACAAAAGGCAATGCAAATATTCAAAAAATAGTAGCATTTGAAAATGCATTTGATCGCATATTTGATGTTATTCAACAAGAGGGTAATGCAGATGGTGGTATTGTTGTAGAAGATTGTCTCTTATTGATGTTAAATCTTCTCAGAGGAAATGTCAGTAACCAAAACTTTTTTAAGGAAGGTAATTTCAATAGGTTTTAATAATCAACTTTTCAATAATTTTTCTTTTGTGTGATAATTTTTATATTGCAATATGTGTAGGTAGTTATATTCAGAAATTGACGCCAATGTTTCAAATACCCAATGAAACAGAAGATAATAACTTTGGTGGTTGGAGTCCACAAAAAGTATCCAATGTTCACTGCATGGTGCAAGTTGTACGAGCATTGGTAGCACCAAGTGCACCTGCTCAGGTAAAAATATTGACATTATATTTATAAAATTTCTCTTTTATTACGTTTTTATTTTATTATTATTTTATTATAATAACTAAATAATATATATGTGAAGGCAGTTGCAGCTTGTCAACGAACTATGAGAGCTTGTGGATTGTTACAAGCATTGTGCGATATATTAATGGCTAGTGGAGTACCTGCAGATGTGTTGACAGAGACCATTAATACTGTAGCAGAAGTCATAAGAGGAAATGCTAGTAATCAAGAATTTTTGGCGAGTGTTATGGCACCGAGCACTCCTCCAAGGTATGATAAGCTACATTAAATAGAGTCATTTTATATTTAATATTATTCAAAATAATGAAGAACAATTTATCAATACATTATAGACCAGCTATTGTTGTGTTATTAATGTCCATGGTGAATGAAAAGCAACCATTCGTTCTGCGATGTTCTGTACTATATTGCTTTCAATGCTTTCTCTATAAAAACGAAGTAGGACAGACACAGTTGATTCAAACTTTATTACCGCAAGGCAACGAAGCACCATCGCTAACTACAGGTTTATTAAGCTCTTTTTGATAGATCTTGACTACATTTAATATAATATATGTATAATAATAATATATGATAACATATATTTAATAATATGTGATATGATATATTATTATATGATATGATATATTATATTATTATATGATATGAAAAAAAGGCGTTTTGACAATGGAATAATGCAAATTCTATATTTGTTGTTAGGACAGTTACTGTGCGGCGGATTATTTTCTGCAGATTCACTGTCGAATTGGTTTTCTGCAGTGGCATTATCTCACGCTTTGATCGAGAATATAAGTCAGAAGGAACAGCTTTTAAGAGTGCTCCTTGCGACCAATATTGGGAAGCCACCGGTAACACTTATACAACAATGCGTTATGTTGTTGCAACAGGGTAATAAGACACAGTGTAAATTGGGCTTATTGATGTTGCTCTGTCAATGGACCTCGTATTGTCCGCTCGCAGTCAAATCATTCCTAGCTATCGATTCCTCGGTAGCGTATCTAACAGCCCTTCTATCATCGCAAGAGAATAATGATGATCTACAAGAAACTTTACTACAGAGCATGTGCGCCTTACTTATCGGTATTTGCATACATTACAACGATGATAGTGTACCAATTTATACAAAGGTAGGTAATGCCATTTATATAATTGAGATAGTTCATGACGTTTATGGAAGTTACACAAAGTAAAACGTGTGTAATTAATTGCAATAATTTGTGTATATTATCTCGCAGGAAAAAGTGTATAATTTAATTGAGAATAGAATAGGTATGGAAAAATTTCAAGACGCGATTGGCGGTATTGCTAGACACGAAATTTATTCCCGAACGTTAAAACATCCGCAACCTTCGGTGAAAAATCCGTCAGAACTTTTATTGGATCACGAATTTTGCAGATTACTGAAAAGTTTAGAAGGTATACATTATATACATAATATTTTTTATAATCGTATGTCGAAAATAAATGGTTTTCATAATGATAAAAAATTTAACATTCTCTCTCAATTTCTTTTTAGAAATAAAAATTAAGATTTTTTTTTCTTTTAGGTGTTGTAATAAAATCAGTGATAGATGCTAATAATAAACATCAAAATAGAAATCAATTATCTATGAGTGTATCTGACAATGCATTGGTTTTGCAATACAAAGATCTTATAAGAGAACAAGATGTGCAAATTCAAAAGCTGAATCAAGTTAATGATACTTTATTAAAAGAAAAACAAGAACTTGAGGTACTAAGCAATTTTTTTTTATTTTTAAGAAATGTGTTTGATGTACATATAAAAAATTAATATATATTTTTCAATACTATTACAGACACAACTGCAAGAACTTAAATCAACTATTAGTCATTTAAGAGATCAAAATTTGGTTCTTCGAGCAGCACAAATAAATATGGGGGATGGAAAAGAGACAGTTAATTCTAGTAGTAATATAGATCTGGAAAAAGAATTACAAACCTACAAAACAACAGTTGTAGATTTAGAGAATCGTTTAGCTGAATATGTGCACATGACGCAAGAGCATAAAGAGAAAAATGAAAAGGAATCAGAATTAGAGAATCAATTAAAATCAAAAACAGAGGAACTTGAAAAATTGAAGAAAGACCAAGAAGATCTTTTAGAACTTTTGACTGATCAAGATAGTAAAATTATGTTGTATAAAGAAAGATTAATTGAATTAGGCGACAAGGTATGTTTTATGAAATGAAACTATTTCCACAATACATGAAAAATAAAATATAACTTTTCTATTTTTAGGTCGAGTCTGATGAAAGTTCAGGTGAGCTTGATACAGATGATCAACCAGAATCAAGCAATTAAGATATTCTAATTGATCGTTTCATCAGATAAATAACAATTTTTTTTATACATAGTAAATGTCTTTCTATAAAAATTTTATTTTGTGTCATACATATTGTAAAAAATATGAAATGTATTTCCAAATGTATATACAAATATATAACAATTACCATGTGTAATTGTATAAACAGATATTAGTATTTCTCAGAAGTAAAAGTATATAAATTTAATGATAATGTATGTTTAAATAATTTAGATATTTAATGAAAAAATGTTTCAAATAAAGTATTATATATTTTTATTTCTGCACAATTATATTCTAATGTTTTTTTATTTAAGTATATTCAGTTTGTAAAAAATTATGTAATTGTTATAAAAACAGATTGCATTATTGAAGAAATTGTCTTAAACATTCCTGTAATATATTCAATATAATTTAATAATTCATGCATATTCTAATGATATATTTGTATATAAAAAAAATTACGCAAAACGAAAATAAATTTATTATATTTATTTTAAATAGTTTATATTATCCTATTAACAACAAATATACAATTAATGGACTGATAGGACCAACATTTATAGATTCCCATTTTCAGAATTATTTAATATACAGAGTTCTATAAATACATTTTAATGCTTTGTTTTTATAATTCTTTTATTACTGGCTGCAGGATGTCATAATATCTAGCCAGTGTTATCAGATATACTATTATCAACTAACAAATGAGAATTTTATTCAATACAATATTGAATAATTTATACTGCACTTTGTCGCTGTTTCATGACTGCTTGAATACATTTTGCCATAGTTAAAGACGCTCGTGATACTACGTCAGTCATGAAAAATTGATCCAACGTCTTTTGTTTAATATCCACCGGGTCTGCTAAAAATGATTCTCCAGACTGTTGCTATAAACATGTCATAAACAACATATATAGATAATATTGTCTTTATGTTAAAAAATACATTACATCTAATCGAGATACAAACCTTAGCTATTTCCAAAGCTTGTGTAAAGAAATTAGCTGGTTCAACATTACCATATCGTACCAGATGTGGCGCGACTTCTTCAAGCCTGAATCTTATTTCGTTTAAATTATCATATGGTAAAGTAATACCGGCCATCTATAATTTAATAAAGTATATAATTGTCAAATATACACATATCTTGATTACTTATTTGAGAATCTGCATTTTTTGACTATGAACATTTATTTATTTAATTTATTAATTATTACCTCAGAAAGGGCGCGAATAATTTTCCAATCTGGACGTGCTAAACCAGGTGGTGTAATTGCCGCGCACGTTTGTTGGGAGCGTCCTTCTGTATTAACATAACTTGCGACTTTTTCAGTATATGCTGCTCCAGCTAATACAACATCAGCAATGGCCGCTCCAGCATCACCATGACTTCCTAAAATCATAAATAACATTTACTGTAATCTTATAGTTAATAATTTAAAAGTTATAAATTAAATTGATATTGCTATATAAAACTAAATAAAATATATAAAGTTTTAAATTTATAATTAATAATATGAATAAATATAATTAATTTTATAAACTTAATATATTACAATAAAAATTCAATTATAAATAATTCATATATATACATTAAAAGTAATTTATATATATATTTAAAATGTTTTCAGCATTGTTACATGTGCATAGACATACCTATATAAATGATAAATGTGTTTGGAAAATCTTCTCTCTTAATATTGACATCATCAGCACCCAAAAGGAACAGAACATTCGGTTGTTGTTCTTTGATTTCTTCTACAGTCGAACCATAACCGATATCTAAAGCAGCAACTTGAGAAGCATTTGTATGCAATATATTTAAGGTTTTCCATTCCTGGGGAGCCTGAAATTCAAAAGATGAGCGATTATTATAATTTCTAAAAAATTACTACATATAAGATTGGGGAAAATTTACTTTTAAGTTATCTCCTAAAACCTTCGCTAATGCTTGCGTTTCGTAGAGAATCTTAGCTCCGTCCTTCCGAGCTAGCTGATCGGCGCCTAAGATGACAAGTGGTTTCTTAGCTTCTTTCAGGGTAGCAGAGAATGGATGTGAACCATCACGTAACTTCGTTATTACATCGAAGGATTCTCCCAAGTGCTAAAAAATAAAACAAAAAGGATATATTTTACTGAAGAATACATTAACAGGAGAAATATAACGTAAAACAGATAAAGATTATACCTCATGTTCGTACGTTAGATCAACGTCCGAACCGATAAGGGCAATTGTTTGTTCGCCATGTAGATAGCCCTTCCTGAGACGCGTATTTACTAATGGTGCTTCGTATCTAGGATTTGTACCAATCAATACTACGACATCCGCATCTTCAATCGCGGCGATGGTGTTGTTCAAAAGATAGCTACTTCTGAGGTCGATGCCCGAGCCGTCTTTCGGGAAACATTGTTCCGTGGCTAGAGCTTCGCTGCCCAATTTGTTCACTAAATCTTTCATGGCAATAAGAGCCTCCGCGTCTGCCAATTTCCCAGCGATCGCAGCACATTTCTCCGCCGACACATTCGCTATGGATCTAGCAGCTAGTTATCAGAATGTTGATGTATAATTGAAATCAATAAAACGTGACGAATCTAGTAAATACAAATATATAATAGATTTTACCAGCAATGAGCGCATCTTCCCAATCGACAGCTTGCAATTTTCCATTAATCTTAATCATTGGTGTAATGAGTCTTTGTCTTTTGAGTCCATCATATGAAAAACGGGCTTTGTCCGAGAGCCATTCCTCATTCACTTCCTATCAATAATTATATAATTATTAATAACATGTAACAAAATCATATTTTTATTGCAAGTGTGTTAAGAATATTTACCTCATTCACTCTTGGTAGTATTCTTAAAACCTCACCAGTTCTGTGAGAGATAACTATGTTACTACCAACGGCATCGTGAACGTCGATACTGTCAGTGCGACGTGTTTCCCATGGACGAGCAACAAATGCATACGGTTTACTTGTTAATGCACCCACAGGACAAAGATCAATGATATTGCCAGACAATTCTGACAAGAACAATTTCTCGACATACGTTCCCACCTAAAATTATTATATTTATTTTTAATTACTTTAATTACACTAATATATTTCTTGGAATAATTCCTATATTGTTAACAACTATTATCATGATCATATAAAACAATTATTCAAGTTTATGCAAATAAATATTTCTCAATTTTACAAAATTTTTCAAGAAATTCAAAGACACAATATTATATGATAAAATTAAATAAAAACAATTTACTTTAATTTGGTAAAATTATTTTGCAATAATAAGCTAATAAGTTTCTATACATTATCTAAATATATATAAATCAAATCTTAAATGTACCTGCATATCATTACCACGACCAGTAGTTCCCAAATCATCAATACCAGCTACTTCTGAAGCAAATCGAATACACCTTGTGCAATGTATGCAACGTGTCATAACTGTCTTGATTAAAGGTCCAATGTCTTTGTCTTCCACTGCTCTTTTCCCAGAGAAATTAATATCAACAAATCTACTCCTGTCACTTCCAAAAGCCATGCTTTGATCTTGTAAATCACATTCTCCACCCTGGTCACAGATCGGACAGTCTAATGGATGATTAACCAACAGAAATTCCATAACACCCTCACGAGCTTTCCTTGTCAGATCAGAGTTAGTTTTCACTTTCCAACCTTTCATCACTGGCATGGCACATGCAGCAATTGGCTATAAAATAAAAAAATAAGATAAATATAATAATTAATTTTGATATATTATTCATTTATCTGTTTTGTTATTTACCTTAACTTGCTTCTCTATTTCAACAAGACACATTCTGCAATTACCAGCTACAGCAAGACGTTCATGATAACAGAATCTTGGTATTTCAACTCCTACTTTGGCAGCAGCCTAAAAAACCAAAAATATCAATCAGTTAGTAAAATCTCATAAATATTAGTGTATTATCTATCATTAATTTTATTATAAATACAATATGTACTTTGCAATATTTGTGATAAGAATATTCTTTCATTGTTTGTAAAATCTGTAGTCTATAAAATCAGAAGTAATATATATATATTTATATGTATTGATAAGAGAAAGATTATAAGATATATAATATATAATATATAATTTTATTTTTATGTATTGCTCTTCGCAACAAGATAAGAGAGTTGAAAGTGGATAAAGAGAATGCAAAAATTGATATCAACACAAACCTGCAAGACTGTTGTTCCTGGTGGTACTTGCACAGGCTTGTCGTCAATGAAGAGCTCGACCAATTCCTGCTGTGACTTGTTAGACGTTGTGTGAAAATTGACAGCGCAGAACCTTCCATTTGCTAGGCCTGTGGCCCGCACAACCGGCAGCCTCAACATCTCGCCACGCTATCAACAACTATCAACATCGCACTTTATTATGTAATAAACAAAAATTTCGCACAAGTCAATGGCGAATTAACCTAACCGAGGAACTATAAATAAGCAATAAAGGCATATGTTTCCGAAACATAGGATAATATCAAATGTTTTTATGGGATATCACGATAATTCTGAGTATATTTTTTTTTACCGAAATTACATATACAAATTTCAATCAAATAAAAATGATCACAACCATTTTTAAAATACCTTCTCTAGACGTCAGAAACACCTAACGGTTCGCGCTGAGCTCATGATGAGCAATGGCGAGTTCGATCGAAGAAAGCAATTCCTATACTTTTACGTCACCGTATATATAGCATCTTGTCGAATTCGATCAACAATTTTTATCTAAAAAATAATGGGATATTATGTGGCAGAATTATATATCAAATTCAATTTTTCTTAAAGATTTCAACAGAATTTTTATAAATATTTTATAATATTTTTTTATATAACATTATATATTTATAATTTATATTTATAATATATGTATACATTTATATAATATATATATTCATAATATATTTACAATATAATTAATATAATATAATATATATCATAAATTATATTTATAAATTATATATTTTTATAATAAATTTAATTAATGATTTTTATAATTATATCTTTATAAATCGGAACGAAGATTTTTTGTTTAATAAAATAACAAAGTAAAAAAAAAATAAATTTTTTTTTGGAGCAGAGAAATATTTAATTGACCAATAGGGATAAAGGATTTGTTTTCTTTCATCTTGATTGGTTAATCGAACGTTATCACAGATTCTGATTGGTCGTCCCTCTATCTCTCTCTCTTCAGTGACAGCGACATTCCCCAGACGTCACTATCTAGGGATTTTTGTTCCGCGCGCCTCGAGGGCCCACCTTGAGGAAGGCGCACCGGAACGAACGTCACGTCGGAGTCGCACGAGTCGGCTGGTGCACGCAGCTCTCTCTTCCGGCGATCAGACGAAAGGGTCCCCGCTGAGTCGTCGTGCTCTCGGAACAGCTATTATTTACTCGTCCAGAACACGCTCTCGCCATGGCAGTCGGTGACCTGAAGACCGAGAAGGGTGTCGAGGACCTCAACACCTATCTCGCCGATCGCAGTTATGTCGACGGGTGAGCCTACTTCTAGCGCATTCCAACGCGCTCGCCGCGATATGTCTCCGGTACACGTGCTCCGCTTATTAGCGCGGCATCCTCTCTCGCCCAATATCTTGCGTTATTTCCTCCCGATGATGTTCCGGGCCCGGAAACTCGCTCCGATCGCGAGAATCTGTTGCACTATGTCTATTTACGACCGCCGAACATTTCCAGTAACACGTATGGATATGTGTCACACAGACGACACACACACATATGCGTAGCATCGCACGCACTTATTACTTATTTTTACGTTTTTCTTTCATCTTTTTTTACTTTTTTGTAAATTTTTTTTAGTAAATTCGCATTTTAATAATATCGCATTCCTTATATTCTTGGATATTCTGCTTTCACACATTTGTGTAAGAGAGATATTTGAAGATTTTTTACAGATGTATAAGTCAAACTCTACTTATATTTGTTGCTCATGTTGCGTGTTGTTTTTTATATATTATATAAATAATATATATTGCAAAATAAAAAATATTTTATTCCTGTTACATACAATTGGATGATCTTTTCTAGTTTGAGTATTAATGAAGATTTAACGTAAAAGAATCTCTGTAAGTAATATTTTCCTTATTTTCTTTATGTATCTTTTTAAATTTTGTATATTTATCTTTTATCTGTATCTCTCATTTACTTTTTAATTTATAGGAAGTATGATAATAAAGTTATAAAGTTTATATCAATTATATATAATATATAATCTAATCAATATATACAATCAGTTAAGTATTAGAACAATATTTAAGAAGGTACATTAGATTCTTATTTTTTGATAAATATATATGATGATATAAGTATAAGAATTTTTAATAATGATGCTCGAATTGATAATAAGGATTAACTTTAAAATACAAAATGTATTGTATAAAAGAATTTGCACCCAATAGGTGGCAACCAACTCAAGCCGATGTTGCAGTACTCGAGGCACTGGGAAAAATACCAACATCTTCGAATCCTCATGTACTCCGTTGGTACAACCATATAAAATCCTACGATTTCAAGTCACTTCCTGGAGAAAAGAAAACACCTTCCATCTTTAGTACCACTAGTGCTCCAACTTCGTCCACAGCAAAAGCGAGCGAAGATGACGACGACCTAGATTTATTCGGCTCGGACGAAGAAGAGGATGCGGAAGCCGCAAAAATCAGGGAGGAAAGGTTAAAGGCATATGCAGAGAAAAAATCAAAAAAGCCCGTAGTTATCGCCAAATCGAGTATCGTCCTAGACGTGAAGAGTTGGGGAGACGAAACGGATATGAAAGAAATGGAAAATGCGGTAAGATCGATCGAGATGGACGGCCTTGTTTGGGGTGCATGTAAGTTGTATTAATTTTATTACTCTATTGATATACGCTGATTGATTTGCGTGATCAATAAAAATTATTGTTAATATAAATTTAATATTTTTACAGCGAAACTTGTCCCGGTGGGCTACGGCATAAACAAGTTACAAATAATGTGCGTGATAGAGGACGAAAAAGTGTCGGTGGACTTGTTGATCGAACAGATTCAAGAATTCGAGGACCTAGTTCAATCTGTAGACATTGCTTCGTTCAACAAGATCTAAGAAACGAAAACAGCTCATTACTTTTAATATTGGGATAATAAATATTACTTGTTTGTATATATACATATAATTTGTTACTCTCTTAACACACCCGAAGAATATTCCTAATACAGTCTTCAAAAATGACGACAATGCTGCTAAAGTTTCATCGCAAATGTTCATTTTATGTACATTATTAGGCAGAGACGTTAATTAGTGTGTTGCATGTATATATCGCAGTACAGAAAAATAATCTTTCCGCCTCGATACGTCATTGTTGCATATTCAATTTGGATTTGTTAGGCCGAATTTTATTAAAGTCTATCTATCTATAATGTCATTTGTGCCAAAGTAAAAAATAGAATACAATATATAACTGAAAAGAAATTTACATTATCGATACTAATGTAAAAGCTTTAATTGCAATTATTAATAAAACAAGCCATTACGATTTTATATACACACAAAGATATTTTTTGTAACATGGAAAATACATCAAAATTATTGCACAATAGTTATTGACTTCAATTTTAGCGCACTGAGTTATAGATATCTCTATTATCTCAATCTTTTATCCTCGTATTTAATTTTTTAAAATTCAAATATCGACTTTGTTGAGATATCTTCAAATTTATTTAAAAAATTTTTCTTATATACAAAGATATTTTTTGGAAAATACATCGAAATTATTGCATAATAGTCATTGACTTCAATTTTAGCACACTGAGTTGTAGATATCTCTTTTATCTCAATCGTTTTATCCTCTCGTATTTAATTTTTTTAAATTCAAATATTATCGACTTTGTTGAGATATCTTCAAATTTATTTAAAAAATTTTTCTTATATACAAAGATATTTTTTGGAAAATACATCGAAATTATTGCATAATAGTTATTGACTTCAATTTTAGCACACTGAGTTGTAGATATCTCTTTTATCTCAATCGTTTTATCCTCTCGTATTTAATTTTTTTTAATTCAAATATTATCGACTTTGTTGAGTATCTTCAAATCTATTTAAAAAATTTTTTTATAATCATTTATTATATTGCTTCCTATAATATATTCGTCGATATTGTACGAACTGATGCGACAAAATTTTATTATGCACAATAATGTGTATTACATTTGTATATGTATTTTTTTCTATTGAATCATATTCAATTTATTTAAATTATTTGGCCGAAATTATAATGTGTATTTTTACGACAATATTGAATTATGTGTACATATAATTGTAAAGATATTTTATATAAAAATATTTGTACAGATGTAAAATTACATCTCGTTATATTTTGATTTTCGTGTCAGATGTAATAAAAAAGATCTCGTTATATTTTGATTTTCGTTATCAGCTTCGTGTAATAAAAAGATATGATAAGTAGCCGTAGCAAAAAAAACAATTTAAAGACGTCGTAATGTGGGATAAGAATTATTTTACAAATATATATTGCTTGTACGATAATATAACGGGAATTTCAGAGATTTTATCCGCGTCAGGCTAATATATATACATTGATTATTCATGTATTTATGTATATATATATATATATATCTACTTATATATTTATTACAGGAAGAGTGGAGTTTCCTCGTGTTCGTTGATTTCATAACGTCACTGCGGGAATTTCAATGAATAATTACGATTGATATATAGTAATACGCCGAGGGCACAGAACATCTAAAAACTTGTTCCCAAGGAAAAGTACTATCAATTGTACAAGTTCGTAGACGAGAGCAAACATCCCACGCGCTTTTAGGACATTGACATTGAACCTGAGGATCCGGTTGTCGCGTTCTTGCTGCAAGTTTTACAGCAACTAGTTGGTGTCTTACGACGTCTCGATGTTTATGTTTAGAAGGGACATTAGGGATCGCGAAGGAATGCGAAAGGATTATCCAAGGTCTGTCTCTTCCCACCGCGAAACTGTCCGAGTCTTGGTATATCTTGTTTTTTATTTTCGAATTTTCTTTTCTTTCTGTTGTAGATTTCTTTTATGTATGTGTCGACGTGCTGGCGCCGATGTTTAATACTGCAGGACGTGTTGAGGATCACGAAAAGATGCGGGACTTGTGCAAATTTTCAACAGGAAACAGCATGCGAGGTAAAAAAAGATATAATGTAAAAACTATTGAATATATAGAATATAGAAAGTTACGTTTTTACTATCGCATCTTTGAATATATATGAATGATAAAAAAGTGATTAATATATAGAGAGAAAGAGAGAAAGAAAAAATGTGTATATGTTACAGCTAATATTTATTGAAATAATAAATAATGCATTGTCTCTCAGAAATTTCAATTAAGATATATAAATTGATTAATATTTTTAATTGACTATTAGATTAACGATTCATGCAGATATGTAAATGCTATTATTTATTTAAAAATTTCATATAAGAAGAAAAACAAGTTTATCTAAAAAGTCATTGTTTAATTTTTCCACATATAAAGATTATATTTGTATTTGTAAAAAATCTAAAATTTATTCCAACTTTGCTACTTGATAAAAAAAATCTTATTTGATGAATTAATGGGTGCAATAATGCTTAATCGTTTACAGAAGGACAGAACATCGTTTAACCATTTATTTTCTACTTTCAATTTTTGTTTTCGTGCTTTTATTTCTCTTTTTCTCTCTCTCTCTCTCTTTCTTGATAGGAACGACAACGAAATTCTCGTCCTTCGACAAATGCTTCCCCCGCTCTTTCAGCATCACCGTATCCTTCGCATGATTGCTATCGCCGTATATAAGAAAGCGATCATCGAGGACGGCTCGAAAGCGTGGATCATCTCGGCGCGAGGACAGTGAGCTCATAGACGTTGCTTCTTGTGGATCAGCATATCTTTAAGATGTTTGCGAGAGTCTCGTGGATCATAGTAACAATTGCGCTTTTTGGCATTTGTACCTATGGTGAGTTATTGATACTTGTCTATTTTCTGTTTAGCAGAGAAATTATTCATAACATGTAAATTTCCTCCAAATTTGCGGAAATTTTAATTTAATTATTATTACTGTAGATAAGAAAAAATATAACAGCGTTACAATTAACAGTGATAAAATTGTGATAAGTATTGTAAATGTAGAAAATATGAGTTAGAGAATAATATTAGAAATTAAGAAAAATTTGATTGAAAAATTTGTCGAATCGAATCTGATTTAAAGATAATTCAATGTAAATTTTAATATAAAAAAGATAGGCAACAATATTCAATAATTTGATTGAGATTTTCAAGATTTATAAATAAAAATGTATATAAATACAATGCAAAATAAGTAAGCTTTTTCGTATCATTGTAACAAGTTAATTCTTTATCAATTATATATTCTAAATTAATTTTTTCACGTACTCAATTTTTACAGTTACCTAAATTTATAGAATAATTAAAATTATTTGAAAATCGAAAGAAATTGCAAAATAAGTGGATGATTTCTATCACAATTTTTATGTACTTTTTTGCAGATTTAAAAAAATAATGATTACATCAGAGTTATTTGTTTTTCACGATTTATATTCAAACGAATTTTTTATTCTAAATTTTTTTTACTTTGCATATTATGTTTATTGCGATATTTAAATATCTTTTTATTAGAATTATATACATTTTAATGCACAGTTCTGTGTTGAAGTTAATTGATCTGAAAGATAGAGATTCGATCGCAAATCTGCATGTAAACTCTCTACCGTTAGTTCCAAGAATTTTTAATATCTATTCACCGTTAATAACAGTTTGCGCGTATATATTGACATTGTTTAAAAATATTTTCATGATCTCTGATCATTGCATGCATTACGTCTGTTGAGAATTTTCTTATTCCATCAAGCTTTTCACACACCTTAGGCGTTTGTGTCAATTCTGATATTTATGATTCATAAAGAATTAATCATTAATCTTTTAGAAAATTAATACCTAATAAGATTAACTAATATTAAGCGACATTTTTTAAACATGTTTATTTAAAATGAAAAATTACTTAACCATTCTTTCCTTTTCTCTCTTAGAATATATATATATATATTTTTTCTTTTTTTTCTAATAATCATTAATGATTTACGTAACGCAATAAGTTACGTACGTATAATTACGGTATATTATTTATAAAACTTTGCTTTTTATTCCCTTTAGCGATGTTATGTTTGTCACAAAAATTAGATGACTAAGTAAGAATAAGATAATTATCGTATGAACTCATTCTCCGTTTTATATTTCACGCAAACAAATGAATACAACCTTACGTTTAAATTGCAATAGATGTTATGATTATTGTTTTTTTTAACGATACTTTAATTATGCATCTTTGACGATGAATGCAGAAATGATAATTAATAGTGTTAAGGATAAATTTGCTATTAGTTCAATACGATAATTGTAGTTTATTTGCGACGAAATCAAAATTAAGATATAACTACATTTTATTCTAATGTGATAAGAATTTTTTCCGTTGTGTTTTCTCGTAAATCACTTTGATAGCCTCATTAAATGCGACGTTAGACTATAATAGTCATTATACATATGTCAATTATCACTGATGAAAAATTTCGACTAAAATAAAAAATATTAATAATATTAATTATAAAATAAAATAAAAATATTTCTAAATCACATATTAAATGTTAATCAAAAATAATCAGAATGCAATGTTTTAAAATAATTAAAACTAATGTATATATTTTGTAATGCAATCTGGAAATACCGAGTATCAATTTATGACGACGAAAGATCTAACATAACGGTATTGATAGCAGAATCCGCGAAATAGCAAATTCAAGAGATCTAAGAATATCTCTGACCTTCTCAAATGATTTGCTTCAAAGAGCCACATCTCAATTATTTAATAAAAATTACAAAATGATTCGCGATTATAATCTGACTCCCCAAAAAACGAAGTGTTACAGATTAATTAAATATTAATGAAAACATGCATTATTTATTATAAATTTATTTAAAACGGAATAGGACGATTCTCTCTCGCGCATTATTTGGACAAAATTTATTCTTGATAATATGTTCTTCGTTATATTTCAAAGTATATAGAGATATAAAAATTGCATTATAATTGCAAATTCTAAAACGTGCATAACTTTAATTACGATCACGTGAATATCAGAATATGAATACATTTGATGACACATGTAGGATAATTTTATTGGAACGAGAAAAAAATTAACAGACAATTATTATCGTACATTTCATTCAACAGTTCTGAAGAGATTTTAGACTTGAAACTCTCTGTTTGACTCGATTCAATATAGAAATAACAATAAGACGAGATACGATCTGCATACAAAAGTGCGAGTCAAATCAGAGAGGTTTTTGCAATAGAGTTTGTCGCGTGTCTGGACGAGCTGTGATTTAAATTCACAGGCTGATTTAAGTTATATTTTTAACCATGACGCCGCAAAACAACCACGCCCGTACAGATAGATGCAGAGATATATATACAATACAATCAAACACAAATGTATTGTACTGCGAAATTCCGAAAATGCCGATTCCAGACATGTCGCAGACGTCTAATGATTTTTTTTTGTTTTTTTTCTCATTGATATTCCATAGAATCGTGTCTTACAAAAATGATTTTCAGATAATTAAATTCTAATAATATAAAATAAAATATAAAATCATATAAAGTCATATAAAATTCTAACAAGATCCTACGAGAGAGAATGTTCGTCCATTTTGTACAGAAAAAATTTAACGAATTAATCATTATCATATTCTTATTCATTTATTATTAATTATGAACACCACTATCTTCTCACTGAACTTTTCTCATCGATTAGACCTTTAATAGAGAGATAATATTTTTTATAGCAGAGAAACTGCTGAACTTAAAAATAAAATTTATCTTTCTTTAGAGAAAGATTCAAGGATGGAAAATATAAAAAAATATTTTGAAAATTCGAGCGAAAAATAATACAGAAAAATTTTGTCAAAGTTTATTTTTCAAATTGTACTATTAATATTTTTTTCTCGTAGAAGAAAATCAGTATATTTCTCATTTAATATTATTAGAAAACTGATTAGTACTAATTATAGAATTATGATACGTCTGTATATTTTGATTGATTTATTCTATTTCTAGTAGATTAACTGTACTTGTGATAAAGCACATTTGTTAAAAATTGCAGAAGTTTATGCATTATAATGGTTTTTTTTTTTTTTTTTATTACAGCTCAACAGCCACAAGCCGCAAGTCAACAATTAGTGTCACAAGTCTGTTTGGGCTGTATATGCGAAGTTACAACAGGATGTAACACCACTATTGGCTGCCACAGTTCCGTATGTGGACCTTTTGCTATAACATGGGGCTATTGGGCTGACGCTGGCAAACCAACTCTAAACGACGAGCCGAATACTGTTGATGGTGGTGAGAAAGAGTTACATCTTTTAAATTAACATAGGCATCGTGCTTTAAAAAAACGAAATAAAGAAAGAGCGTAAATAAATGTAAAAATATAAAAAGCGTAGCTAAAAAGAGAAATTTGAGAAAAATTACGCATTAATTTAAGAATGAAGAATACTGTCAATCAGCAATTCAAAAATGCATCGTAGTAGCGTAAACTAAACACTTCCAAGAATTCGTATAATATTAGTTAGATAAATGTAAGAATGAACAAATATTTGCGGGATATTTTTCTGCAAAAATATATTTATCTAGTTAAGTAGTTTTCCTCATCAAACGTATACATTTAATTTGCTTAGATGCGTAGAATATGAAAAAGAAATACAGTTACATATATAGTATACAAAAGGAAATAGTTACATAATTAAACCATCAATTAAATAACTCTATCTTATCTTTTTTTTTCCAATTCATTCAATTTCTACAAAAAGGAGAAATTAAAGGAACGTCAAATTTAAATATTTATATTTGAATTATATACTCTAATGAATAGAATTTAATAATATATAATAATTATTTCTTCTTTTCATCTCTAGCTTATCCTCGATGTGTCAACGATCCTTATTGCGCTGCTCGTGCGATACAAGGCTACATGGCCAAATTTGGTCAGGTAAGATCTGTACTTGCGTCGAGATATTTCAGATATAGATAATACTTGATATCGTCTGATACGCAACATCTTTTATTTATAAAACAGGACTGCACCGGGAATGGAGTGATCGATTGCGATGATTACCTGCGTATTCATCGATTGGGCGGATACGGCTGTACGGGCCCGCTAGACAGTAAATATGAAAATAAATACAAGTTGTGTATACAAACTTTCGCGAACCAATAATACATATCATGTTGAAATCTCAATAACAATCCATTAATTGTCATTATATATACATGAATATTTGATAAAAATTTATCTTTGTCAACTATTTGGAATTGTTAACTTTCCCTTATCACACATATTGCAAGAATGTCTGATATAATTAAAATCTATGAAGATGATGTATAATAAATAACCAGTAATGAGTGTATGTACAATTCTGTATAAAATCGTGTCATATATAAAGCGCAAATACATTTTTATAAAACTGAGATATGCAATATCATATAGTTTTAAATATATATGCACTTAATATAATTATATATTTCGATTTTCGTAAACAATGTATTTTATATCAAGAACATCTAGTTTTATTAAAGTTTTGTCATTCACGTTTTAATTTCTTTTTTTTATTAGTGTTACTCTAGATTTAATAAATGAGCTATTCTTTTTTTTGCTTTAATCGGTTTTTTAATCTTTGCGTGCGCAATCTTTTTTGACTAATTAATTAAAATAAATTATAATTATACTATATAGGCATATTAAAATACATCTTAATAATAATATTAAATTATTATGTTATATAAAAATATTGACGTATATTATGCAATAAATATAATGCAATCATAAAAATGTATTAACAATGTTATTAACAAATATTTTTAAAACGATTTGTGACGATTATAATTATATATATTATATAATTATAATTTTATACATTGACAAAATCATATATTTAGATATCATGAAGAAACAAATGTCATGTGCTTTGTGATATTTTGGTATAATTATAAAAGAAGTATTCGAAAATTGATGTACAAATATATATTATACATTTATACATATTTACAGAACATTATGTTATGTAAAAAATTATATCCAACTATAAAATCTACTCTTAAAATACAAATTTTGATTCGCGAGTACTTAATATTTTATCTACCCATTCTGCCCGTTTATTCAGTAATTCACTTTGTTTCTGCAAATTTTCAACAGCACTGACATTTTTGACAAGAAAATGATTTATGAATAATCTAAGACTTTCCCTGAAAGTTTGCAACTTTGGAGATAAAGATATTTTTCCAAATACTTCTAAACAGGCGTCTTCATTTTCATGTAACAATATTCCTAACATAACTTGTCGTATAAGTCTCATGGTTAACTTATTTAATTCAGTAAATTGGATTACCTGTAATTAAAAAAAATATATAAAGAAGTATACAAAAATATAATAATATGGATGTAACAGAAAAATAAATGTAAAATACAATACAGGTATTTACATACTTTTAAAACGGAAAGAGGAAGACCTTTGCCTAAAAATAGATGAGTCAAAAACTTTGCCAGATTTGTTAACTGTTTTGTATTTAAATCTTCTAATGTCTTCAACTTATCCCACAATGCATACTGTATAGTTAGCTGCAATAATTATTGTAGAAGCATAATTATTGTAAAACAATTATAATCATTAAAATAATTGCATAAAATATATTATATTTATGTACCTGATATTTTCTGTCAGAGTCACATAGCTTTTGTGCCAGTATGGCATAATAAGGATTAAATTTTTTCTCTTGAATACAACAATTGAAGATAACATAAATTATTTCCCTTTGCTGTTGATTTTTCAAACCAAGATGATGAATCTTTTCAAACGCATCTAAATAATCTTCGGCTGTCATTAGCACGCAAAAGATATCTCTTCTAACATCAGTATTCATTCTTTGTTTTCGTGCCAACTCCAATATTTTGTCGCTATATTTTTGTTTCTTGTCTTCTGAAGTATTTTCCAATTTACCAATATCTTTGAGACCAGACCAGGCTGACCCTACTATCCACCATTTTCCTCTTTCATCAACTAAGGAAGAAGATACATTCTTGGTATCATTTTGATATTTATTTTAAAAAATGATGCATTTTTTCCATCATATATTATTTAATATTATTCCATTACCTTCTAATAAGTCTTCTAGAGTTACATTAAATTGTGTAACATTATTACCCTTATGGATAAAATTTTTTAAAATTTTCTTTAAATGTTCTATCTGAGATGGATCATATTGAGGTATTTTGCTCATATTATTATTCTTTATTGCCAGTAACACGTCTAACATAAATTTAACTCTTGAACTACAAAAAAAATATATATTAAAAATATAATAAAAATATAAGAAATACAGAAACAAATTTATATGCAGTTATTAAGGCATTTCAGTAATAAATATTTATTATATTGAGAAATATAAACCTACTTTTCCAGAGTAGCATTGTTTGCCTTTTGTTGCAAATTTAATATCAATTCTTTCAATGCAATTGGATCATCTTTTCTTAATTGAAAACCCACTGTTCTTAAAATCAGTAAAATTAGTTCGATCTCTTTCTCTGTGAACTTTGCTATCAATTTATCTAATATTTGATATAAAAGTCGATGGCCATACACCTAGAAAAAATAACATTTTAAGTAGTATACCTAAAAACTATTATTATTAACAATATTTTACCTTGAAATTATAAAGATGTGAAATTATAAGGATTATATTATCTAATTCCTTATTCTCAATACAATGAGATTCTTCCAGCATTTGGTGAAGCTTTCTTACAACAGTCAACAAAAAATGTGCACCAATTTCTGTACCAACATTTGCATGTAATATGGCAACCAACATCATATGTTCACATATAAGTCGATCCGGAGTTAGCACTGGTGCAACTATGCTTTCTATCATTAGTTTAGATAACAGTACATTCATGTCATTACGACTATTCGACATGTACATTTCCTCTACCTACATTAAAAATATTTAAAGAAAACAAATCTTTCATTAATTATGAAAATATTTTTTAAAAAATATTTAAATTACAACTGTATAACTTGATAATCCTAATTATCTCTATTTAATTACAAATATAATTACATATGCATTTATAATTAAATACCTGATTCCCAATAGTATGCATATTTTGCTCTGCCAATCTATTCAGGATTCCTTTCAATTGTTTTTCCAATCTACGAGTCTTCTCATCACCGATAGAGATATCTGTACTTGTAACACGTGCTGCAGGTGGCACATATTTCTTTGATACAACATTGCCCTTCTTGTCTCTTTGCCTACCATAAATATCTTCCCACAAGTCTTCACTATCATTAGATTGCTCTAATGTGACATGCCTTGACTCTTCATCCTCCAACTCATCCTCATCACTTGCTGTTGGATATTTCTCAGTGTCATTTGTCTTTTCTGGAATATCTTCACTATCATCTTGATCTGAATTTTCATTCGTTAAAAGACTCTTATTGTCCATATCTTGCTCTGAGTCTTCATTATCATCTATATTACTGTCTCTGTCAAATTTTTCATCTTCATCCTCAATATTATCTTCAGCACCAATAGCTATATTCAAATCCTCTTCCAATTCTGTACTGAATCCAGTTTCTAATAATTGCTTCTCAGTTTCAACTATGTTACTCCTATTCTCAGAATCACAAAAGTCCAAAAGGTCTATATAACGAAATGTTAAGGACATATAAATTATGTTTGAATAATTGATATTTATAATGTTATATGATGTTCAATATATAAAATATATTTCAATGATTTATTCAAAAACATATGACATATGTAAAAAAATTAATAAAATAATACTTTAAGGTAATTAAAATTTACATATTTCATACTTCATGATAGACATGTAAATATATACAACATATACATAATAATATAAAAATAATGAAAATTTAATATCTGTTATTAAAATTTACATATTTGAAATATAAGTTTATTAAGTATTTAAATTTTGCTATACTAAAACATGCTAAAAAGTTATGCAAAATATATTTAAAATTATATTATTAAAAACGCGAGAAGAAAACATGCATGTTCACCACTTATAAAGGATACAATCTAAACCATCCGATACGAAAGATTTTGGAGTGGATTTGCTCTTTCGTTTGTTCAACTTCAATCGTTTCTCTAATTGTTTAATCATTCTATCCTCGTCCACGTTGGCTCGTTTTAATTGGTCCATTTTTTGTTTTTTCGCATTTATTTCCTGTCTTTTCTCCTTCGTATCATCAGACCTTGGTCGTTTTTGCGCTTTCGTCGATGGTGCTTCTTTAATCTCGTTCTGTTCTTGTTTTTGATTTCTCTTTTTTGAGAAATATGCTGCCTTGTTTATCTTCTTTTGTTGCCTCTTTTCTTTGCGTAATACTTTACGCGTTTTCTCCGCTGGTTTATTCTTGAATTTACGTCTCATTTTGCACGTAAAAAAAGTTTACAGTTTCTTATTTCTAGCAATATTTTTTACTTCCAACTTAGAGTTATTTCGCACATATTTATCTACACTTTTAAACACTTGAAAATATTAAATTATTTCCTAATTAGCAATAAAATTATAAATGATTTTTAAAGTTCTTAATTCATTTTCTATCATTTTTCACCAATAAAAAAATAAATAAATGTAAATAAATGTGTTCCAACCTCGATTCATTACACACACACGTGTCGATTTCATGCGCCTGCGGTATGCAATATGCGACCATGGTTACCAACAATCACGGTGCACGAATATCAAGATACGATACGTCAGACTCAGAAACGGTTGTCCAGAAACTGCGTACGAAAATCTATCAGAAATACGTTCGGAGTTTCTATTCGCGTGGACAAGATTTAATTGACCAATGGGAACGACGAAGAAATTTTTTCGCCTCGCAAGCGATCAGCTGTTCCGAGGAGAGTAGATTTTTGAACGCAATTCGAATGCTTCGCGTGCGCGCACAATAATTTTATTAATTTGAAAATTTCACTGTGTTTCGTTCTTCGGAGTAAAAGGTGTCTGTGTGTAACTGTCGCCACAAAACACCAATTGTATGCTTGGGCCGATTTAGGTCAGCATAGAACGAAGGAAAACGAATAAGCGATAGTAGAAGGTAGATCTAATTAATTAGAGATTAGAAAAATCTCGAATTAATTTGTTTAGCTATTGAACCAGAAAATACGAAAGATTCTTTTCTCTTCCTTAATGGATTAATGGCCACTTTCATAGCAATTAATTTACTGATGTAATATTTGCAGTATTTTATTAATAATATTACTAATTTTTTGGTTTTCTTCTTATTTTAGTAGGAAAAAAATTAGAAATGATGAATTAAAGTTAAGAATTTTGTTATAAATAAAGTAGCTAATTATTACTATAAATAATCATCCATTAAGTTAATCATTTTTTGATCAAAACTATACCTTTCCTAATGAATTAAGATAGTTCTTTGTCATATTACTTTTCTTTATATATATATTATTATTTTTTTTATTATTTGTTATAATCTTGTCTATTTATAAGTGGAGTGTTCACTTCTATTATTCTGAATATTTTAATTCAGATGTTTTACCCTAATGTAATACTCATCCATCGACGAAAAGCTGAACTAACTGCTGCTTGGTTAGCTGCAACATTAAGTGAAAATGAATTTAAGAAACGCTATAAGTCTGTCAGTATAAACAAGATAAATGTCACAAAAATTTGGTATATTTATTATTTCTATTTCTATATATTATACACAAACATTTTTTATAATTTTGTTTCATTTGTAATTTTTTAAATATTTTAATTGCATTATTAGCGAAGAGGTTCAAGAAATAGCATGCAATAGGAATCAAAGTGGAATAAAATTCAGTTTATATCTATTATCACAATTAATGTGTGGTATAACAAAACTTCATTTATATCAGACTACATATTTTGAGAGTAAGTTTAGCTTAATATGTTATTAAGTATTGCTAATTTATTGTTTAATTTGATATGTATAATCTTATGATTTATCAGAGGATGTTTTTGAAATTCAAAAAAAATTGAAGCCAACAAAAGGAGATGACCCAGATATTGACTCATTAAAGGATCTTAAAATTGATACATTATTTGATGTGCCCCTGGTGAAAGATGTAAATCCTCAATTACATGAAAATATGTATTTGTCTCAATACCAAAATCTAGATGATAGATTAGATATAATGGTACGTGGTTTTTATGCAAATTAATTAGATTATTGGAAGAAATATTTGTGATAAATTTGGTCTTTAAATACTTGAATTTTTATTTCTGGTAATTTCCAAATCTTTTAAATTTACATGATAAACTTTGCTACTTCTAGATAATATATTTTGATTTTCTTTTCATTCATGCAGATGCAAGCTACAGCAGGTCAAGATTTTGGTGCTTTGATTGATGAGGAGATGGACTTTATATGCGAACCTGATATTATGTTAGTTTCCAATATCTGAGTTTTTCTCTTATGTAGTAATAATTTCCTTAATCCCAATTAAATGAAATTTTTTTACAAAATATAATAATGAAGTAGCATTGTTTACTTCATTATTCTTAATTCTTCTTTGCTTTTGTATATTGAAATTAATTCAGAGCATATATTTTATATAAAAAAATAACATTAATGTTTTGTCTTACTGTAGAATGGAAATGGAGAAAAGATTGAGAATACATGACAACGAAGAAAGAAATGGTACAGAGATGGTTGAAGATATAGACATTGCAGAAGGTAAATACATAAAATATAATCAAATATAACATTATATATCTTTTATATTTATAAATCAAATTATTTATTTTGGTGTAGAAATTCATCAAGAGAGACACTCATCTCAGGAAATGCCAGTGCTTACAACTCTATCTGAATCAAATGCCAACTTACTGTCATCCCCACAAAAACGAAAAGTTCAGGGTCAAATACAAACAGGAACACCTACGAAAAAGAGACGTGTATGTGTTTATTTATGATAATATAACTTTATATTTGGGTTAATCTCAATATTTTGAGTCTGTATATTAGAGATAAAAGGTAAATGAGAATAGATGACTTAAGAGTTTTAAAAAATTACATATTTTTATTTTATTTTGTTTGATTATTAATTTTTTTCTATTCTTATTAATTGTAATATATTATTTTACAGTTATCTTCCAAGAATATAGTTGTGCCTCATATACAAAATGTAATAGAAGGGACAAGTGTGCCTGCACAACCAGTAGCGCCAATTTCACAGGAAATAGAATCAGACGTAGAACTGCAATCCTTAGAAAGTTCCAACAAATCCTTTCCAAGTAAACAACGAGCGCAGACGAAAAAAATTATTGATGAGAAAACCATGTTGAGTGATAAGGTGTATGTAAAATGGTGCCGTGACGTAAATATTTGGTGCAGATCAGTAAGTTTCTAAATTATATAATTTTATAGAAAATATATATTTGTATATATATAAATTTGATAAAGTTTAAAAATGCAATCTTCTAAAAATTTTAATTTGAAGAAAATTTTAAAGTTCTAATTAGATCTTTTATTATTTTTAGAAAATAGCGCGAATACACTTTACACCAGCAAAAAGCCTTTTAAGTCAACCTTCGCATAAGCTATATGCAGCCTGTTTACGTCTGCTTTTTTATAAACATTTTACTTTTAATCGTATTACCAGATCATCGAGCGCAGACGAAAACATTGGGTCTACAGAATCGACACCATGTAGATTTCTATTCAGACATTTAGTAGATATAATTGTATTGCCTATTATGAGAGTAAATTTACACGCATCTTCTCATTTTTAGTGGAACAACCGCCGTTGCGCACGGAAAAATCAACAAGCCTTCTTGCAGAAGTAAGTGAACTCGGAAAAAAAACTATAATTATAGCTAATGGTTCTACTTTACTTCCTGAAGTATCAGCGATACCACTATCAGAAATGCCAGATATAATTAATGCAGCAGAAGGCATAGCAAAGAAGTTTGTATTATCAGTGATATAAAATTTATAAAGTTTTAGTTTTTAAAATCAATAATCATAATATATTTACATTTAAATTATCAAAACAAAAAATTGAAGAAATTATTTCATTTAATTCTTAATTTTTTTTACATTTTAATATCTTTTAAATCTTTTGACACTTCTTCAATGTGTCAATATTAATTTAATATATTATCAATATTTTTAAATTTATATTAATATATATAATCAATTAAATTTAATTATTTCAGTATTACTATACACAAGGATTATGAGGAGAAAATAGATATAAATGAGACTAACGAAACGTTAGAAGATATAAGAGATTTATTGGAGAAACAACATTTGCAAAATGATGTTAATTTAGAATCTTCTTCTGCGAGGTACTTTGAAATTATTTTTTGTTAAACAATTCTTGATGTAACAATTTTCATGCTTGAAAAAAATAAAAATTATTAATTGAAATCCTAACAACACACATGTTCGAAAAACGTTTAGAGGATATCTAGAATGTTCTCTGAACGTTTTTCGAACATTTGTGCTATTAAGAAAGATTCAAGAAAACTAAAAATCTTCACTACTTGTTTTAGCTTAAAAATTTCGTTTTTTTTTCTATGAGACTTAGTATGTTATTGTTACCTCAAGTTTTAATTATAAACTCTAATTACGCAAAACCTACTACATATTTAATGAAAATATTATTTTATTATTAGCTTAAGCAATACCTCACAAAATGTACCTCTAACAATTCAGGACATTTTGGGTCTGTTAGAGGCTTTATGGTGCGAAAAATTATATACTTCGTTTAATGAGCTTGTGCCCGATAATACTTCAGCTTACGAGAAGATTAAAATTTTCTATTTACTTCTCGGTATGTATTGAATCGCATTCATCATCTGTTTGTTTTAAAAAAATAATAGTTAATTTTCATATTTTATTCTTTCTTATTATCAATATTATGTCAATAATTATACTTACTATTTAGATAATCATACATGATCTATGTTATTAATGAAACATTTTCATTATAGTACTGCATGCACATGGAACAGTTGTTTTGAACCAAAAAGATTGTTGTAGCATTTTATACATTTTGAATAAAGTGTAAACTTTTACTCCGACTAGTAATTCAACGGATTAAAGCGATTATATTATTGATATTATATTATTGATTGTATATATATGAATAATTATTCTACATTCAAAGTAATATTAAAAACTTATTTATATAATAATTAATATATATAATTGTTTGTGTGTGTAAATCGATATTAATCGCATGCAATGCGATTAATTTTTAATGGCGTTTTTTAGTTCTTTTATAACAATTATTTTTAACATTATTTTTTAGTATTTTTTTATATAACTTTAATTTTTTGATAAGCTTTATTACTATTACCAATCTTAGTATGTTAATGTTATTTGATAATATTTTGATCATTGAAGATTTTACTGTTTTATTTAAAAAAAGATTAATATATCATCACATTTTCGTTTTTTTTAATTCGTTTTTCATCATAAGTAATTAATATCATTATATATTAATTATCATTAATGATTATATTTAATTCTAATATCTATCATTGTATTATTTATACACACACACACACACACACACACATATATTGTAACACTGACAATTCATTTATGTACACTTATGTTGGATTGAAATGTTCTTCAAAATAAATAGCTATACTCCCGTTTTGTGATTTCTAAAATTCATTGGCAGTATTGCTTTGTTTCACCTTTGTCTAACATTCGATCAACGTAGTCTAAAAAAAATCATCTCTTATTTTTCAAAGCTTCAAGAAAAAGATTATTATTAGAATCATTTTATTACTAATAAAATTTGGTCACAATATAAAAACGATATTTCCAAACAAAAAAATCAAAAATGTATTAAAGACTTAATCTTATACTCACAGAAGTGTTTAACAAAATTCACCATGCATGTTTTCTTGGTAGATTAGAATAAGAAGTAATCAGATAAATAATAAAAAATATATTATACACTTGGCGTAATTAATGTCATCCAATAATGAATCGCATATTTACATAAATTTTTATTTTTGTGCATAATCAGAAATAATATATAATATACTTTCATATATATACATATATATATATATATATATATATATATATATATATATATTCTATTTGCTATATTTTTATTCTTATTTCAATCTAAATTAGAAATTTAAAAATTTAATGATGAATTAATGAAATTAAATGTAGAAATTGGGAAGAAATTTGAGATTTCTATTTAAATATTGATTTTATGAAATCAGTGATATATAAAATAATAAGATTGCGTATCGTAGTTTTTCATTTTATTTTTTTTCTCTGTAGGTGTATACATATTTCTCGTAGATCGTTTCTTTGGCGTATACAAATTTCTGAATTGTTAAAATTGCCAAAAAACGGCTCTTTTTATTAAATTTTTTGTCGTATATCGTTTTATTTTGCTCCGCATTTCTTTTTTCTTTTTATTTTAGTTATTCGAATGGACAGTCTTGGTTTTACAATTCTATTTGCGTGATGGATTAAGACATTCACACACATACGTTTCCGTTTTCCAAAACGATCTATTTTATATTTTCCAGACTGGACAGACAATGTACAGTCTTCTTTTTACGATTGCGATTGGGCGATAAAATAAAAGATGCACATATCCTCTTACTTCAAAAATTATTCGTATTGGGTCTAATTACTTAAACAGAGTATATCGCCTTATCCTATCGGAAATAAATAAATTACAAAGAATTGACAATTCTTAAACAATTTTCTTAATTTCAGAAACTAATCCGATTTATTACAGAATAAATTATTCTGCTATTCTTTTTTATTCATTCATTTCTTGTAGGATAATATTGCGATATCGACTGCAAAGGTGCTTGCATATATTTTTTATCCTCCAAAATAAATGCGCAATCGTGTGCTAATCTCGAAAAATCACATTTTAATCCGACTCATGTTCTCATGTATGTACATACATATTGCATCTACGCCGTAACTCGTTATAAGGGACATATATCAATTTTCATAAAGTTCCTATGAGACTTATTCACGTTAATAATGCCTTAATAAAAACAGCCGACGAGATAATTTTATATAAGCTGCAAGTCTTTATCTCTCTTTATTTAAAAAAAAGAAAGAAACTGGAAATGGATCGTTGCGCATTATGCATATGTCTTCATTTTTTGGCGTGATTGGAAGTGTCACTTGGTCCGAACGACTGACCGTTTACTTTCTTTGGCAGAAATCAATGTAAGCGTACTCGGTTCACGTTAATCTCAGTCTCACGTTACGGAAGAGATCTTCGAGATGAAAACGAGACGCCGAATTTTCGGCGAGAAGCTATGGCTTTATTCGAAATTGCGCTATGCTATTACGAGCTTCTTGATTCTGTCTTGAAACAGATACTACGGCTCTCTGCGTACGCATGATACTTCATAATCGTTAGCGTATTTTATGATCACATCGATAAAGTGCCGTTTCGTGAAGAGTATTTATTTACATAGTTAAGGCGCTAGTCGCTTATTCGAATGATTGATTCGTAAATACTATTTAATATAGCGCACAAATACGTTCAATTAGGATAGAAGAAAGCACATTCGTGCCTTCCTTGTTCTCCCAAGTTTTTTTCTAACGTTCTTAAGTACTAAGCTAGAATTGGCACCATTTGAAAAATTGTTCCGTGAAAGTCGATTTTAAAATCAAATTAATCGAATCACATCGCGCATTTTAAAAATTTCATACCGAAAGAATAGGAATTTAGAAAATAACATTCAATATTTTTAGATTTAGAATTTAATTCAACACAACAAATGTTTGCCATTTCTTTTTAATTAATTGACCTATTTTTTTTATTAGATTAACATGTAACGCTGCGAAGACGTTGCAACATTTTTAAAATCTTTTAAATTGTAAATACTCTCATTCCTGATAATAATAATCGGTCATCCTTACATTCGTACATCGAATGGCTCGTTAATAAGTATAGATCGCACTAATAAAACGGAGGTACTCGTATGGAAGTTGGCGTTCACCCTGTATATCAATAGTTGGTCGTCGCGAAAGTAATGGATCGGTCAATCACACTTTTTTTATCGTGTAATCACGTTTCGTAAGATAATATAATCGTAATTCGGTGATAGAAAGAATAGAAAAGTCGTAATTCGGTGATAGAAAATGCTATCAAAATCGTATGTAGTTAATCATCAATGTTTTTCCGTCATTTCTGGATTAATTATGTATATATCGCCGGTGTAAATTTGGTGTTTTTCCTCTCGGCCACGATATCGTACGTGGTACATACAGGGTTACGTGTGTACGAAGGCCTTGTTTTATATATATATACATATATATATATATGTATATATATATATATATATATATATATATATATATATATATGTGTGTATATATGTATATATATTAACGGCAGTATTTTTTTGGTGCAACGCAGATGTAGCAGTAGGTGAGACGTTTCTTTGACGAATACACCTGAGAGTCTGTCTTCTGTTTTTACTCTCATTCTTCTTCTTTCTCCACTTCATCGATTAAATTGTCTGTGACATATATTAAATTCTACTATCCTTTTTAAGATTTCGAAAAATTTCCATCAACGACGATAGTTTGAGAAGAGATTCGTCATCTTTCTCTTTCTAATTAACATTAAATCGTCCGGCGAAGATACCAAGTCGAACCAGCGAATCTCGATCATACATGTATGGTGAATTCTTGCCTTTCTTGTTCCTTTCTTTGTTGATATCTGTAACAAGATAATGCGCATTCGTCTTTAAAAATATAATTTGATTGCTAATGTATTATATATTTTATTTCAAAAATAATAAAAACAAAATTTTAAGCACATGCATGGAGAATGCTTTCTAAATCTTATCTTTTGTTTCATTGATAATCAATATTAATTATCTTTGAGATAATTAAAAGTAAATTTAAAGTTTCACGAAATATCAAAATCTAATTGAGAGATACATCATACTTAAAACACCCTGCATACACAAACAAGCTTAATTTTCAGGAGTGGTGGTCTCAACTACCCAGATAGCAAAAGTAGTCATTTTGACGTCAAATTATGTAATTTTGATGTCATAATAATTACTATGGCTATCTGATGGGTATTTGGTGCTTAACATGCCTGGTTTACGAAGACTCGTCTCGATACCTAGCTAGCATAGATTCGACGGCCTCGATCGGTAATCTGCCCAAACTGCCGCCGTGACGGGTTCCGGCTGACAGACCCTGCCATTCACGATCACGATCACGTTCACGATCACGTTCACGATCACGATCACGGTCGCACTCCACGTCGCTCAATTCACGGCTGTCACTGAACCCGCTTGGCGGCAATAGCGTCATGTCTTCTACCGAACTGTCGAATAGATAAAAGAATATATTTACCAGATCAAATGGAAAGTTGTCTAAAAAGTTATGAAAGAAGAATAAAAGAATAAAAAGATCGATAGAACACAGTTTCGATTTAATCGCATTCATAGTCAAAATTTTTATTTGTTAAAAAATCCATTTTAGGATGTTTATTCACTATGATTTCATTATCAAGAATATCTCTGATATTATCTGCATTCAATATATAAAATAAGATTATTTTTAATGTACGTGAACTTTTCATCGATCAAGATTTAATCTAGTTTTCTGTTTGATAGCATAATCATACAATTTTCTTTTAATATAATAGCGCATTTTAATATCAAATATATACTACACTTCCTTATCGTATATGAGGCTGAATAAAGCGCAATGATGCGAATTTATGTATATCTTTAGATTATATTATATATATATATATCAGTATTTCCGTAAGATAATTTTTAATTACTAAGAAACTAATTCGCATTGTTGTGCCTTTTTCTCGCGTCGATGTGAAACCGATGAGAGACCAATATCGAAAAGTTAAGACTGAGTGCTATGTGGAAACAAACAAACCTTGGCTACCTGCGAGTAGACCGGCTCGGTTGTCGGCTTCGTCGTCTCGCGAGCGAAGGCGAGCCTTCGTTGTTAGATTCCGTGCTCGATTCCACACCTCGCGAAAATACATCTGTAAAGAATCATGTTTGTGAATATCACAGTTCAGCCATATACATGATATGCTCTTCCTCAACGTGTCATTTCTAATAATTTTTCTAAATATTAATCTATATTGCAAGAATATATAATTATTTATATATATTCTTGATATAGATTATATATTACCTCTACAAGGCTTTACTGGCACCCTATAACTAGGCCCGGCGCATTCGCCGCAAGGACTTCCGGACGTGTCGCTGCCGGAGCCTTGTCGACTTGATCGTAGCTTGCTCTCGGCTTCCGCAATGCTCGGAAAGTAACGTTGCTTGTGCCACCTTGGTGTTTTGGACCTGCACATGAAAGAACACCAGAAAGAGGAAGAGAAGGGGAGAAAAACAAAGGCGTAAAAGCGAAATGAAGCGAGAAGTTTTACGATAAAGCCGGGGCAAGCTAAAGAACGATATTTTCTGGAAGAAGACAATTACCTTTCGAACTCCACGCTAGATCTCTCGTAATCGATAGTATTGATGTCCTCATTCTCCAAGTGACCAAACGTTTTGAACTGCATTGTGTAATCGAGCGTTGCCGTTGTTACCGAACGGTTCTCTCTCCCGGGAACGCTAAATGTAGCATAAGGACTTATCTCGTACATTTCTGTAAAGTATATCGAGACATTTAGAAATTGCATTCAGAAGATAATTTAACGCTATATAGATAGATATACATACCTGATCCATGATCGGTGGATTTGTGATTTTCTTGCTTTACGGGTGAACTAGTATAAACCTGATGATTACGTCTGTTGTCACGTTCAGCCGTCGATTTGAGTTGCACTGTCGACATACAGCTGGACAAGTGATGATGCTGTTGTTGGTGCTGTTGTTGTTGAACCATTCCTAATCCTGCCTGCTGTTGCTGCTGCTGACTCGGTAACATTTCGCCTAAATAGGTCGCTCTGCCAAAGAAGAAATTAATGAAGCTTTTATGTTGACTGTTGAAATAAAATTTCGGGAACTCGAAAGGATTATATTTTACCTGCCGTTGCGTTTGAGCATAACATATCCTAGAATAACGGCAGATACGACCAAAATGATTGCGCAGATGAGCGGTACAACGACATATAAAACTTTGTGATTGGGTACAGTTTTTCTGACCTCGTCCTCCATTATCAAATCGTTAGGGGGACCAATACTGACTCCGCTCAACGTAGTCGTGGCGAATTCCATTTGTGTCTGAGTCGAGCCGGCATCGTTGTGCGCTGTTAAACGTAGATTGTACCACGATGCCGTCTTTAAATCACGAATTACAAGGTTCTCGGTCGCTCTGCTAGCCACTAAAATCCAAGGTTCCGTATTAATTCGCCTGCGATATTCGACAGTGTAGTGCTGAATAGGACATCCTCCGTTAGGCCAGGATAATAAATTCAATTTCACCGACGTGCCGTTTGCCGAGATAATATCTTTCTCCTTAGGCAATAAAGGCGCTGAAACATAGATTGAGAAATGCACTTAAAATATAGTTCCTTTTTTTAAATAGCTAAATTATATTAATCGAAACTTGAATTCAAAAACTCGATAAGTTTAATAGTACATGGGTCATTCTACAAAAATATATAGGAATTACCCATATACATTTTAATATTTAATATAATTTAATATTTTCATATATATATTTTTTATTTGCGCAAAATATTTTATTTACCGGTGCCTTTCGTTGTTGCGCTGATTAACGAACTTGGATCGCCGGTGTCGACGCGATTATGTGCCGTTAAATGTGCCAGATAGGAAGAACCACATTTCAATCCAGAAAGTACAAATTCCGTCTGTTCAGGAGATAAAGCGATTTCTTCCCATCCACCCTGATCTCTCTTATAACTTAATACATATCCTATTACATAGGTAAAAAAAGAATCAGTATACTATATGTATATAGAGATGATATTCCTTATTAGTTACTTTTTTAATTATTAGTTACCTTGTATAGTAGCACCGCCGTTGTCAGGATGATTCCAACGGAACCTGATACTATTAGTTGTTGTATATTGTAATTCCAACGACGGTGCTTTGGGTGGCATCACTACGACTAACGAATATGTGATCGAATCCTCGCCAAATAAATTACTAGCTGAACAAGTATAATTTCCCGCGACCGATTGTTCCAGTCCTGAAAAATAATGAGAATTTCGAGATTTCTCCATTTTTTTCTTGAAAGAGATTAATAGCATAATATAGTTTCTTGCGAGGGAGATGGAAGAAAAAAAAACACTTACCACGTATAACGAGATGTCCATCGGGTGTAAGTTCGTAATGCCTACCAGTGGTAATTTGACCGTTTCTGTAGGTCCAGATAGGTCGCGGCGTAGGATTTCCCACCACCAAACACGACAGCATAACCGATGATTTTACGGCTCTTCTTAATACTTGCGAGAACGATGCTACTCTAGCGGGAGCTGCGAAATGAGTATCCTATGTTCTTATATTGTGAAAGTTTTGTTTTGTTGCTTGAAGACCGATATATTCGGCAAGATATAAGATATGCAATATATGTAAATTAAACAGCTAAATTCTAAAATCCAGTTTTTATGAAAATGATGATTTTTCGACAAGTACCTCTGGTATTCGTTGTTTGCGTGACTATGATAGTTTTTTCTCCTTCTCCAAGACCAGTTGTCGCTGACACCCAGAATTCGTACGATTGTCTAAAAAATTAAAACTCAATCCGTAAAAAAATTCGCAATAAGAATGAAGGAACATAATGAAATGTTTGTATGTGCAGGTACCTTTCCACTAGATCTCGTAATTCCATTGTAAGGGTATCCGTGGGTGATGATGGTGGTTCATGCATCATGTACATATTATGATTATTAGAACCGGCTTCTCTGCTGTATACAGTATATTTTGAAACATTCCCGTTAGGTTGCAAAGGTGGCAACCAAGAAACTAATATGCTCTCTGCCGTTAACGCCAACGCTTTGATACCAGCAGGCGGACCTGGAACTGTAAAAAAGAATCCGTAGAGAATTATCGTCGTGTAAATCGTTTACTCTTATAATCGTATAATCTTATTGTACAAGATAAATAGAGCTGCTTTCATTTTATTGAAATTAAATTATATATCTCACCATCCTCTTCCGTCATGCAGAAGATCGGTGGACTCTGTGCTCCGTCACCCGCACCGGTGTAAGCCAACACCTTGATGGAATAATTCGTGTACTTGTACAACGTGTGCAAATAAGTCTCCATACTAGAAGTTCTTTTTACTTCACCAACCGTCGATATATCCACTGTGATAGGAAGAATAAATTAAACGTGAATATTTTATGAAGTTAATTTTTTGCAACGCAGAAAACTATCAGCATTTCGGACGACTCACTGTTATCAGTAGGAACCGGCCTATAATAAACCTTGTATCCTTGGATAATTCCACCGTGTTGATGAGCTGGCGGCGCGTTCCAGGCTACCTTGACACTTTGGGAGGATAATGGAACGCATGTAACTTGAGTCGGTGGCGTTTCTGGTACTATAAAACAAAAGTTTAAATTTAAATTATTATTGAATTAAATACGTGAACATCATACATTTGTTTTTATGGATAAAATTTCATTTTTTTGTTCTTTTTGAACTCATACCTCCTTCTTGAGTGGTACCCACGATAGGAGCGCTAGCTGGTCCACTGGCTATACTGTTGAAGGCTCTGATCGAAATGTCGTATTTTGTAAATTTTCTCAGACCAGTAAGCTGCACCTTTGTCGTCGCCCAACCATTCACGTTCAGACTTTTACTTTGATTAACACCCGAGGTCGACGACGAATGTTCCGACCAAGTCACTATATATCCCTGTAGATCTCCATTACACGATTCTTTTGGAGGTGGCTGGAAAAATAAATATGTCTTTTGATGACACTCTTTTATCACTTCATTCTCTTATTACTTTATCCTCTTTTCGGATTAAAGTTGTAAAATATAATTTTGTAGCATAATTTAAAAATATTAAAACCGCGATCGTAAAGCATTCCAAGTCTCTAAATGGACGGCATTACTTACTTGCCAGCTGACCATGAGTTCTCCAGGCCCGGCGGATTGCACTTTGATATTTTGCGGCGGTTCTGTAGGTGCTATTATACAAAGAACGATGGTTATGCGATATGCTAAGATTTCAGTCATACGATCGCATTGTCATACAAGGCGTTTTACCTTCCTCCTGAGTCTTCGCCACGACGGGTTCCGTAGGTCCGCTCGCGTCGATGGAGTTTATAGCGAATATTCTGAAGCTATAGGTGACGGCCGGATGAAGACCACCGACTAGCGCTACCTCTTGATCATCGCCAGTGGTTTCGAACGGGGATAAGCCTAGTAGAATTGATACGAATTACGCGGATAAACGGACGAATAGAGACGCGATATCGATCGGAGCATGTGGGACGAACCGTTTTGGGTTGGATGTATAGAATTACCGCTATTGGAGCTTCCTGGCGTGTACGTGACGTTGTGCGTTTTAACGGGATTCCAATCGTCGGTCATGCCGTGGCTCACAGGACAATATTGTATCATGTAATTTCTTATAGGGCTATTTCCGTCGAAGGCCCGCTTCCATAATAGCCGAATCGATCGAGAACCAATTTCTATTACTTCGAGTCCGGCTGGAGGATCCGGTCTCTCTGTAAATTACACATATATATATATATATATATATACATACATGTATAAAGCAAAATCTTATCACGTGCTGTGATTAGAATGTAATTATTGATAAAAATTGACACAGAAGAGCTCAAGAGATTGAAAAATATAAGGACGTACACTCTCACCTTGAACTGCTAAATAAATCAAATGTTCGCTTCTTCCGTAAGCGTTATCAGCGGTGCATCGATAAACTCCCGAATCTTGCCGATCGCTATTTGCGATAGATAATTGAGACTTCAGGCCATTCTCGGTCTTTATTTGACCGATGCTTAATCTGTGATTGCTCATATCTAATCGATCGCTGTTGTGCATCCACTGTACTTCTATAGGATTATCGCCAATCACGGTGCAATCGATCGTCACGGATTCTCCACGGCGAATCGTTACGTTTTTACTCTGAAACTCGAACCTCGCCGGTTCTGCGAAAATACAAATCAATTTCGTTGTGCTTTAGTAAATTATATTTTTTTTTTACATATACATATATTATCTTGATATTTTTAAACAAAATATTATATTTATTCGAAAAATTATTTATTTAATGATGTCTTTGAAGAATCCGACAATCTTGTAATTAATATTTTTCTATTTTGATCCCAGAAGAATTTCTCCCGTATTATACCTATACATATTATATTCGGATTTTAAAAAAATTTTATTTTGTACCGAATCTACCGCTATATAATTTAGTTTACAATTTGTAATAGCAAATTTACATTCTTACCATGCACGGACACGTATATCACTTTGCTTAGTCCCGATCCGATGGCATTGTTAGCGCGACAGAGATAGTAACCCTCATCCTGTGGACCGGCCGAAGCCGTCCACAAAGACCCATTAGGCAATATCGTGAGTCTACCGTCAGAACCATCAACCAGCGGCTGATAGTCGTTGGACGTTCTGCCCCTGGCACGGAGCCACGTAATATGCGGCGGCGGAAAACCCTTGGCCTCACAATGGACATTCAGCGGGTTTCCTAGGAGGGTCGCCACGTCTTGCGGTTCGAATATCCATTGAGGAGGTACTTTTACCAGAAGTTCTGCCGTGTGATTGACCTTGGCGGCGCTATTCGTAGCCACGCAAGTGTATTTGCCGCTGTGTCTAGATGATAGTTCCTTGAAGACGAGCAGACTGAAAAACTCGGCGCCTCGCTCTTCGATCTGCGCAGTAAATCAGGATTTATGAAACACATGAAGAGTATTTTTTTCATTATTTTGATTAAAATGTGTTTTATTTTGATTAAAATTGCATAATTCTCGAAACAGAAAAGAGAAATGAAAAATGAAAGATATCTCTCTCTCTCTCTGCATATTATTGTATGACCGGTATGAAATATGGTAAAATTCTTTTATATTAAAATTTAATCTGCACTAGATTCACATTTGTTTAAAGAGCATTATTCACGAAGAATGAGTATCCTCTCATAGAACTCTTATTACTAGGAAATACGTATTTTCAAGAGGAGAAATGCGTCGAGAACATGTAGAAAAAGATTATAGAAAATTATTTTTAGTAGATAAAATATGTGCATAGGTTTAAAATGAAAAATTTTAGTTTGTTTTATACTTTTTTGCATTTATCGCAGACATAGAATACGAGAGAAATTAGCGAATTATCTCGTCGTATAAAGTTTACGGGCTGAAATAATATGCTTACGCGAAGGGAAGAAGGCAGTGGCTCGCCGTCTTTCAACCAGGAAATGTAGATTGGAAGATCGCCCGATGTCACGCTGCACGTCACTTGAGCACGACTACCTTCTTGCGAATTCGCGGGAAAGCTGAAGGGACTCATTACTGGAGGACCTGTAAAATTCCCAGGCAAAAAATGTTATATACATTGTATATGTGTTGTCATTTTTTTCACAATTTCACATTTTTCTACATATATTTTTTTATAAATATATAATTAAAAACTGTTACATAATATTTCTTATAAAATGTTAAAAGAGCGATATTTAACTTATCCTCAAAAACCTACATAAACCTATTAATCTCATTCATCTAATTAGCTGTATCGTTTAACTAGTCCAAACTTCAGTGTCGCTCCTTCGCTCATTTTAACTTACTATTCACATTTAGTAGTATATCTCTGTTGGCGGTTTCTCCAGAACTTGCTCGAACTATACACGTGTAGGTACCGCCATCGCTCGGATCTACCGTCAGGATTGTAAGGTGGCCCTCGCTGTCGACCCGTTGCCTGATGTCAAAGGGCAACTCGCCACCATTTCTAGTCCACCCGACCGATGTGATCGGATATCCTGAGTAAGGACACGCTATTGTGATGTCGGCACCGGCGATGGCGCGAACCGGACCGATCGATCGGATGTATGGAGGTCCTAAAAATGGTTTCTTATTATAGAACGGTGTCGAGTTCAACTCGCTTCGAACAACTAATCAATTCTCGTGCTTATTCTCGTTTCTTCCTTGTCATTATTAAATTTCCAAGTTGTATTAAAACTGTTCTTAATATATTATAAATATTATATGCATATAGATAATTTTAATAATATAAGTCTATATATAAGAGATCAATATATGTATATTTGATTTGAGTTATATCAGTTTCACCCATAAAACACCAAGTTTATCTTGTGAAATTTTTGTTCCATGCTTTCATATTTATTTTACTTAATATGCTTATAGATTTATGTATTTAATATAAAATTATTCTCTGCATATATAACATGTGTGTCGTACCGTAAATATTTAATCTAGCTTTGTGCTCGACAGTCGCCAGAGTATTGGACGCTACGCAAGCGTACAGGCCGCCATCCTCGGTACCCGCGGATGAAATGTTTAAGTGACTGATCACGTCACCGGATTGATCCACATATTGGCCTATCGCGTATCTGCGCGTATTAATTCCCGATTACAAGTTAGCATGGACTACAACGCTATCGATACTGGAATATACAGGTGTACGATCTATATACCTGTGTCCGGTCGCAATCTGACTCAATGGTTCACCGTCGAGTAACCACGTAAAGGATGGCGTCGGTGAACCGGTGGCGGAACATCGCAGGGAGACCGGTGGTCCCGGTCGTAGAGCTTGCTCGATAAATGTGTACTGCAGTTCCGGAACCGTGTCTGAGAAAAAGTCAAGCTTTTGTTAAAGAAATTTTCAGGCGAGACAAGCAAGGTAGACTGTTTTGTTTTTCCGAAGAAATACAAGATTATTTTACATGAAAGAAAAAATCCAATCACGATTAGAGTGGGAATAAAAATTTAAAGGTGCATTAAATATATAAAGAGATGAAAACGCAAGATTAAAATATGAGAAGGGGGACTGGAATGGATATTAAAAGCGCTCGCTGACCTCCGAGCTTCAGTTCAGCGGTGGCCTGTGCATTTTCCTTGTCGCTCCTCACCAAACACTGATACATCCCTTTGTCCCTGCGACCGACGGAGCCTATCACGAGCACCAAGGGAGCCAACAATCTGATCCTCGTGTCCTGCGCGGTCAATACTGGCACACCGTCGTGTAGCCACTCAACGCTCTCGACCGGATATCCCTCGACCGTGCAGTTCATCGTAGCGGTCTCGCCAGAATTAACGACCTGCGAATGACGATGAGCGCATCTATCTCGTAGTTGGACCATCTATTATCTATAATACAATACGCGATTCACATGATAAAGAATAATTTTTAATGCCCCTTTTAATTTTAATTCTTGCGTCATTCTTCTCCACGATGCGTTATCTCTTATCATCTTTAGTACTTACACTTGTTGAGTTTTATTCAATGTTACATTTAGCATGCAATTTTTGATATATGTATATGTATATCCATTTTGATGTAGATCCGTTTTGAATTTATCGAGCATTAGTCATTATTCAATCATCGCTTCGCGTTAAATAGTAATTTTATATTATTGATATTATCGTTAATTAATTATCGCAAATGAAACTGTAGCTTACGTAATCAAACAAATTATTTAGCTTAACCTAGTTTTACATTACTACAGTGAAATGTGAGTACTATAATTTGTAGGTGGATTTAATACCTGATTTTCGAGCTTATCGGGGATAAACGATTTTCATTAAATGATAATATTTATCTCGCAATGATAGAGGCTTAATAATTTTTCAAAGCATATCTTTATATTTTGATTTTTAAATTTCAAGAGAAAAAAAATCTCTTTTTACGTACAACAAACTGTTCTACCATTGTAGTTATAATTTTATTTTATTCTGCTACTATAAAACTCGATGCATTTATAAGAAAAATATTATTCGTTCGAATCGAATCACGAATTTGTTCGTACCTGTACGCGCGGCTGAATCCGAGCGTTTAGCTTTGAAGTGACCGACAAGTGCGTCTCCGCTCGTTGCTCGCCAAGTTGATTGCTGGCCCGGCAAACGTATCTTCCAGCATCCTGCGCGTCTACACGACGAATTTGCATTAAATCACCCCAAAGCTGGATACGACCGAACGACTCGACCGGTATCGAGTGGCCTGCGACAAGACATTCGGATGTATCTGTCCTGTAACGATCATGTCTGCGAAGTTACTTCGATAATTGTACTTGGAGCACTAGATTAGATTCACAATCGAACATAGAATCCTGGATAGCATTTTATAGTACGAATAGAGAGACTTCTGATTAAAAAAAAAGCAGATTATCTGCAATTATAGTTTCACAAAACGCAATATGTTATCAATATTATAACGGCACATCCTATGTAAAGTACATAGCGTATTTTTCCTCTCTTTCGCGATATATATATAATATATTCATTGCGCGACAACGCCTGTTTAAACGTAATGCACGGTATCCGCGCTATCGAGGAATCGATGTTTGAACATGGATGGTAGTTTGTTCGGCGCTACCGTTACGTTAACATAGCTTATTCGGTAAACATTCCCCTAATTAAACCAACCATTAACATCGCGATACCAGGTAAATTGCGGCGCCGGGCTTCCTTGCGCCGAGCACGTGAGGTGAACATCGGAGCCGCTTTCGGCGGAAATAGCGATCTCTGATCGTTGCATCAGTCGCGGCGACATGGAACCAGTCGGTTCTACAAACAAGACCAAAGGATGACACGGGTATCCCAAGGAAGGGGATACATGAATAAGTGGTGAAAAGCGAGAAATCTTTTCTTCTGGCTATTATAGAACGGAAGCTTAATTTTTTTTGACAGAACCTTCGAGCCTTCTACTCTTCGCGACAGAAATGTCCGGTTACCCGTGACTGTTAAAGTAGCGGGTTCGCTTCTCCTCCGTTCGCTGGTCAGGGCATGCAGAGTTAAACACGAATACGTCGCTCTGCCGTCTTCTGGTCTGGCGGCTCTAATATGAAGATCACCCTGCGAGGTAACCACGAATCTTCCGCCTGTGAACAAAATTGGGTCACATATATAGGTCGAATATACAACGTGACTCGAACGGTTTCTCTGAGCTATAGATTCTCTGACAAAATTAATATTGAGTTTTTTGTTTTTTATCGAAATCGGGAATTTATTAATTCTTTTAGCAGGTATATATAAGTGTCTTTTCTCTTAAATTATCTAGAAATTATTTAAAAAGAAATTCACGATTTTACAAAAAATAATTTAAGATTCTTTAATTTTCAATCGGTTCAGTCTTACTTGTAATATTATAGAACTAATTTTCAATTATTTGTAATACTAGATTCTTCGATTTTCTAATTAGAAAAAATAATATTTTTAAGAAAATAATATAAAATGTGTTTAAACTCGATTAATATTTTTTGACAGAAATCAGCTGATAACTGTCAAAAATATTAATTAAATTAAAAGAACTATAACATATTATTTAAAACATATTACTATTTTAATTTTTAAAACAATTATTATTTTAAAATTTATTTAATAAAATTGATACTTTAATCAGCTTTTGCCAAAAATTATTAATAAAGTAAGTAACATGTTGTAATACCTTATACCCGCACGATTAAAATTTTTTGACAGAAATCAGCTGATAACTGTCAAAAGTATTATTAGTCGAGTTTTAAAGTATTATAACATATTATTTACATATTATTATAATTTTTATAACACATTATTATTTCAAAATTTAATTAGCAAATTTTCGCTGTATTAATATTTTTGATAGAAATCAGCTGATTCAATTGTTAATTTGCTAATTAAATTTTAAAATAATATGTTAAAATATTAAAATAGTAATATGTTGTAAAATAATGTATTATAATACCTTATATCCGTGATTAATATTTTTTGACAGGAATCAGCTGATAACTGTCAAAAATATTAATCGTGTAAAGAGGCAGCAATACTTGCGAGAATTGACTTGCTTTTTTAAGGAGTAAGAATTATTGATGTTGCAATGTCAAAAATATTTGCGAATCTTTTGAAATTAATGAGCTTACAGATATGGCAAATAATTTGACGAATATGCAGAGATCTATGGAGAGATTAAAGCTACATTTCAACGTATATGGTAGTTGATCCTACATCGCTGAATAAAGATTTCTCTCATCACTATCGTGGTGAGGAAATGCTTCTCTCGACTTCGCGATTTATTCCACTTCCTTCTATATCGCGGCAGACTGAGCGAAAATACCATTCGACTTCTCAGAATTCAGAAGCTGGGAAATATCAATAATAAATCCTTGAACGTGCGCGCGCGATTTTGCCCAGCAATATTTTCTCTCGTATTTCAAGTCTGCGGGAATGGGAGAGAGAGTAAAGGGTTATGCAAAATCCTCAGCATCTGTCGATGAAACCCCTTCGGATCACGGCCGCGTACCCATCAGGCGTGAAATTTTCAATTTGGCTCAACCATCGGACAACCATCGAGCAGCTACGGTCTACCGACTTGCTAAAACCGTCTCTGACTATTTCGGAGATTGACCTGCCAGAATTTTTTCTTTTTCCCATCATATCCGGAACATTACGAGTTTTCGCGCGCCTTCTCTTGTCGAGGATAATTAACATCAAAGGAATATTTTCTCGCCGAGAATAGACTTTTTTGTTACATTGTTATACTTTTCGATTGATGAAATAGTATTATTGTTCGAAGGATGAAAGATTGCAAAGCATATATGTTGAAACACGTGTTATTTCATTTCAATCCATCATAATCCATATTAATTTAATTTCTACATGTCTTTATTATTTTTATCGATTTGTTTTTGGTAGTTATATACGGGAGAGAATTTTCTCTTACAATTTATTCTGAAAATAATGGTAATCGTGGAACAATATGGTATTGGAAGAATTTTATAAGAGTTTCTCTGATTAATATTTATACCACGATATAAAATATTAATATGTTCATGGTGAAATTAATCGAACATATTTTATATCTTATTATGGCAGATATTAATATTTTTATTTTTTACCATGATTGCCATGATTTTCAGAGTAAATTCTAAGAGAAAATTCTTTCTACGTATGTTTCAAGAGAGAGAAAAAATACTGTAAAATAGCTTCATTTTTGAAATTTTAAATAAGAGTACTAATGAAACGGACATATATTTAAATGTCGAACATTTATTTTAGTTTGCTTCAAAATTGTGTTAAATTTCATTAATCTCGGCGAACAATATACCCCTTCTTAGTCGCGGTCCGAATAACCCGAATAATTCTAATGACGATATATCTCTGCGCTTGAAGATGTATTCACCACGGATTCCGAATAGTTCTCCTCCCTATGATGTCTAACAAGAACCATTGTCATAGATTCGATATCGTTATGTGTATGTGTGCGTGTGCGCGCGCGCACACAAGTCAATGATAGAAATGTCATGTTCTTCCCGTACAACCGGAATCTCATGTCCTCGAATCAGAGCGCGATATTCGCGACATTATGACATAATAGTTATTATTACGAAGACACTACGTTACACAACACGTATACTGTTATATTTCAATTTTTCCTTATAAAAAATTGTATTTTACTGTCTCTCTTGTCATTTTTCAACATTTTTTGAACTCTATTATGAAATAAAATATGAATGAAATAGAAATGAATACTTGATAGATATCCGAGTATAATTACGTAATATATAGAGATCAATATTTTATAGCGAATTTGGTTGGATGCACTAGTGCGCACTGAGTGAACAAAGATTATTGCACACAATTTTACAATAACATAAGTAATTGAAAAATTAAAATAATTAATAGTAAGAGCTATTATTATTATTCATATTGAACAACAATAATAATAGCTCTTATTATTAATTATTTTCCTTTTTTAATTACTTGTGTCATTGTGAACTTGTGTGTGATAAATCTTTTATATGTATGCACTCAGTGCGTATTAGTGCATTCAATCGAATTCGCTATTGGAGATCAAGAGATTATCTTAAATATTAATTGTGTAAAGTCTGCTTTACATCGAGTGACTTTACTTCTATTACTTCACTAAAAAAATTTGTGTGAAATTAAATGATTATATATAGATTTCTTCTTCGACTCAGCATAATCATGCAATACTGCTAATTGCTACCTATATGGAAAATTACAGATTATATGTAATTTCATATGAAATATATTCTTCTACATATATTTTCATAATTAAAAATATTCCATTAAATATGGAATTGCACATACGAAATGCTGGTAATGTATAAATGATATAAAATAATGTTATACATAAAATGGATAAATGCTTATAAAATAAAGTTGTAATAAAATAAAAAACTAAATTTAAAATTACAAGTGAGTTTTGCATGAAAATTGTAATTTTACCTATATATTTTACATTAATATGTATTTTCATTTAAAAAATATATGGAAAAAATTACAGTGACAATTACGTAATTTTTCCAGTTTCGAACAAACAATTTCTACGTAAAAGCATAAATGTTTAGTGTTCTCCGTGGCAAAAAGAATGAAGGAAAAGAGGGAAAAAGAGCTGAGCGAAAGGTGACGATTCACCCTCCGCACATCTTTACGCGGAAGATCCCTCGCACCAATTTCGGGAAGAGTTCTTTACGAGCGCGACTCCGGTTTATGTCACTCGGTTGACTCGCTTCCATTCCTCTCCATCACCGACAGATATCCTTAGACACCTGCCGGTTGACGGACACCGCGGACAATCGACGTCGTCATCTTCGAGACGCGATACGGACACCGGTGATAACCGGCGCCGCGCGAGAACGTTGACGACACGACGTCGTCGTCGTCGCAGGAGGAGGAACGCATATAGAAGCGCAACATCCCCCCAGATGTGCGGATGCTGGCTTTCGTACATACGGCAATGTTAGCCGCCTAGTTACGAAACAAACGTATCAAGCCCCGACATGACGCGATGCCTCCCATGATATTCCAACGGCACATATCGTATATGTATATATGTATATTTGTATATATATATATATATATATATATATATATATATAGAGTTACGCGAACACACTGGTACGTTCCCGTTACGTGCAACCGAGCGGCATAAATATGTATGGGACATGAATGCCTGAGCGTGTACAGGACGATCTAAACCACACCGAGTTAGCGCACGTACGTGCGAAGCTTGTGCACGCGCGCTTGTGCAACGAATAAGGCATATATGTGTGTGCGCGCCGGATGTTGGTCCGCGAGATCAAGCATTTTACACTCTATGTGCTCTCGCGCTTCGCCTGGCGGTCGTAATTGTGTTAATCCTTTTTCAGCCAAGCTTTCTTCTTGAGTAATTCACACGGTAATATGTGAAAAAAATGTAATACACCCCCTTTTTTTCTTCCTTTCAAATAACGTTAGCCTTGTTTTGTGTTTAAAGATGCGCGAGAAGTCGCGGAAAAAATTACGTATCTCTGATTCGTTCTCACTCCATCTATTTTCATTCATTCATTTATGCTATACGTTCTCGATTATATGTATATTGTACGTTTTAATTAACGCTGATGATTTTATCGAGCCCAGTTTGTGCTCTCGTAAACTAATTTCAATACATTAAAAAATACCTATACATTAGAAAACCGCGCGCATCCAGATCAAATCGATCGTCATCGCGTTTATCGATAAAAAAATTGATGGATCGGAGAGTAGAGAATTATATATCGGAAATTTGTTTCCCCGAGAGAGAGACGATTTACTATAACAAAACGGAGAATTAACGACGCGTGATATATACGCACATATACGGGTATCCGGGTACGTATATACAGCGTCGTCGCCGTTCAAACAGAGGCTTGATCTCGAGATTTAGCACGCGCTATACTTAAAATTAAAATAGCAAATGCGCCGAGATATATTATATATATATATAACTCACCGGTATCTGTGTTTCCAGGTAAGAGAATAGCGTCGTCGCGAAACCAGGAGGTCACAGTGAGGTGTTCTTTGACGTCTTCCCGGGCTGTACAGGACAACACGGCGTTGCATCCTTCCATCACGGGTTGTCTATTTACCCTGACCTCGTATCCGGGTACCGTCAATACTGCAAGTACGTATGAAAAATTACAACGATTTAATTTTGCAGTTAATTACTGCAAATTTGTATTTGCGCGACACGCTGAATCCCCAAGTTGAATTTTGAAACTCTATTAATTGACAATGCGCAATTGGTTAATTGACAATTCACAAGTCAGTAAAACAAACAAAAATTAATCTCGCAAACAATTTATCTCTATCAAATATTTTATATGTATTTTATACAGTTACGAATAAATAAATAAAAAAAATAAATAAATTGTCAATAAATTCATGCAGCCTTGTATATTAATCGTGCTTTTTTACCCTGCAGATATTTTTTATCAAAATTGTCGAGGCACTCACTATTAGTTTTGTATTATAAAAAATTAAGGCAAAGAATTTTTTTCAATTAAATTAAGCTATGAAGTTTTGTAATGAGTAATAAAGGTTTATTCTTTAAATAATTTTAAGCAGCAGACTTTAACAGAATTTTAATTTCATGTTTAACTACTGAGGAGTATATTATACGCACAGTAAAATGATAAAAAAATTGCAAAAAAAATCGGTGAGAAAAAAATGGATCATTAAAATTAATCAAAGAATCTATATGAGTCAAAGTAAGTACATTTAACGTGAGACATCCGACGTATAACGTAAGAGTTCTGTTATATTCATACATAAAAGAAAGTCGGAGAAAAAGGAACGAGAAACTAAAGCGGGGCAAAGTGACGTAGCGTTGAAAGCGGAAGATGGATGATTATTAAGAAGTTACCACAGGCAGAAAGTGGAAAATAAGACATAGGAAAGTAGAGGTACATACATAATGGACGATCAAACTTATTTCAAGTCCATGAACAATGGCTCCGTTGTAATGCGATTCACCCCGCTGATTCCGTTATTACCGGTTAACTTTATTTATGGCCATAAAATTTTAAACACGTGCGCGTTGTATATATGGTAATATATCAGGAAATTTTTATTGAAATTTTATTTAAAATTAAATCCCTCGATGAAAAAATTTCACATAATCACATGTATTTTTTTTTATTTCTATAATCACATGCATTTTTATTTATTTTTATATATCTTTTTGTTATAAAAAGTAATCAAAAAGTCCTAATAATTACATATGTAAACTAATGATAAATATTTTCGAAGTGCACACCATTTGAATTTGTATAAAATTCTATTCTTGTACGAAAACTTGTAAAGACTTTTTCCAACATGTCATTTTTAATGTTATTGACGATCCTTTTAATAACTGCATGCTATTAAATCTGACACTGTTGAAAATATTTATCATCAGTTTATGTGATTATCAGCACTTTTTCCATTACTTTTTATTAATAAAATAAACTAGTATACAACCATTTTATTTATATCCATGAAAAACTGCAGCCTTTCCTCTTTCCAACAGAAAATGTTTGTTTGTTTGTTCAATAACTGCGTGTATTAAAAAATGACAGCTATTTTCCTATGGGACACTGTATTAGATTCACAAACATATTTGACCTTTCAATATTAACACACCATTATTTTACTTATTCAATAAGATGCGTCTTATTCCCGATTAGGGTACACGAGACACATTCGAGGTACGAGAGACAAGACCTCTCCCTAAATCTAATCACTCTCAATCTAAGCACACACTCATACATCAATATGTAACAAGCGATGCTCGGGAACGACGCTTAGGTCGCATATCCCATTCTCCAGAGATACACTTGGCTCTTGCACGTATACACCCTCCACTCACACATTCCTCTATAATGAATGTTGGCACAAAGTGTGCGATTAATTTGCCGCATTTGCATCTTCAGTTATATTAACCATGTAATCGCTAAGCGAATATGATAACCCAAAATCTTATTACACCTATACCGCGTATCCCATTGTTATCTTGAAACGTGTGTTATCTCACCGATACGTTGATTTTAGATAGGATATAATTTAGGGAGTATAGTCTTTTATGATTGAAACAATATATGCTCTGTATATATCTTATACTTGTAATATATTGTACCTTTATGTTATGCAATCGAGATTTAAAAAAAGAATCCTCGGAGTGTTTAGTGGAAAATAAAATTTAAGAACATTTCAAGGAAATTTGGCACGAGTTTTCAGTAGTATAATCAAGATGTACAAAAAAACTGAACACTTTATTTTCTTTATCAAGTCCATAAAATTGCATGTTGATGAAAATTAATATATATATACATTACGAATATTAGATACAATATATTCTCTTATATTTGTGAACGCTTAAAATCTACTTGAATAATATCTAATAACTTGAATAAATAAGATGAAATATTTTTTACTTAAATAGTCTTGACTGCTCTTTTAGCTGAATGTTTAGAAGCGACGAAAAATTCACATTTCCAGGATTTTGAAAGAACAAACAAAATTCCAGAACATTTCAAAGATTTCAAGACACTCCTGATTCTTTTAATAATAATAGAACGTATCCGCTTTTATTGTTCGATGTTTCACGAAAAAGGGGTCTTCGAACCCCCTTTTAGACGCCAGTTCGGGAATTGGGTGGCGAGAAGAGGACGACGACGAAGGAAGGGTGAGTGGTGTACGTACGTGACGATAAAATTGAGATGCGCCGGCGAGAGGGAGAGAAGTGGGAGTGAAACGAAATGTGCAAATAAAGCCAATATGCGCGCGGATCTCCAACCAGGCGGGCAACGATATTTCCACGAATTTCTAGAAATCGTCGGAATTAACTTTTCTCCTCTCTTCTCAGCTGGAGAATCTCGACAGCCCGCCTTCTCTCTCTCTCTCTTTTTCTACCCTTATACTCTACCCTAGCGCGATTCCTCACAGGGCTCACGGCTATCTCTGATACCGTCACCCATTACCCGCTGATGCAGCGTGAAAACGCACGTGCATTTCGTGGCGTATCGGCTGCATCGCCGCCACAGGCGTGTTTTACCAAAACTCTCGTGTGCGGGATCTTGCGGAAAGAGAGAGAGAGAGAAATGGTAGATTTTTAAAATCGAATCTTCCGGAAATGGATCTTTCTGCCCTGGGAACCGAGCTGGGAATATATTGCCACTTATATCGCTACTAGCCAAAGGGACCCGTCGAAAACGAGGCGAATAGATACACATATATGTCTACTATATATCTAAAAAGGATGAGATAAGAATAGCGAAAAAAATGTAATAAACGGTGGAAAGTTTATTTTTCGAGAAAACTGAACCTGATGTAAATGTAGGATATCGTGTCTTGAAAAATCTAAACAATTGGATTAAAACACATAAAGACCAGAATGATGACTCCAGCAATTCGAATGTTGTATATAAAATCAATTGCAGAGACTGTGACGCAACTTATATTGGACAAGCAAAAAGACAAACGTACCAGACTTAACAAACATAAAAACAATTTTAAATTAGACTCTGCAAGACATTCGGTTATTTCTGAACATATTTTAAATAATAAGCACACTTTTGACTGGGAAGGGACTGAAATATTAGGTCATGAAATCAACTATAATAAAAGACTTATTTCTGAAATGTTATACATAAAAGAACATATGGTCTTAAACATAAGACATCTAAGAATAATTGTTTCAACCATTGTAATTAAATCGAATGATAATCGAAGTTTCGTCTTTACATAGCTTGCGAGATTATATTTAAATTTCTTTATTATATTTTATAATTGTATACTTGCGGTTGATTGTATTGATAAAGACCTGGTAAGGTCGAAACGTCTACATTTATATTGTGAATAAATAATTTTCAATTATCCTTACATCTAAATTATTTTGGCTCGTTTATTTGGCCTACTTTTTACGTTTCATTAATTTTAAATTTTACACGAGCGTTAATTTGTATTTTTATTGTTATAATTCAAAAGTCAGATGTAATTTCTTAATTACGCATTCCAGTGTTTTGCTACATGTCCCGAATCTTATTACCGTACACATCCGCGAGACAAATTTTCTCTCTCGGGCGTTTTTCTTAAAAACAAAAACGTGCCTCGCGCGTGATTAAAACTGTCGACCGTTTTCTGCGGAATTACACATACACAAGCATTTATCGTCCGAGAGGTTTGCGGACCTTTTTCCGTCCGGGACCATTTCTCGGGAACTAGTGGCTGGTTGCTAATGTGGTTACGTTCTTTTTCTAGTCGCGCGCACCTTCTCTTTCGTTTGATAAAATGGAGAAAATAAAGAAGAATAAGAGCGGTACGTTGGAGAATCGTCCGTCTGCGCGCGAAAACGGGTGATCTCTCATCGTGCGGTGGGCAATAATTCTTTTCTATAGCATATCCCCCATATAGCCGGGGCACCTGTATAGAGAAATACTGTTTCGTCGCGAACTCTACGGCCAAAATAAATATACTGTTATATACGCAAAGTTTTTAGGGATCAGAATGTAAACTGCAGAATATATATATATACGAGAAATATTTAATCTCTACGAAATGTGTGCATTTTCTAGAACGCATTAAATTTTTCTCCCGGAGCATGTGCATACACTTATTTAATCAGTATAAAAAGCTCTCTCTTTCACATCCAATCTAACATAAGTTTTTCCGTCTCGAGTTTTAAGTCTCAATTTACATTTGTTGCATGGAAAATGAGGTAATTATATATTCGTATTTATTCGGGATTAAATTCATAGCGCGGTGAGAGAGAAAGAGATAGACGCTATACATATACTATCTCGACGTTAAATACTCTCGGGTGATATATTTTTTTGTTGCCGCGCGGAGAATTGCAAAGTACATGCATGATATATAAGACTTCAACGGTCTCTTGTCGTACGCATTTCTCGCGGTATAACCTTCCGTAATGAAATCATTTGAAATGAAATTAAGATTAAGCGAGCTGACATCCGAGAGCGACGATTATTCTGCCCGTTAAAGTCCGCGCGATATACATATATATATAAGCTTTGAAATTTTTAAGACGCGACACACACTTTTTCAGGCATTATTATTCCCCGGTATATAACGAGAGGATAATGAATATTCTCTTCGCTGGTGGTTCCCGAGAGTGTTTCTTCTTCAAGAAGCGCAGCACCGGACAACCTTTTGGTACCGAATTCCTGGGGCTCGTCGAAAAACGCGATTCTCGCACACACAAAAGGGGATTTCGACAATGACTCCTCCCTTCGCTCTCTCTTCTTTGGAGCATAAGTCCTTTGGCGAACACGTGGGGACAGCCGATGTCATTTTAGATAAGTGAACCGTTCCTTTTCGGCTCGCTCGTTTCAGAGGGAGCACCGCTAGAAGATTCTCCTTGGCTCGATGTTCCCGTGTATAGAAGAAAATAAAGTGAGATAGGAAGGGCTTCTTAGATAATCTTCAACTTGCATTAATGAACTCGTGTCGGACGATTGTTCGAGAATAGTAATTAACACTTAACTATTATTGCATAGAATATACGATGTATAATTATCTTCGTTTAGGAGTCTTCATTTTTTTTAATAAAAAAAAGTACGCATATATATCGGTTAAATTACGTACGCGCTAATGATGTTACACATTCGAAGTTAAAATTTAATTTGATTTCATTTCCTCATTTATCGGAAATTACACGCTATTCATTAGCATCGACGGGAATTTTTTTCCCTCCTCGATGCTCTGACGCTGATGGAAATGATGGGGAAAAAAACTCCAAACAAAAAATGCATCACTGTTAAAAGTGCGATGTCACTTCCGAATTCATCAAATCGTGTTATTCCCCGAGATTCGGCGGAAAAACAATCGCGATTTATGTCGGCGCCATCGTCATACATCATTTTGGAACTATATTAAAACTTGTTTGCTCGAGGAAAGAGCGCGAGCACAGAATGGCTTGATTATTTATGCCTATACTTCGGAGCGGACTGCGAACTTTTAACGAAAGCGTCGAGAAGAGGAGATAGAGAAGAAGTTCTATATCGGCAGACGAAGGGTCCATGAGGGGCAAGGACGAGGTGCGGCAAACAGATATTGATTGGACGTTCTTTCATCGTCCAGTGACTTTGCGAAGAAGAAAGATAGGCGGAGAAGGAAAGGGAAGTTTCGAAAACCACTAGCGGCGAAGCGAATTTTTCTTCCCGTTTTAGTCGAATCATCCTGGCAGAGAAAAAAAAACTTCACCCCAAAGTTTTTCGATCGAGAGGGCTGGTGAACGTATTCCGCTTCGCGCGAAGAAGCGGCTTTGAAAGAAGAGAGACAGCCGCCTTTCCGGACCGGCATCAAAGGGTATTTGGATTCCTCGCAGTTTCTTCCAATTTGTATATACGTGCCGCATTGAAATGATGTGTTTCGTCAGAAAGCGCGTATCGAAGAGATACTTGCATGAATATACAATTGTTTGTCACGCGGCATTTTAAGATTGTCATGGTATATATTTCCCGCGAAACGTGTCGCGATCTTTGCTGCTTTGAACGTCGGCAGACTCTTTCGTGTCGTCTATCGCGGCTGTTTTTAAAATAGTAACTATCGCCTGAATTTTTGACATGAAACTTCTCTCGCGGCTTGTGTGACGATAGCCGGGGTCTTGCAAAAATCGACGATGTCTCTTCTCGCCTTTCCTTGCAAGGTTAAAAACCCGTCATGAAAATGCCGTTGAGAAAGCAAGCAACCTAAGTGCAAGGTAAGCTTGGGTCCTCGTCGTGAAAGCGATCGATGTTTACCCATTTAAAAGGTTACATACACCGGCTAAAAAGCGAACAAGCATGTCGCTTGCTTTGCTGTCAATAGAATCTGCTATGCATTTATCATTTCGCGATTTGATTCGCTCACGATCTATCTATCGTTCGCTTTTATCGTCACAATGGGATTCGAACAACTTTGCTGCGAAACACGAATGTCATTTAAATAACGTTGATAAGATATGTAACTCGCGATACAATTTTTTTTTTACATTTTTATTTGATTTTTCTCCCTGAGAAATTCCTTCTTTCAGCTCCCGAAACTTATTTCAGACACGAAACAAATTTTTCTTTCTTTCATCTCAAGAAACATTCGAGGAGAAAGAAAGAGACGTATTTTCGATACTGCTAATATCGATAGGGATAAAATGTTTTGAGATACAATCGACGTTATTACATCAGATCTTCCCTTTTCGATCCGTTATTCGGCTCAAGAGTAAATGAAAACGCGAAAGAAAGATCCCTTTTCCGATTGGAATCGTGGAGTATGTAGCCGACGTCGGCGAATTCAGCCGCCAGTAGTAATGATCGGCTTAAAATCAGCCATTTAAATGATGGCTCACGTAGCTTCGACCGGACAAAGTTTTGACCCTCCTTGGGTCTTTCAGAAGCTGGCGGAGAGACGCGCCCACGTACTCGGAGATCGAACTTCCTCCGATACAATTTAACGGCTTTCAACCGTTTCCCCTTCGGTATTTACTCGGATCGCGCGAAGCCTTTCGGTTGAAAATGCTAGGTGTTGGTTCCGACATAATGGGATAGGGATTCGTTATCTCCGAGTCCGATATTGCAACGAATCCCAAACGAAGAAGGATAGTTTCTTCGATAAATGATGAGATAATCCGTAAATGTATTTACGTAGCGGCATCAATCGACTGTCGAGTAGTGAGTACTCCGGTTCTAATTCTCGCGAACTACTTTTCCACTCAAAATAGAAAGCTACTTCCACGATAAATGATAAAACATTTTGAAATCTCTCTCTCTCTCTCTCTCTCTATATATATATATATATATATATAATAAAATAGAGAGTTTCTACGAGTGAGTCTACAAGACTATGCTTTCGCTTCCTCAGAGGGATAAGACGTGGATAAGATAACTTACCAGCCCGAAGAGTGACCTCGCGAGAAAGTACGGTTCCGACGGAGCTGGTCGCGCGGCACCTATATCGGGCATTGTGGACCTCGGCTCTAAAGTCCTGAGCCAGAAATGGCGGGAAGTATAGCGTTCCGTTGCCCAGAAGTTGTCTGAAAAAAAGAGTATTGTGTCGAGGAAGAGTAGAGAAAAAGAACATTTTGGAGCGATCTCGTAATATTTTAAAAAATTCCAAACCTAAATTTTGTTTAGGCATCTGACATTTGAAGAACCTTGACTCTCTGGCTTGATTGAAAGGGGAGTAACGCCTCGAAAGAGAATTTCTGGGAGAGATTGTCGAAAATGCGATCGCAAAGCGTAGAGAAAAAATTTTAGAGCGATCCCTCATAGCATTTTTAAAAAATTCCAAATCTAAATTTTGTTTAAGCATCTGATATTTGAAGAACCTTGACTCTCTGGCTTGATTGAAAGGAGAGTAACGCCTCGAAAGAGAATTTCTGGGAGAGATTGTCGAAAATGCGATCGCAAAGCGTAGAGAGAAAAAAAGTAGAGAAAAATTTTAGAGCGATCCCTCATAGCACTTTTTTTAAACTCTAAATCTAAATTTTGTTTAGGCATTTAACATCTGATTTGAAGAACCTTGACTCTGGTTTGATTGGAAGGAGAGTAACGCCTCGAAAGAGAATTTCTGGGAGAGATCGTCGAGCACGAAAATGCGATCGCAAAGCGAGCTCGAGCCAAACAAGAGAATGTTGAGGCGTGACTTACCTGAGTCCCGGAACTGCCGTAACCGATCTCTGATCCGGGCTGGTAATCCACGTGACGTGCGGCGTTGGGCTGCCGTGTGCGGAACAGCCTAATTGGGAGCCGGTGGTATTTGAAAAGACCAGGGTGCTCGGCGGTTCCAGGATGAAGACCGGACCTTGCTGACCGAGCGCAAATTTCTCGCTGCACCCTGAAACGGAAAGCACATCAGCTCGTTAATGTTGTAATATGCCGCAGCAAGGGAGAGAGACTGCGCGGTCAATGAGACGCGGTCAAGCGAGATTAATTTAAATTGACTAACTTATATTGTCTTTCATTCGCTCAATTTTTAACAAGCCCGCCTGATGAGAAATTGCGCGAGTTTACTTTACACTGAGGCGGTTAAAATTTCACGTTTCAACAGGCCCGATTTGATAAACAACGGAGAGAACTAGAGATCGATTTGCGATCTCGAGATATGAAGCTATTTTAGAGTGTGTTATCGTTATTTTCACATATAGGTGTATCCGAAAAATGGTTTTCTTAAACCGCATACTTTATAAGTCCTCTTAATAGGTAATGCTTTTTGGAATATCTTCTTAAATTGATATATTTTTTTGCAACTGTAATTCCGCAATAAATAAATATAATAAAATTAAAATTTATAAGTTTATCAATTAATATTAAAAATAATAATATAATATAAAAATGTGTATTTTAACTATGTCGATACATAAAAAAATATTTATTATATGTTTAACATTTAAATATATGTAATAAATAATAAATGTCTGTTGAGAGAATCCTTTTGGCGCTTATTTTAATGGAAGATATTATAAAGATATACTTTATTGACAAATGCGCGACTAAAAATCTTCTCGCGCATTATAATTATCTAAGAATCGATTTCCTCCGCTCCTTCTCTCCTCCTTTTCTTATTCTTTGCATATAAGGGAGGCATTTCAGGTCAAAAAGCGATATAGCTCCCTTCTTGATTCGCCCGCGGATTAAACTCGATGTTGAAACGATTATTCGATTTGTTGGTTGGTAAGCGCCGCGGATAGAATTTTATCTTTTGTCTCGTCGAAGCGGGCGGAACGACCTGATTCGCGGAGCCGGTCTAAACCCCACGACGTATACATTGTTCGCATCCGAGAAACCGGAGAAATCAATTCCGCTAAGCCGAATTCGACCTAGATTTCGAATCGATTCGAGACCACGCTCGTTCCGGGATTAAATGCACGCCGGAGCGAATGGTCGCGTCACTGCCCGATAGCATCTACCAAATATTTCATTCGAAATCCCTCGGATTAAGAAGCAACGCGCGCGAGAGCGCTTCTATAATCCGTTCCCGAAAACGCTGAAAGCTACATTTACATATAATGCAGGTTTTTGCCCGATATATATCCAAGTAAAATAAACGCCCGCCGGCGCGACTCGTTGCTTATTCAGGAAACAAAATATTTCAACCGCCGGAGCTATATGATGTCCGCACAGTCAACACTAGAGAGAGAGGATTGCATGCAGTCGTTCAAAGTGATAAGTTATCTATTTTCCCGCGAATATATATTTATATTTATATTTATGTATTGGAATCTACGGAAAAGGATATATGACGCGTAGGAAAAGAGGCGTGGTGCTTGGATTGCTGAAATATGCAAAATGCACGATTACGGAATGATCGAAGGAGACGTAACGAGAGGACAAAGTACAAGACGGCGAGAGAAGGGCGCGCCGATCAAGCAGATCGATTCTATCGTTGCGAGTCTGGAATAGGAACGGAAATAATTCATGGAATGAATTATTTAGAGACCGGCGCGACCTAGCGAGCAATGCGGTTTAAAATACGATTTCACGTGGTTTAGATATCAATGTATCTGTATGACGAAAATAAAAAGGAAATTTCATTAGAAACGGAGATCAATTCGAAAAAAGGCGTCAAACCTATCTAATGATACATATTAGAGCGGACGCAACGAATCAGTAAAAAGTCGCGAACTTAACTCAATTTCGTCTTTATTGTTCAATGTTTTTCATCTAATTGTAAGAATAAGAGCAATCATCTGTCACAGAGAAGAACTGTCACATTTTATGCAAATATATAATTATATATAATATCTATTTGAATTTGCGCGATATAAATATATATTTTTAAATGCGAGTTACTTTCGATCTACTTCGGCGAGAAAGTCTTTCGTCGAATTATTCGCGCGCAACAGATATAACCATCGAAAATTCTCTTCCGCTCTCGCGTATGTTCGCCCTCTTTATACCGAACCATGCACTTCGATGCATAAATTCTCGCACTGTTGTCAGGAAGAATGTGGACACGTAACCACCTGTGTGTTTGCTCGCTCTTTTCAAAGAGTAAAAACCAAACCGCTCTAGATTGTCAATTCCGTTAGCGAGTCTATATACACTTTTATTTACGCTTTCATTCTTGACGAATAACGCGCGATTTAATGATGCATCGCCATTTTTTTTCGATATAATTGATATCCTTAAGGTGCCTTTTCACACGCAGCATGCTGCAGCAGCGAATCAGTCACATGATCAAAAATTAGAGCATATTTCTTTGTTCTCTTATTATTTCAAAGTTAAAAGTACAATTTTTGCGTTTATATTTTTATACTAATCTATTTTATTCTTCAAATCCATTATTTAACTAATATAATAATAATACTAATTAGAATTAACTAGTTGCGTGTTCTTCTGCTTTGCTGTCTTTGCTGTTTGTTCAATTCAACTTCACCAATAACAACAAACTGCTACGACAGTATGCTGCACATGAAGTGGTACCTTTATCGTTTCTGGAGCTCTGACAGATTTTTGTCACACATTGTATTTACAAAACAAAAATTATACAATATTATAATAAGATATAATAGAATAAAAAATATTATAATAAGACGGAGGGACATATTACGTATAATACTAATTAGAATTAACTAGTTGCGTGTTCTTCAGCTTTGCTGCCTTTGCTGTTTGTTCAATTCAACTTCACCAATAGCAACAAACTGCTACGACAGTATGCTGCACATGAAGTGGTACCTTTATCGTTTCTGGAGCTCTGACAGATTTTTGTCACACATTGTATTTAAAAAAAAATATACAATATTATAATAAGATATAATAGAATAAAAAATATTATAATAAGACGGAGAGACATATTACGTATAATACTAATTAGAATTAACTAGTTGCGTGTTCTGCTTTGCTGCCTTTGCTGTTTGTTCAATTCAACTTCACCAATAGCAACAAACTGCTACGACAGTATGCTGCACATGAAGTGGTACCTCTATCGTTTCTGGAGCTCTGACAGATTTTTGTCACACATTGTATTTAATATACAATATTATAATAAGATATAATAGAATAAAAAATAATAGAGACATATTACGTATAATACTGTTCAAATATGCTGCACATGTAAGCTCTGACGTCACACATTGTATTTAAAAAAAATATACAATATTATAATAAGATATGGTATAATATAATAAAAAAATATGATAATAAGACGGAAGAACATATGCAAACATTCGCCTACGACGATGCTCTCTCATCTTTCGTACCTGTATCATCGTGGATGAGCGAAAGTGGAGGAGGGAGTCGGCTGACACAAAGCTTTTGAAAAGCCGTCGCATTGTTTTTACATCGCGTCGTCGCGACTGTGTCTCAAAGTGTGTCAAAGGAGCGTAACTGTATGACGTAGAGAGAAGCCCCTGCATACACACAAAACATTCTCCCTCCAAAGCTTTTTTTCCATCCTTCGAATTCCAATATTTCTTGCGCGTCGTTGATACGGACGCGTCTGCGCGTTTGCATTCACGAGGAGGATGTTTTCTGCTCATTGGTCGCTGAAACGTGAACCCAATTTGCGATTCGGCCGGGATTTTTCCGCTACGGCTCGAAAGGTCAGAGTACGTATAAAGATTGCACGAATGAAAAGTGTATGTGTCCGGGCGAAGCGGGATTTATTCGGGGAAACAAGTTACACGTTAACTATCCATGCACTCGTTGGGGCTCAGGAGAGGACTCTTACATTTTTAAATTATCTGATATATCATTTTTAGTATACGAGACGAAAATTGAATATTTAATGCATCGGAGGATACGGTTTCGTGTTTACCGCGATATGCCAATTGATTTGACAGCGATGCATAATCCATATTGCAGGCAGAATACCCTGCATGGTTCGCATGAATCATAAATCCAATGTACATCAATTATGTCAGTGCGGAAACGATAAACGTCATATTCTGATTTAGGGCAGACTGTTCGAGATAAATGTTGAAAAGGTCACGTTTCTTCCATTTTATTTGTAATTTCCGGAACGTCTCTCTCTCTCTCTCTCATATATGTCGATATGTATTTCCCACTAAATGGATACCAACGTTTCAACCACCTCGCATTATCGGCTCCCGTGATAGATTTACTAGAGAAAATTCTAAGGTATACCTAGACGAAGGAGGCTGCTGATGCGGTCGAACGTGCGCGACAAGGACGGAACGAAGAGTCTTACCAAAGTCGCGACGAGAGAGTGGGTGGGTAGTCAACGTGAAAGATCGTAATTGCGAATTCGTTGACCCGCGACTCGAGTGAGCTTTTCCACGGGAGAGTCGCGATGGGGTGGCTGGGAGTCGAGAATGGAGGAAGAAAGAGAGAAATAGACAGGAGCGAGAAAAGCGACACGATGGTGTTGGTATGTACAGGGTGTCGCAGACCTATCGTATCACACGTTAACGAAAGATTCCTGAGGCGATTTGGAGACGATTTTTCCTCAGCGAAAATGTCCAGGCACCAATCATTTTCGAATTATAAACGATTGAAAATAAAAGCTTTTTTGTAAACTAAGCCTTGTAAAAATTAATTAACAAATCTACATTTTTTAGTTAATTTCAGGTAAAATTTACTTTAACATGATTTCAAAAATTGGGAACATTAAAAAAATGATGGCTTTTCTCGACATTTTCGCTGAGAAAAAATCGTCTCCAAATTGCCTCAGAAATCAACATTAACGTGTAATACGATAGATCTGGGACACCCTGTATATATGTGTGTGTGTATGTCTACGTGGAGGGGTGCATGCACGGGAAAGGTAGATAAAAGAGAGAGGATGAGATAAAAGGAGATGAGGAGGACGACACCCCCGAATGAAGGGATGTGTAACTGGGAGGAGATGGGAGGTGAAACCTGAAGACAGGGTAC